AATTTAACACAAATGGTATCACATGGTGCTATAATGGGGATATACATGGATTCTGGATGACATCTTAGTGGGATATGAATATGAAATATATTGACATGTCGATGAATACCCTCTGGTGTCATCAAACATGGATTGCTGGAAAATCCATTACCCTCCGGTAAACTAACATAACTATGGAAAATCACCATTTTTAATGGAACAATCCACTAAAAATGGCCATTTTCAATAGCTATGTTGGTTTACCAGAGGGTATTTAGTTCTATGATTTTCGCATCTGAAAACCACCATTTAGTTTGGGGATATCCCAGCCACCTTTGATAAACTATGGATCAACTATGGAGCGAAGAATGGAGACTAAAATGGTAAATAGCAATGTTTATCATTGTTTATCCACTATTAAATAGATAGTAACTTAATTGGTAGAATCATCCGTGGATAGATACTGAGATAATATTAACTAGTAGCGAATGGGATGATAATGATGGACAATAATGGCTAGTAATGGTCAAACCCATACATCATACTAGTATGGGTAATGCAACATTATGGCCAATTCATGCCAATTCACACATACAAATGGATGGTTAATCGTGGAAGATAATGGATACTTGATGATAAATCATGTGAATTTTTGTGAATAGTGAATAGTTTTGGATATTCTCCAGTATACTGGTGTGTAATGGCGATTCCCAGTTCATGCATGATGAGAAGCCACCATATATTGGGTAGTACAATCCTGTATCATTATCAACAATGCATGATTGATGAAACACAGATAATTGATAATTCAGGGTGAATACTGGTTAACATTGGATACTTGATGATAACATATGTGGATAGGTAATATTTGGGGTTATTCATTCCAATGACCTCTTGGGTTAATAGGAATTCCCAGTCTATGCAATAATGAAAATCCCCAGTATATTGGATCGAAATCGCCCTCAATCATCAATAACACTGCGATGATTGATGTTAAATGGAGTAAATGGATAATGGATGGTTAATAATGATGGTATACTGGTTGGTGGTATACCTACCCCTCTGAAAAATATGAAAGTCAGTTGGGATTATTATGCCCAATATATGAAAAGTCATAAAAGTCATGTTCCAAAGCACAAACCAGAATATGTATATATATATATATATAACCCATATTATTGTATCCCATATAAACCCATATAAACATGTGGCTAATTTTTTGGTTACTCCTGTGGGTAAAGGTTTCTCCCAAGAGGGCTACGCCCTGCGGGCTTTTGGAAAGTGGTCATCCGCAATTTGGTCAAAAATTACATGAATTATGGCAAATTAAAATATTTCACTAACCTGAATTGTTGGGCCATTTTGGTATGATTCCCCGGATGCTAACCATGATTCCAGTGAAGGAGAACAGTGAGGTAGTTATGTCATTTACACAGATGAATGAAAGAGGTCAGTTGGAGGTACCTACCATAAAAAAGGGGCCTCTGTAAGGCCATGTAAAGGGATATACCGAGATACCCCCAAAATATAGCTTTATATGGTACAAGGTGGTGCCCCATAGTTAGCTAAGTTGGTTTATAACTCACATAACTATGGTTTATGGCAGATATAACTATAGTTATTGGGGTTTATAAACCAACCTATATAAGACCATATTTTCTGGGGATATTCTCTTTCATAGGCCTTATATAGGCCTTATATATGGTAGGTACCTCCAATTTAGGTTCCTGAAATTCCCATTGATATAACGTTATATCCCAGCCATTTATAGACGATTTTAACAGATTTTCCAGCCACGGTCGCATCAGGAGCTGAGACTTCAGGGTGATGGAGGTCGCTTGCCGCTGCGCTGCCAGGAAAGGTCATCACGTCTTCTCTTGAGACTGTTTACGAGCCTCTGTTACATAATATATACAAAAATACTGCATATATATAATACACATATATAAATATAGATATACACATCTATTCATATATGTTGATGGATGCTACTTATAAACCAGCTTAGCAAACAATCTGGAGCATCACTGGCACCATAGGATGGCAAGCCATCCAGCTGCCCGGCTCAACCCAACTGTATCCGTGGCTTTGACAAGCAGAACGCCGCACGCTTCATGGCCAGGAGTTCTTCGGCCAGTTGATAAACCATATATAAACCATATATAAACCATCATCTTCACCCTCACTGGCTGCGCTTGGGCTGTGTGAGGTCAAGTCAAAGTCCCTAATGTGGTTAAAGCAATGCTATAAACCATCCAAAAAAAACACCATAAATGGGTGGTATAAACCATAACAAATTGGTGGCTTATGACATTGTTTTAACCACATTGATTATTTTCAGGATCTGAAACCATCTATTATTTTTTTGGATAATCCAAAGCCATGCCCATATTTGCTGATTTTGTTCATCTCTATTTCGAACACGCTTCAGTTATTGGTTCAATCTTTGTCCGTTTTATTCTGTTCCTTGCTTCTACTTCTGTTCCTGATACTTCCAACTTTCGGTGTTCAGAGCCCTTGTTTGCTGAACATTTCTCCAATTCTCCGTTTTCAAGCTCAATCTCAATGCGTCGATGAAACATTTGAACATGATTAAACCATTCAACCCTTGTGAAACTGATTTTTAATCACACTTTTGTTGGTTTAAATGATTTTAAATGAGTTTGTCTGAAGATAGGTACCCGAAATCCACTAGCGAATCATCATTTTCAAACAAAAAACAGTTTGGGGGTTATGCCGGTGATTCACCATTTGTAGACACACCCGAAATCATATCAAGTTGGTTATATGTCACATTGTCCCATTATATTTCCAGTTTCTTAGCATATGATTGTCAGTTTACCTCCATACTTGTTGGTTAAATGCCCGAAAATCTCTCATATCCCATTACATCCTCATTAAGGTATATAAATCCTTGCTGAGCCTGTCTGATTCCCACGAAATCACCAAAAATCTCTACAACATGAGGCCCTCCAGTGATGTGAACGTTGGTTTAGTTTAGCTCCATGAATGCAATTCCGTTACATCCCGCATAGCGAAAACCAACACTTAGTCAATTTACAAGTCAACTTAGCTATCATAATTATCATAAATCAGCTGGAAATCCTATTAAATTCCCATTTTTCTTGGTTAAATTTGCGTATGATACAGTTAAATCGTAAGGCCGGGCACCTCACCTTGTACAAGTGAGCAGTGTTCAAAATCCCTCTGTCATTCCATTTAATCCTGGTTGGTTAAGAACGGGATTCCCTGTCCTTGGATTGGTTTAACCCCCAATATATTGGGTAATGTCAACCCCGGATTAATAAACCCTGGTTGATTAATTTTGATGGTTCCCCATGGTTCCTTTAAATAGTGATAAATGGCTACTGAAATGGTACCCCCGCGATTATACTGAAATTGTACCTCCACCCCCCCGATTAGACAGCCTAGGGGTTCATTAATCCGGGGTTGACATTAGTATAATCCCACAACTAATCATCCACCAACCATCATTTATCAATTATACCTACTCATCACCCTATAGTTCGATCATTAAAACCCTTATCAAATGACTATAACCAACCAACAAGTGACAGTATATAATTGAGTTGGTTGTTAAAGGGATTACACTACCAAATATATTCTAGTTGGTGGTATACCTACCCCTCTGAAAATATGAGTTCGTCAGTTGGGATGATTATTCCCAACATATGGAAAGTCATAAAATTCCATGGTTCCAAACCACCAACCAGCATTTAGCTAACCATCATTAACCATCATTAACCACCATTAAACATCATTAATGTCAACCCTGGATTAATAAATCCTTGGGCTGTTGAATTGGAAGGGTACCATTTAAGTATTAGATTATGACTATTGGAGGAGTACCCCCCTAAATGGGTTTATTAATCCCCAATATATTGGGGGTTAAACCAATCCAAGAACGGGATTCCTCCCGTTCTTAACCAACCAGGATTACATGGAATGACAGAGGGATCAAGGAATTGACCTAGTTACCCATTTAGTTCGATGACTTCCCTATTGAAATGGCCAATGAATATTGGCTTTTGACCACTGCCGCCGCGCCTTGGCAGATCTCTGTTGCAGAGGCCCACTGCACAGCACGATGCGACCGCACACAGACGATTCAACCTGGATCCAGAAATCCATCAGGGACCCTGTCAAACGCATTGCCAATCTTATATACCCAGCAAAAAAATACATTCTTTGCTGGTGAACGTAGATATTCCCATTGATACCAAAAGACTAAAGGATTAGTTTGTATCAATCTAAGATTGACCTAGTAATGTGAGGCCCTCCAGTTATAAGTTGGTTTACAAGCCCCAGTAACTATACTTATAAATGCCATAAACCATAGTTATTGGACTTATCAACCAACTTAGCTATCGAACGGGGGCCTCACATTGTAGTAATGTGGGAAATTGCTGGAACATCCCCTAGAAAATATGGGGTGGAATCCAAAGGATGATGGGTATGATTTTCCCAGCTATGAACCGTTCTTTCTAGTGGATTTCCCGCTATATTTGATTAGCTGATGGTGTATTTACTTATGTACATATACATATATATATATATATATGTATATATATATGTGTGTATATGTAGATGGAATCCTGGAATATATGGTTATAATGTATACTACTTATCCCGGTCTGAATAATCCTCCACTAGAATGGCATATGAAAGTTAAACTCGTAGTCCTCGACTCACACAGACTTTTAGAATGATATGAATGATGTGAATGATATGAATGATATGAATGTTGTATAGTTGCTTAATCATCTTAATTCTATATCTGTAAATAACTGTATATATATATGTATGATTCTGTATGTTGTAGATTTATAGGCTTGAGATGTAACGATGTAACTAGCAGGAGATCTTGGCGACGTAGCTTTCACCTTGTTAGCAACTGGACAGATGACATACAAGTGGGCTGATAAAATACCACTGTCTCTCATTATAGTTGGTTGATAAATTTCCCTATGGGTTCAACAACAAATCCCCAATGACCCAGGCAGTATAACTCCCTATCAATCACTCAACCAAGGGTAATTTTAACGGCTCAACTGGCTATATATCTGCAACTGGCCCACCCGCGCTGATGGGAGCCTCCATTCCCACCCTACAGTACTCCCATAAAAATCCCGGATGGGAAGCTTATGGACGTTTCCCAAAAATGGGGGTACCCGAAAATGGATGGTTCAGAAGGGAAAATCCAGGATGAGAACTGGGGCGACCACTAGGAAACCACCGAAAAATGGGGGGGTCCATCATTGGGAGTCCCTACGAATTCCGTGAAAAAGAGGTTATCTGGTTGGTGGTATACATACCTACCCCTCTGAAAAATGATGGAGTTCGTCAGTTGTGATGATTATTCCCAATATATGGGAAAATAAAAAATGTTCCAAACCACCAACTAGTTATGATTGAAGTGCCACAATCAACAAACATGTGGGGTTCTTCACGCGCACATGGTTGGCAACCCTTGCCCAGCATATCCCATGGGACTATCATGTCAATGGAGTTTCAACAAAAGAAACCAGTGAGGCGACCAAGAAAATAAAGTTAAGAAGTTCGTTGCTCTGTGAGACTGTGTGCAAGGTGCGGGTCCCGTAAGGAGCAGCATCCTTGTGTTGTTCCCTTGGAAAAGTCAAGAAACAATAAGGAGTTCAATTGGTATCAATTGATAATATTTTGTCTATGAGCCACATTTTCCTTCCAATGGAACATGTGGAACCTTTTTGGAACACGATCCACACAAAATGGGTTTCTCATATGTGAACTTCTAGAGGGTCAGCTTTAGCACATTTTAGCACCACAAAAGGGGAATGGGGCCATTCTCCCCTTGCAGTACATGACTGCATGGATCATCCCAAATGGAGCATCATCTTTGACCTTTTTTTTAACTACAGAACTCCAAAAAGCATACATCAAACAAGCAACATATCACAATAACAAGCACATCTCTTAGCCCTTGGCAACTCCGAATTGCGCGAACTCGGATGGGATTGAGACCTTCTGAGCCCGTCATTCCCACGCTGATTCCGTGGCAAAGACAATCGAGTGATCGTGTCGCGTACAGACCTGACAGGTCACCTACCGTCAAGTCCGCCACAGGTGAGCAGTACCCTCTGGTAAACATACAAAAAGCTTGAAAACGGCCATAGAAATAGTGAATTTTCCCATGAAAAATGGTGATTCTCTCCATAGTTATGTTAGTTTACCAGAGGGTGTCCCAACGGCCCAAGCTCGTCTGCTGGGCGGCTGTCAAAGACAATGGGCAAAGCTTATGATTAACCAGTGGCTGTTGTGGGTTACCCTATAAAACATTAGAGAAATGCATCTGGGAAAATTATTGTGTACTACAAACAGTGGAAAACATTCTGGAGCACTTACCCTGCAAAACGAACAAAAAACACCTCTGGGGCTTGGCTATGCTTAGTGGCCATGGCTATGCTTAGATTTCCGGCTTACCCAGCCGTATAGATTGCATCTCTGTTGGACATGGTGGCTAACCGCTCCATCCGAATTCTTGCTGAATACCGCCTTTCGGATAGTTTGTGCAAGGTGATGCCCCCCAAAGTCTAATTCGAACAAGTGGATTTCAACCACCCCATGAACTTTAGATGTATCTGGTTGGTGGTATACCAAAATATTAGTCAGTTGGGACCATTATTCCCAATATATGGAAAATAAAATTCATGTTCCAAACCACCAACCAGATGTATCTATTGAACTACACCAACTTTTTTGTGCTTTAGCTCACTCAAATTGCCACGAGGCACCTGAACTTGGCTGAACTGCAGCGCCACGTCTGCAATCCTGGATGCATGGGGCGTCGTCCCTTGAAAAACTCATTGGTTAAGAACGGATTTCTTATTATCATTTGTGGTGATTTTGTCCCTTTTATGGGTAAGTTTTTGTAATCCGATTAGATTCAAAATCCCAACTAAATCCACATGTTGAAACTCTTGGCAACATTCATGGTCAAATCCAAATAAAGAACACATTCTGGTTGGTGGATTTTACCATCTTGAAACATATGAAAGTCAATGGGAAGGATGACATCCCATATATTATGGAAAATAAAACATGTTTGAAACCACCAACCAGTCTATCATGGGTTTACACTGGTTGATAGTGTTTATTAATGGCTATAACTGTTTATTAATGGCTATAACCTACGTTAATCCACATTAAGAACACATTAAATGAATGGGTGAAGCCATGTCACAGACTTTCTCGCGACACCCTCAAGGGCCCATGGGATCAGCCCATTGATCAACAGCTCCAGGACCTCCACTTGGAGGCTCATCCTACCTAGTCATGAGTTTGTAACCATAGTTATTTTAGCAATTTGTAAGCAGTGTATATATATAGTATATATATAGTATATATATAATAGAAATATATATATAGTAAATACAATATAGTATATATATAGTAAATATCTATCTATATATATAATATAGTATATATATAATGTACCTTTATGTATATATGCATAGATTTGGGTATATATGGGATATTCTGGGATATTGTCGAGTAAACCATTACGTAGCTGTGGGAAATTAAATCTATTTGTAGATGATTTTTGCATAAAAATGGTGATGTTCTAGTTCGCAAATGGTTAGTACCCTCTGGTAATTTAACATAGCTATTGAAAACTGCCATTTATAGTTGATTTACCCATTAAAAATGGTGATTTTCCATAGCTATGATTAGCTATGTTAGTTTACCGGAGGGTAAACTTAGAGATCTGAACCATGGATAAACCACCAATTTTTTGGACGAATCCATAACTAAACCACCAATGTTTATCCGCATTCATTAGAAACCCATCATTCTTTCACATCAGAAAAAACCCGGATTCCCACAATGGATTATGATAATTCCTGTAAATTACCGGGTTGCTCCAAACACCCCAGGTACAAGGGGGGTGGGAAAATTGAGAAAATATAGGTAAACTATAGGTACAGTAGAATTACCCATTTACCACCCCAAAGTGGATATCATTTACCTATAGTGACTTTTAGCAACCTTGATATTCCATCCATTTATAACCATTAATCAACTATTTGTTGATTTTTAATTATCATCGTTACCAACCAACCATAAATCATATCTGGTTGGTGGTTTCAACCCCCTGAAAAATATGAAAGTCAGATTGGATCATCATCCCAACTATTGGGGAAAATAAAACATGTTCCAAAGCACCAACCAGTATATCCAGTATATATATAACCCATATCATTATATCCCATATAAACCCATATACCCATATAAACCCATGAAACCCATAGAAACTCAGCTAAATGAACTAAGGACCCCCCCATATTTCCCAGATATCAGTCATAACTAACCATAGGATGATCCTCCAAGTAGCACTGCGGTGCCAGCATTTCTCTTGGCAGCCCCACTCCAGGGAGGCATCCAAGCGTTCACAGCGCAGATCCAAGCGGATCTGTCGCTTCCTGAGCGTGTTTGACGAGGTGATTCAGTTGGATCGCAAAACACGGTCTAAGGTGGGATTTTCATGGATTTTCCTGGTGAAGTAATGGTGATTTCATGGCATCTAGTGAGATTTGATTGGAATTACCCTCTGGTAAACATACAAAAAACTATGGAAAATCACCATTTTTAATGGGAAAACTCACTATTTCCATGGCCATGGCTTCCATAGCAACCTGTTAAATCACCAGAGGGTTATGATAATCCAATGGTGATTTCATGGGATTATACGGGATTCACCATGTGGATCTCGTTTTTTTTCGTCATTTCGAGATGCTGGTTTGACACAACTGGGCACCACATTGCAGGATGTGGTTGTATGATAGGGGGTCGAAGTTGGGTGATGCAATAATGAAAGTCACAATATGGAGGTGTTCAAGAAATTGGGATGAAGTGTGTATACGGAGTACGATGACGTTGGTATGCCACTACAAATGGGATGACGTTGGTGATTATTTTGGTTGGCGACGTGGGCGGCAAAGGGTTTACTCAGCGGTACCCCTACCCTAAACACTTAGATGCCATAAGACATGGAGTATATGCGATTGATGACCATTCCCCATGGGCAAATTACTAAAGTTGTGACCATGGCACGGTTTTTGGCATAGAGACTGTGTGGAATGAAAACCCAAGACAACATGTCTTCACTGTCATTCTTAACCCTATTTGGGAGTCCTCATGAAGGTCGTGAACAAATGTTCTGGCTTGGGATTTTCAACAACACAGTGTGGTCAAATTCCGCATGCAGGTTTAATCCAAACAACATACTGTACTCTCCAATACCCTCCAGTAAACTAACATAGCTATTGAACATGGATGAAAATGGCCATTTGTAGATAAGTTACCAATTTAACATTGTGATTTTTTGAGAGCAAATTGTTAGTTTACTGAGGGTAGGTGTTGCCTATATATATATACGTATGTATATATATATATATCGCCAGTTCATGCCAATTCAACAATTCATGGTAAAAGTGAGGAAACATACCTAGCTGCAGTGCCAACCTTGGATTCTAGGCTCACTAGGGGAGCTATTTTTGGCTAGACATGGCTACCTCATCCTTCAAAGTATTCGAAAGATGTCCGTGACGAATCGGTCAACAAACCAATCACAGAATCAAATAGTGAATTATAGTAGTAAAGCATTTACTTATCCGATTTATCCAGATGTGATTATTTTATGGTATCATCCATCAATATTGTGCTTGTTTATTCCAGTGATTCTGCTCGTTGCTCCCTTGGAAAACGATCGCGACTTGTCGATATGGGACTATGGGTGGGATACTTAAAAAAATACCGCCCTATGGCGCTTTTCATACCGGGTCAATTAATGACGCGAAAAAAACGTGGCCATTCATCTCCACCAAAAACACAAAAAGAGATCTGGCAATCAAATCCAAATGGCCCAGATATCATATTCAAATATCAACATATTCCATGATATACTTCAAAAAATGGTGGTCAAATCCAGAAAAGATCCTGAATCAAAAAACAGTAATAAAATCGGGTATTGTTTTTAACATGGCTGCAGAAGACAGCCCATTTATTGATGTTTTACCTCATCATGGTGATCTTCTAGAGCGGTAGGCCAATGCCATATTCATCACGAAATGCAGCGGTTAATCCAAGAATTTTCCACTCACGCCCCATTTGTTGATGGTTGAAGGGTTAAACCATAGTTTTTCCATATGGGGGTTTCCATAAATGGGGTACCCCAATAGCTATAGATGGTTTATCATGGAAAATCTATAAATGGATGATAACCAGGGGTAGCCCTATGACTCAGGAAACCACCATCTGTCTGGGGAAATGATCATATTTCACTAACCTGAATTAAGTTCGGCCATGGCGATGATTTCCTGGATCCAATTCCCATGATTCCAGGGGGAGAACAGGCTTCGGTCGTGATGAAATTTACCCAGATCTGTGAAACCCATAAAAATCATTGAAAATCCCCATGAAAACAGCCCACGCCACCTGAGATGAGGCGATCTCACGCAAACATAGACCGCCACATGCTGCCCTCGGTGACCTCAAAGTTGTGAGCAGCGGCACGTAACACAACCGGGGATCATGTTGGGGCTACGTTTATGGCTATAACCATGATGGTAACCTTCGCAAATTGGGATGTAACACTTATAAAACTACAATTATGTACATATAATATCTACTTATAACCCCAACTGCACCCGCAAGTAGTGTCGTTTTTGGGTTGGCAAGTGAACGAAAACAAACGCTGCTGATGCACCAGAAGAAATCATTGGTGGCTTGTAACGGGGCTTCGAATTTTAGTAACGATAGATTGTTACCCTCTGGATAATTTAACATAGCTATTGAAAATGGCCAGTTATAGTGGATTTTCCCATTAAAAATGGTGATTTTCCATAGTTTTTTGTACGTTTACCAGGCCGGGTAATTCCAACAGAAAACGGATTGGTGTGTTGTCAATGAGACCGTCGGACATTCCGCCACAGATCGGCCATTCGCGGTTGGAATTTTCGCTTTGGAGATGTGGGGCGGTTTGCGGCGGTTTGCCCCCATGATCCCGATTAGACCGGGATTGGACCAGGTATTTCAGAGTATTTCATGCAGTTTTTACATGTTTTTACCGCTTACTATTCATACAGGATGGTGCCCCCCCAGTTATAAATTGGTTTATAAACCCCATTAACTAGTTCGTTAAATCTGCCATAAACCATAGTGAAATGGGAGTTATGTGAACCCCAACTTAGCGATTCCGAACTTTGATCCATGGAAGATCCACGAATTCTGGGTGATCCCCTAAGGACATTGGCAGATTTTGGGACTGAGATTGGAACAAACCCGGGTACAAAAAGTGGACATGAGGATAACAACTTTATAGTAACAGTCATGATAACTTGAGTTTTTTATATGGCACATTCATGGACATGATTAACTTTAGTTCTTCAGCCATAGCCATAGTTCTTGACAAGTTCATGTATCCCACCGCTTGGACTGATACCCAATTCACTTGTTGAAAAAAAAACAGTTAGAATGGGGCCCCATTCAAGGATACCCTCTGGTAAACTAACATAACTAACTATGGAAAATCACAATTTTTAATGGGAAAATCCACTATAAATCACCATTTTCCATAGCTTTTTGTATGTTTACCGGGCCGGGTAGGTTTTTGTTGGATAGTTGGTTTTATAACTAGGCTACCAGGCTAACTTTAAGTGTTGGATTCAAATGGATAAATTGGTGGCATTTTTCGACTTCAAACGGAAGGGGGATTTACCCTCTGGTAAATTAACATAGACCCTGGCAGTTGTCGGGGTTGGAAGACTAGTTTCCATTAAAAATCAGTGATTTTCAGGGTCTATGTTAATTTACTGGAGGGTATAATGTTTTATAATCCATGTATGGTGCATTTATGGCCATGGATTTTCTATAATCTGGACTTCTGATCATACAAACAGCTCTGTTAAATTACCAGAGGGTAAATCCCTCTGTAATATCCCATATGGCACTTTGAAGACAATGGCGCTTTGAAGATTTTTCAAGGCAACTGCATCCCCGCGATGTCTTTGATCGCATTCTGTAGGCATTTTTATGTAGGCATAGCTTCTGATAAATTTTCACATAACGAACTGGAAAAGCACCATGCTATCTAGCTGGGTAAATCAACGAACTTTCTATGGGGTATTGAAACAATAGCTATGTAACAGTCATTACCGGAGGGTACCCTCTGGTTATTTGACATAGCCATGGAAAATTGCCCATTTATAGATGATTATTTTCCCATTAAAATTTCCATTTATAAGGGATTTTCCATGGCTATGTTAAATATAACCAGAGGGTATGAATCTTTGCATTTGATCCTCTCTCTCCATGGATTTTCACGGATCAAAATAGTTCATTTTCTAAGGTCAACATCATTCAGAAAACCGATACCTGCGCCAGTGGAAATTCGAAACTGCTGCCACCACAACTGTCATTGAATACAGTATGTCTTTGCCTTACTTGGAGGTACAATTGGGGTCATTTTTATGAATATTACCATGGTGGTAACCTCGATAAGTTGGGATAAGAGCCCTATAACTATTGTTAGTCTCTGGTAAACTAACAGTTTGCGAACTGGAAGCCATGGCCCATAGAAAAAGATGGTTTACCGTTCTTAATAGCATGGTGATTTTCTAGTTCGCTATGTGAGTCATTACCAGAGGGTACGTATCTTCAACAGGGAACCATAAAAATACTCTGGTTGATTGGCTAATATAGGGACCAGCAAACCAGTGGATGTATGAGGGATTTGACCCATAGGGAAACTATCAACCAAGCAGTATTTCATGAGATGAGATAGGGATGTTTCCAATGGCTAAAATTACCAATTACCTGCACCCTTCAGTAACTTAAGTAAAGCTAAGTAAAGCCGTAGATTTTTTGAATCCACCATTCATCTCAGCTTCAGACAGACTGTCCACAAGCGTCCTTGCAAATCCGCCAATTCCTACGGCGGTTCAACGGCGACGACTAAGGGCGTCCACGTCAGGTGATCAAGTTACAGTGATCTCTACATGGTTTGCCTTCAATAGAAACTTGTTGAACCATAACTGGATAATATATGGTTAATATATGGATAATATATGGACATATATATATATGGTTAATGATCTTGAACCATATGGTTTATCAATGATATTTCTGATTGGTGGTTGAGCCTACCCCTCTGAAAAATGATGGAGTTCGTCAGTTGGGATGATGAAATTCCCAATATATGGAAACATGTTCCAAACCACCGACGAAATAATGATATTAACAATGTATATAAGAAAAGAAATACAATAATACTGATGACAACAACAATAATAACAACCACCATACTGATGTGAAACAAACATGGTCATGATAATACATGATAATACGCATGATTAAAGAAAAACATAGCAATAATAAAAGCATAATAACGCCAATAATAATGATATAACGGAATAACGTAATAATCATCAAAATAAAACATATATGATCAATCATAATCATATCTAATAATGATGCCCTTGATTTTGGGCTCAACCAAATGCCATGTGCTGATCCATGTTCACAACCGAACCTAACTCGGAACATCCCACAGGGTAGTACTGCGCTAACAAGTGAACTGAAATGTGTCTTTGTTGATAAATCCCATTGATCATATATATATTCTACCATTCACCGCTAGTGAAATATATCAAATGTGATGGACATTTGGAACTTGATATTTTCCATTTTCCATGTCCATTTTCCATTTGATATTTGATTTCCAATAGGATCCATGGTGCTGCTATTGGTGAACCAATTTGTTGCAAACTCGATTCACATGACAGAATTTGGTAGGCCAGATCAGCTTTTCTCTAAGTGATTTACCAATATTGGTAGCAAGTGATCGAACTGGTTGACAAAATGAAGCCAGACATATCCGTGAACCGAAGCGCGTCCTTTTCAGGTGGGATGGGAATGGCACATGTGCTCGACGATGCTGGCGCCTTTCACAACAAAAGATGGGACAGTCATTGGTAAACCATTAGCCAAACCAGGGGATTTCATCAACTAAGATGGATGAATAATGACGACAACGGTTGAAAATAATCACGAACAATTTCATGATAATAGTGAAACAAAAACATAGATGGATAATGATGGATAATTCATGATACAATAGCTAACGATGGTTAATGATCAATGATTCATGACAAACAGTGGACAATTAATGTTAGCTATCAATGATAATTCGGATGGTTAGTTCATCCCTTCGCCTGAATATGAAATGATACCTTCGGTACCCAAATTAAAAGATACAAGACAAAACCAGGGATTTCTGGGACAGATTGTTTGGGAGAGTAAAGTACATGCAAGAATAGTATAACTGCCGATGTGGCCACAACTATTTCCGTATACTTGGTCGTTGGTCCCACAACTTAAAAGCTGATACGAAAGTCATATCAGTTTGTCTTGGGTACCCTGAAATCTATTGGTTGATTATCATATTTCCTTCGAAACTAGCTATTTTGGGAACCATTTCACCATTTTCAGCCATATTTCATGGTGTAAATTGGATTATGATTAGTTATGAATAGGATTCACCTACAGAGCGGTGGGGAAGCCCTATTCACCTGGGATGGTCATCCAAGAAAATGGTTGTTGGATATGCATATGGGGTTCTTCACATGTGGATCTCCAAAACCATGGTTTTCAATATCAAAATTGTGTAATGACTTGGACCTGGATAGTCTGGGGTGCCTCCATTTTAGGAAACCTCCATATACAATGCATACACCCTTTGGTAATCAGCTCCATAAATTTCGATGTACACGCCCATTTCGTTTGGGGGTTTCCCAGTGGCCCGCTGCAAATTGATTGAATTATTGAATTCACTTACCCAATTATCAAATGTACACTAATCATTATGGTAGCATTTGGGGGTTTCCTAAAAAGATCCCCAAGTCACTGTGGGTTTCAATACTGTGCATCACGATGGTCAGAAGGCTGCCTTGGCTTTCGCCAATCCCTGGCGGCCATGCCGCTTGGAGATCGTGCTGCCTTGGATTTCCGCCAAGATATCATAGTGGTCTCTGTCGTGGTAGACGACGTGGATCGTGTGCAGCGGCAGCGGTACCATCCATCAGGAGCGATTTCAGTGAAGTCTCGGCAGCTTGTGATGGAAAATCCTCGGGAAGTCGTGGAAAATCCAAGGGAGGTGGGGAATGTCACGTCCGAAAAGCCCGGGACTTTTCCCCTAAACAGTGTGACCACACTGAGAGGTTCTTACGGTAAGTGGTAAGGCCCGGTGTTCATTGATAGGAAGTTTCCATTGAGGATTTGTCTTACCCTCTGGTAAACTAACATAGCTATTGAAAATGGCCATAGAAATAGTGGATTTACCCATTAATAGCATGGTGATTTTCCATGGTTATGTCCATTTAGTTCGTGGATTTACCCATTAAAAATGGTGATTTTCCATAGATTTTTGTATGTTTACCAGAGGGTATACACCCGATTTACAGTAGTTCATTGATCTTTGGAGACGGTGATTGTAGGGTGATTGTTGGATTCCGGATCACAAAAATGACGTTGTCCACCCAGTCCCGGTTCAACCACTGTGACATTGGCTCAAAACTATTTAAGACCCAAAATTGGATGGCTAGGCTCCTAAACACCACAATGGATGCGAGTCAAATTGTGGTTATAGCGCAATGGCACGTTGGCCCTTAGTGACTTACCATAATTCATCCTGATAGAGATCCATCATTTGACTGGGTTATACTATATGTTATACTATGGTCCTTGCGGGGTGCACATCCATCTTTGTGATCTGAAACCCATTTGGGGATAGTTGATTACTGCAATTTGCAATGTTGTCGTAAGGTTCGATCGCAGCATCATGTCTCCAAATTTTCCAGAATAAACACTGGGGGCGGTGACATATCCCAATAAATCCCATGAAATCCGATTGAATTCCAACAAATCCAAATAAATCCCAATTAATAAATTATTGTTCCAGGAATTCCAATGAAATCTCCAGGACATTCCAATAAATCACCATAAATCTTCCACAAAATCCCGTGATTCCAAGCAAATTCTCGGGCCGGGGAAGCACCCCACCCGACCCCACCTGTCCGATGCTGGGTCCGGGCCCGGCGGGCCCGGGCCCAGGAGCTGCGACATCTTCGCGCATGACCTCGGTAGAAAGTGGTGCCCAGTGATGTTTGTTGGTTTATAGTAAGGCGCCTATGATAGCTAAGTTGGTTTCTAAACCCACGAAGTATAGTTAGAAATGTCAGAAACCATAGTTATTGGAGTTATAAACCAACTTAGCTATCTTAGGGGCCCCACATTGTATAGATATTGGTGTCAGTGAATGAAGTATACCCCAAAAAAGTACAGAGTAAATGGAAACTTGCTTTCAGATCAACCCATATATGTTTACTATAAACCCTAGTGGGAGTTGCGAATCTAGCTAGCAGGGGAATAAACAAACCTACAACTGGGGGTTCCTTCTTGTAGTTCTGAAAGATTGTCTAACTGTGAGAACATTACCTTGTTGTACGCAGGGTATGTAATCACCGATCCTAATCAACTGCTAGGAATTGACACAAACCCATATAAATAAACAGGGCGGTGATGGTGGTCTGGGGGATTACGGCCAAGGGGGTGGTTCTTACCCTTCTTCTCCTCCTACTCAGCCTCCGCAGAATACTTCGAAACCACATCCTAGGCAAAAGGCGGACGTCCAAAAACAGCCACACACAGAGCAGCAGCCCCACAAAACGCCCAAGACCTTTGCCGAAGTGGTTCGAGCCAACACTGCGTTTAAGCCGGTGTGGAGCCTGCGTCAGTCAGACTGGACGGGGCCCATTTTGGGCTTTGATGACTTTTGTGTCGCACTGGATAAGCCTGGAAATATTTCAGCTACAGTGCAAGTGAACTCGGAAGAGCAACTTGAGGAGTTGCAGGTTTTGCTGAAAGGCGATTCCCCTGATATCAAAAGAGAGCTCAACATCACAGCTGTGATGCTAGCGCCGAAAGAGGCCAAGCAGACTGAAGAGGATCGACCTTTGCGGATGGTGCCAGGAAAGATCTCGGGCAAGGTGCAGCCCAGGCAGGCGTTTGTGATCCCACTTCAAGGCCAAGGGCCATCACTCAAGAGAGCTGCCGTTGTGTCAGCGGCTCCTGCAGTGCAGCCTGAAACTGTTGTAGTGAGATTAAGTGTCGATGCAAAATATTTGCAAAACAACGAGTGGCAGAGCATCCAGGCCAAGCCAAAGGCAAACGCGCAGGCTTGGTTGCATCGGCATGTTCCAGAGCATGTTGCGGACAAAGTCTTTGATATGTGGGCGTTTCAGCAAGAAAGCATGAAAGGCGGAGGCAAGCCAGTGATCACTGGCCTTTTACGCATTGAGCGTAGTGCTGCCAAAGCTCTTCTAGGCTGCTCAGGCAAAAGTACCTGGTTTGTGGAGCCTTTGCAATGGAACAACTCCGTGGTTGAATCTTGCGATGTTGAGTGGGTCAAGAAAAGTTCGGAACTTGATGGGCCCAGCTACTTGCAGAAGGTTCAGTCCATGGCTGGTGACCTGGGCATTGCCCGGGGATGGAATGGACTGGGAGTACGTAAGCCCAGGAGCACCGAGCCTCCTCCTAAGGCCTGAGCGTGGCGCGTCACTGGTGTTCCGCGAGATTGGGCGGCTAGTACCTTGACTCAGGAACTTACACGTGCTGGCCTGACTGAACTCAAGGTGTTGTCCCGGAAAACTGTGGGCAAACAAGTGGAATGGTGGGTGCAGGCCAATGCCCAAAAGGATATGGATTTCATTGAAATGCAGGCTGGCGAAAAAGTCATTGTAGCTGTTGAAGCTCCAAGACAAAGACGGCAGAGAACACATACCATGAAACTGGCTAGCAATGGAAGGGTCAGTTATAACCAGAGCCATGCATGGCAGGCGATTGCCACGCCTGCTCCTCGCAAATCTTTCTACATGGGAAAGCCAGTCAAAAAGCCAGTGACTATTGCAGGGGCTGAGAAGGTTCCTACTGAGAATTTGGATGAGGACAAGTCGTTCGCAAAGATGGACAATGCTGGAGAACCCGCTGGGGCAAAAAGAACTGTCAGTACTCCTGAAAAGAGTCCTCCGGCCAAGCGTGTTGCGGGGGAACCCAAGCCCCCTCACAATATGAAGGTGAAAAGCATCCCTGCTGACGGCAACTGTCTTTTTGAAGCCCTTGCTCAAAGTTTGGGCGGAAAAACGGCCAGGAATGTGCGTGCAAGCGTTGTCACCCACCTGACCAAGCACCAGGGTCGTTACAAGCCCTGGTGGGACGGCAAGGAGCCAACAGAGGCGGAGAATGCTTGCGAATCATGGGAGAGCTATCTCACCATGCTCTCAAAGATTGGTGCTTGGGGCAGTGCTCTTGAAGTTTCTGCTGCGGCTGTGCACTACGATCGCCCGATCATTGTCTTCCAGCCTCGTGGTGTTCCGGAGATTTACAATGGTCGTGGCAAGGGTGGTGCTCCCATCGCTTTGTGGTTTCGTTCAAAGCACTATGAACGACTTGAAGGTGCTTTCCCGCCTGAAGTTTTGACTCAGGCTGCAAATGGTCCAATGCAGGGCAACAGAGGTGGAGGATCGGAAAGTGGCGCTACTTCAGTTGGTGCCACCAGATTGTCAGCTTTGCCGTCACTGGTTCATAGCAGCAAGAAACGTGGAAGGTGTGCTAGCCCCGCGCCCGCTTCTTCTTTGTCAGAGCAGCGCAAGAATTCTTCTTCCCCTGCGGCTGCTAGTTCGGGTCGGGGTCCGTGCACGCCACGTGCAGCCAGTGAAGGACAAGACGCAGCCAGTGCTTCGTCTAGACGCACTAAGCGTACTGAGTGGACATGCCCTTTGTGTGACTTTTCCACTGGGGTGTGCAAAGGATGGGTTGACAAGAAGAGAGCTCATATCAATGCTTGGCATCCCGATGAGAAGGAACAGTTGAAAATCGGCTTCAAAAACACTTTGCCTGCGCTGTCTGCAGTCAAGAAGGGAGGAGTCTATAGCTGGAAGTGTCCTGTTTGCAAACTTGGCTTGTCCGCTGATCACAACCTCAAACCTGGCCAAGTGTACAGCGTCATCCGCAAGCATAGGGAAGACAAACATCCTCAGGCAGATGCCAAGCTCTTCCACAAGGACAGCAGCTTCAGACGGGAGAATGCTAGCAAAGCCACGCGCCAGGTGCGTGCAGCTGCAGTGGCTCGAAGGTTGCTTGGCTTCAAGCGTGGCGATGCTGGAGCACATGACCCCACTTTCGTTTCTATTCCAGCCACAGGAAATGGCAAACAGAAAAGAGTTGGAATGTCCTACGTCATTTGCAAAACTTGTGGCAGTATGGCTTTGACAGCGAAGCGTTTGGCAAAGATTGCTTGTGAACAGTATGCTTCCAGCAAAGGGCCCAAACGAGAGCAGTTGGTGGAAAGATTGCGTGCGTGCCTCAAAAATGCAGACATCAGCGATGACCTCAAGAAGGGTGCCCGCACAGTTTTGGAAATCATCGACTCTGGAGCAGTTCGCACCACTGATACTGCTGCAGACAGCACGCATCAGATTGAGGCCATTGTGTGGCCTGCCAATTTTACGGTGCGTTTTGCTTGTGTGCATTGCAAGCGTTGTGTCAACAACATCAGACGGCTTACAGGAAGTCAGTGTCCTCGTAAAATGGTTTGGACTAAGTTTCGAAAGGGCCAGAGGGATATTTTGGTGCCTCTTGCGGCTCAGGCTCCAAGTGCCAGACAGCGAGCTGCTTCGCGAGCTTTGGACATTTTGGGATTGCAGCAGGATGGCGCTGTGGATCAGAACCCATGACGGGCTCTGACAGCACTATGCGGTTGGGGACTATGAATGTACGGTCCTTGGGAGGCCGCTTGGGTGGTGTGCTTGACTTTGCTCAGCTCCAGAATTTACATGTTCTGTGTCTTCAAGAAACTAGAGTTAACAATCACAGCTGGAATGCTGTGACTCGTGCCGTCAAGGCACGCGGGTGGCAACTTTTTCCTGGCCCTCAAGGAAGAAATTCGAAAAATGTAGTGGAAGGTGGTACATTGGTTCTAACAAAATGGCCTGCTGAGGCCTTGGCCCTTCCTGTCGACATGGTGTCTGTGGAAAGATCCATGGCCGTCAAACTCTATAGACCTCAGCAAAGGCCGTTGATTCTCATCAATGTTTACTTACACGCTTCTGATCGCACAGCTGCCAGCCGTGCGCTGGGTGCGCTGTTCGAGTTTGTTGCTACTTGTGGTGAAGATACAGTGATCATGGGTGACTTCAATTTGGAAATTCATTGTTGGCCAATTTCTAACGTTTTGGCTACTGGACAGTGGCGGTCCTGTGATGAGCTGGTTTGCGGAGATCGTGTTTTAGGTGGTACACATCGAACTGCTGCAGGTGTTTATACAGGTGTGGTCATTGACTATGGCTTGTGCACTCCTCGGTTAATTATTACTGGTAGGGAGCAACATCTTGGCGTGGCTGACCATGACGCGGTGGTTTACAACTTGCATGTGCCTGGTTCATTATCCACACCGTGGACTCTCCCAGTTGGTGCCCCTTTGCATTCTGAAAAGGTTGCTGAAGCTTCTTGGCTAAGTGCTTGGGAAGAAGTATGTGACGATTTTGGAAATGCATTGAGTACAGGCAACGTGGACTCTGCTTGGACCTTACTTAGCAACTGCGCAGAATCTCTTCTTCTCGCACGTGGCAAAACTGGTCGTGCTATGCGCCAGGGCCCGCAGCAAATTGCCAGTCCTCCGTCTTCAAAAGCGCCTTCTTTGCAAACAGTGAAAGAGCGCAAGCTCAGACGCTTCGCACGAAGAGTGGTGGAGTACCAAAAGGCCCCGTTGCCCGAGTTGGAGAAGAAGTTGGTTCGTGATGGCCCTCATTTACATCATTCTTTGGCTTTATTCTCTTTGGATGACCCCAGGTTGGTTAGTGCAGTGCTTGAATTGGCAAATGCAGAAGCTACAGCAGCGTCCAAGTTACGCTTGGAGGCGTGGAAGGACAGCGTGCAGGAAAATGCCACCAAACTAGGCAGGTGGGTCAAACAGGTGCCGCCCGCCAGCCCTACTGCAAGTTTTGATGGCCCCATTCTACCTGCAGATAGGGCCAAGTGCGCAGCATTGGATTGGGAGAGGTATTGGAATCCAGGGTCGCTTCCGAATTTGAATCTGGGGGACCAGTTGTACTCTCAGATGGGCTCTGCAAGCGATCCATTGCCGGATGACTGTATTCAGGTTAGTGGTTCTGAATTGGCTCGGATTGCGCTCAAAGCGAAGGACAAGGCTCCGGGCATGGATGCCTGGACAGCTCTCCATTTGTGCAATCTTCCCATTGCTTTTTGGGATCAGGTCGGTGCTCTTTGGGATGCTTGCTTGCGACATGGCTGTGTTCCTGCGATGTGGAAAGATGTTAGAATTGCTTTGTTACCAAAAGCTACTGGTGGCATGCGCCCTTTAGCCATTGTCACTGTCCTGTGGCGTATTTGCATGAGTGCCACTCTGAAAAAATTACAGCCTTGGATTGCTGAATGGGCTTCGCCCGAACTTTTTGGTGGTCTACCAGGCAAGGGCATCATGGAAGTCCATGAACGTTTCTACGAAGCTGTCAGCACGGCAAAGCAGTCTCGTGTCGATTTGGTCGGGTGCAAAGCTGATGTTCGCAAGTGTTTTGATTCAGTTTGCCCTCAGACAGCCATTAAAGTGTGGCGATGGTTCGGTGCTCCCTCATCAATTTGTGATTTACTCGCTGATTTTTACAGTGAACAGCGTCGTTGGTTTGCTTGGCAAGGTTCTTATCACCCTCATCCGGTTTTTGCTCAACGGGGTTTGTTGCAAGGCTGTCCAGCCAGCCCTGCGCTACTGAACGCTTTGATGACCGTTTGGGTGAGGTTTGTCAAACGGCAGGAACCAAGGATTTCTTTGGCTATTTATTTGGACGATCGCACCATGTGGAAACAAGGTTGTCAAAGTTTTGAAGTGGTCATCAACGCCATGACTGCGGGAGCGCAAGCCGATGCTATTCTCGGCTTCGAACTTCACCCTGACAAATTGGCTAGCTTCGCCACCAAACCGCATCTGGTTGCCAAGGTGCGCAAGAAGAAAGATTTAGTAGGTGTACCTGCGGATACTTTCACACTGCTTGGCATTCAATACAATTTGTCACGCCCCAGTTCTTGTGTTGATGCGGATATTGTCAGTGACAACATTCAGCGACGGTGTCTCAAAATTCGTTTGGCAGCACAGCACTTAGGCACTCGCATTGCATTGGTGCATAAGTTGGTGATATCTTTATTTGCTTGGTCCGGTGCTTTTCATCACTTCAGTGCAAGAACCATTCGAACATGGACATCTATGATCGAAACTGCACTTTGGGGTCGAAGGGCTCCTCCAGGTAGGAGCCGGCTGCTCTTTTGGAATTCTTTGGGTTCTGCAAGACTACATCCGATGTTTGCGCTCCAGTTCACCGCCGCCCGGGCGGAATGGAATCGGCAATGCCGCCGTGCCCAAGGGTTGCCTGCAGCTACCTCGCCTGCTCCTCGCTGGAAAGCAGTGCTTAAAGATTGGAAATGGCGACTTGACGATGGCCTGTGGCACACGCCTGCTGGGATTTTGAAACCTGGGTGGATGTCTTTGAAAAGCTTGCAAAAAGCCGCTATCCATTCATGGCTCGTTGGTTTGTGGACTAAAGACACCAAAACGGATGGTAGATGGCCAAACGGCAAGGAGCCGGTTTTCCTTTTTCAGGCAAATGCAGCTTTAGGCATGGATTACTACAGTCGCAGGGTTTTGACTGGTGCTGCAGTGGATGGCAGGGTCACAGAGCGCTTTGGTTCTGCTTTGAGTTGTGAATGTGGATTGCGGTCTCCTGATCGAGAACATCTCACTTTTCACTGCCAAGCGCAGCCATGGGATGGTGAGTTCAGGAGCGCTACTGAACGTCGTTTGCTGGTTCCACTTGTGGATGCTCCTCCTGTTTTGCCTTTTTCCAACATGGTAGCAGATCCTGCTTTGGTTACTTTTATTCAGCAATTCGATCCTCTTCAGCGACCCACCTTGGGTTTGGACGGCAGTTGTATCATAGCTACTTCCTGTGATCGATGGCAAAGAGCTAGCTGGGCGGTTTCGACACTTTCAGGCACCACTGTTCAAGGTGCCGTGACTGGTTTTGAGCAAACACCTGCTGCAGGTGAGCGTGCTGCTCTTCTGCAAGCTTGTTTAGCCTCTTCTGCAGCTAACAGACCGGTGATGCTCTTGATTGACAATCAGGCTTTGGTGCGGCGGCTTCAGCGAGGCATTAGCACTGGCCGTTGGGAGGGTGACTTGCCGCTTTTCTGGCAGCGGATCAGCGGCTTATTGATTCAGGGCACTGTTTGCATTTGGATCCCTTCTCACAACAAGGTGCCTGACTGGACACCACCAGATGGTTGGATTTTGTGTTTTGCTTGGAGAAGTATGGGAACTTGATTCTCGCAGATGGCATACTATGGCGTCTTAACTACTTCACTTCGGTGAGGAGCAGGTTGACGTCCGCTTACAACAACAACAACAAACAAACCCATATGATCCCATATGGTTTTGTCTGGAAATAGGGCACCTAGTCACCATCCAATTCCAATGGATTGTTGTTATCATCATGATCCCCGTTCAAATGGCCATGTGGAAAGTATACCCAAAAAGATGCCACCAAGTCTTTCCAGGATGGTAGTTCGATGATGTTTCGGACATCATTTCCAAGTTGCCATTTTCAGAGGACACCACACTAGCAGTGTTCAAAACCCCGTGTCGTCCTTATATATTGGTTGGTTGACAGGGATTATTTGAATGTGATTAATGTGGTAAACCCAATAGTAAAACACCCCCCAAATCCCCATAAACGGGGGTATAAACTTATACACCATGTCCGAAGGGTTGGTTTATTGTTGTGTTGCCCATATAATCCCCAAAATATTGGTTAGCAGAATCCCCGAACTAATCATCAACCAACAACGCTCAGGTCTGATGAAAACGCGCGCCGAAGGTTGAAATGGAGCTACTGTTTTCCTCAGGCCTACAACCACTCACGGTCCTTCGTGATATCCAGGTATGTTGCTGGATCACATCCAAGTTGGTTTGCTCTGTGTTCTCGGGTCAATGCCAATGCTTTCAGCACATTCTGCAAACCAGGCTTGGAACTAATAAAATGTGCATACAAAGCATCTACATGTGCTGTTGCAGGTGCGCTTCTACGCAGCAAATTTGTGCGCCTGAGTGTTCTCTTCATTTGGTTTACCATCGATTCTGCTTTGTTATCATTTCCAACGAGCTTCACGTTTTTTTGTCTTTGGAGACTACAGCAGCAGGGCGACGCATCGTAGCAATTTGCTTGATCATTTTTGCTGTCCAGCAGAGAAGCGACCCAACTTCAACGTTTGCACCGGGCTCATCTCATCAATGGCATGCCGAGCGCTTGTGCATGGCATGATAGCGTTCCATGTCTGACAGGGTTGCAGCGTAGGGATTGGGCCAAGTAAACATGAGCGTGATCTTAACGCAGTTTAGTGTGAAACAACATTTTTATTTGTGTGCAAGTGCAAAAAGATCGGCTAGCGTAACATCCGGCATGTGTGCAAGTGCAAAAGAAGATCTGCTAGCGTAACATCCCGCATGTGTGCAAGTGCAAAAAAGATCGGCTGGCGTAACATCCCGCATGTGTGCAAGTGCAAAAGAAGATCTGCTAGCGTAACATCCCGCATGTGTGCAAGTGCAGAAAAGATCGGCTGGCGTAACACCCCGCATGTGTGCAAGTGCAAAGAAAATCGGCTAGCGTAACATCCTGCATGTGTGCAAGTGCAAAAGAAGATCTGCTAGCGTAACATCCCGCATGTGTGCAAAAAGATCTGCTGGCGTAACATCCCGCATGTGTGCAAGTGCAAAAGAAGATCTGCTAGCGTAACATCCCGCATGTGTGCAAGTGCAAAAAAGATCGGCTGGCGTAACATCCCGCATGTGTGCAAGTGCAAAAGAAGATCTGCTGGCGTAACATCCCGCATGTGTGCAAGTGCAAAAAAGATCGGCTGGTGTAACATCCCGCATGTGTGCAAGTGCAAAAGAAGATCTGCTAGCGTAACATCCCACATGTGTGTAAGAAAGCAAAGGCCCAGAACGTTAATACACCCCCCAAACCACTCTTACAAAACACTGCGGGCAATGGTATAAAACACTCCAGAACACGTCCTGCCTTGGGGTTTTGATCTGGTGAAATCGCGCGTTTTCACCAGATCGGAGCCACCAACAGGGGTGGATCGCAGCCACTGCTCACATCCGCCCAACCGTCGCCGTCGTGCCTGGTACTTGGGCGCGGCTGCTCGTTGCGCTTCAAGTCGTTCACGCATCTGCGCCAAAGGATCTTTGACCTGACGATGCCAATGGCGATCCATCGGGTTTTTAAAGGGACCCATGAAATTCATGGGATTTCACGGGATAATGAGAATTTAACCAAAAAGAAATAATCGAATTGAAAAAAAAAAACTGATTTCATGAGACTCCATCTTAATTTATGCGACAAACACTGCACGACTAGAAAATGTCCCATAAATGGGTGAACTCATATGGTTGTTGCCGCGTGCAGCTGGGATGTAGCGTTTTTCTTTCCGGTTCTGCGTTTGCTCATTGTTTTCGCCGTCAATGTGGCCATACTTGGGGTATACCTGCCAAACCCAAGTGGGTCTATTACAAACAGGAGGCTTGAGCAAATTGGAGCCAATGATCGATATTAAGCGGTGCCGCCACATGGACGTTTGATCTGTTCCTCTGGTGTAAAGTACGGGTACAGCTGATGTCTTTTGGGAAGGAATGAAGAAACACCATAGCGAAAAATATGGTACAACAAATATTCGTTTGCCTTTCTCAGAACAACCAAAACAGGCAATTTAGAGTTATCCAAGTAAATCTTGTTAGTTGCCCAGATTCAAACATCCAATAGCCAACTTGCATGCTGGTTACAGAACCATCACATTTGCTGGCCAATAAATGGAAAAAATCTGAAACCATGTTGTCTTTCTGGCGGCGCACCAATTCGGATCCGCAACCACCCAGCCACAATATTTTTGCCCGGCCAGTTTATTTTCGTGCCTCTGGTGCTGCCTCGGGCGCCTGACCCGAAACAGGTCATTTTGAATTGGGCCATGCTAGGTTGCACCCTATGGCAATCAAACATTGCAATGGGAAATCTTTGGAGCTCTCCTGCACATGGAAAATGAGAAATGGTTGTCTATAAATCGTGGATTTCCCATTGCTGCCAAAATGTAATCCACCGCCATTGCAGCGTCGAGTTTTGAAGAACGCCAAGCTGTGGCACAATGGATATGGGGGTTGTCATGGGCAAATGTTTTGGGCTGGCCGAAATTTGAGGCGCCTGCGTAGGTTTGTCCACCTGTTTCCAAGCCGATTCCTTCTCGCAGCTGAAAATTTGAATAACTGCGCCATGCCTGGCCCAAATCCAAATGTATGACCAATGGTGGCCTGAAAAATGGGTTGGGCCCACAACAAAAGGGATAGAATCACCCACTTTAAGATACTCTCAGCCATTTGGTTTTGTTTGCCACAAGGGCGCTCCAACACCCTTTGTTTTTCCTATTAAATAACTTTTTTGGGGGCACTCACGGGCACCCCATATTCAGAAGCGCCCATATGCTGTCTGGGATGGCTCAAAGCATTCGCCGGCGAAGACAAAAATGGATAGATGATAGATCAAACAAACATGTGATTTGCCGAATTAAAATCGGTCATGTTGTTGGGCCCATAACCAACGGTATGATATTGGTTTGAAACATAGATACTCCCAAAACCCTATGGTGGATCATCATGTCCCCTTTCAAATTCCACGGTGGAACCTTTCGTTGGTGTTCATGTGCGGCAGCCGTCCGCGGTTTTTGGTGTAGTGGAACAGACAACTCGGTCTTTCGTAGTGGAAGTAGTTTCAAGCGCTCTTACCTGCATTTTGATTTGTTTTTGATAATTCACCAACCTGAAATGTTTTGCCACACATATTCCTTTACCCAGCCACCCCCCGAACGAAACGTTTGGCCACTTTGGGATAGTTACCCCTATTGACCATCAGTTACGGTTATGTCGCAGTGAGATTGTTACCATTCGGATCCATTCGGCCAGGGTCTGTATGTTTGGCACACCATTGAGTAGCATTTATCATGACTCACCAATTGGTGGTTCCCTGGTTACAACTCTATGGCTTAGCGTTCACCACGGTGGAGCAAGCCCTGAAAAAATGGCTGGGAGTGGACATGAAAAGATGGAAATCCATGGTACTGGTTTGCTGGTTCAACCCCATCTGGTTGGTGGTACACCTACCCCTACCCCTCTGAAAAATGATGGAGTGAAAGTCAATGGGTTGCGGATGACATCCCATATATGAAGTGGGAAATAATCCAAATGTTTGAAACCACCAACCAGCCATATATGCATATTTGAAACCAGCGACCAGTTAAAGTCCGGTTTACATGGTGGATATAGGCTATCTAGATCAATTTGTTGGCTGCAATAAAATGTTGAAGCCACCAGCCAAATGAACTAAATCTGCAATTCTGAAAAGGCTGAACAAAAGTCGACGTAAGTCCAGACCTGGAAACGTCGCCTGGTCAAACTTGGCTCTTCAGTTTGTCTGTCCAAAGGTCTTCAAATGTTAAGAATGGATGAATGGGCAGTGGGCCATCTTCCTGACTCCATGTTCTGGATTGCATGTCACGCATCATCCAATGGATATTTCCAAAGATTGGGTGAACCTGGAAATCCAACAAAACTAGTGTCTTTCTAGTGTCCATTTCTACTAAAAAAACTAATCCCATTCTTAGGTATCCAACTTTGAGACATATCCAACTTAGGGAGTTTCTTACTTTTTTTACTGCGGAGAAATCAGTGGTTTCCTGAAACATGACAAACATGGCAAGTGGAAATCCATACCAGTAACAGTTGGAAATCTCCATTGGTTTTATGCTGGTTGGTGGTATACCTACCCCTCTGAAAAATATTAGTCAGTTGGATTTTTTATTCCCAACATATGGAAACAAATGTTCCAAACCACCAACCACTTTTTTTGCATTATACCGCTGGCCAACATCAATTGACCCGCTGAAAAGGTGACTTTGAATAAGCCATTTTCCAGGAGGCTTGATTCTTCAGTGGCTGGCTCGGAAACACAATTCTCAAGAAACTCTCTGCTCTGCGATGCTGTAGTGGCCATGTCATGTAGTCCAGAATGGGAGGGATATCCTCAATCTGAATCTTGAAAAGATACGGGTCCATTACCCATAGGATCCATGTATGCTATATTTATGGTAACATTTACCATCAATATACCCCAAATGTTAGCATATATACCATACATGGATCCTATGGGTTATGGTACAAAAATCTGTCCTTCAGGATGCTCCCCAGCTGTAGAATTGGTGTTATAAACCTTTCCACCTTTGCAAGCTTGGCTACTTAGTAGGTATCTTCCAACTGCCAGCTCACCTAGGGGGAATCTTCTTGTTGGGGTCTTCCAGATTGTGTACAGTACCCTCTGGTAAACTAGTATAGTTAAGAAAAATAACCATTTCATATAGGTAAATCACCTATAAAAGTAATTTTCAATAGCATTAATTGGAATACAATAGCTATCTTAAATTACCAAAGAGTAATAAAACCGTGACCTTTCAAAACCATGCTAGTGGTTTTTGTCGTGCTTTTCCTGATCACTGCCTTCACACGTCTGTAAAAAACATTGAAGCCCTCCGGCATGAAAAATTGGAGCACACCCAAACACGCGGAATTAACCATGCTTGGTATTGAACCATCCATTTGGTGGGTCTTCCTCATTTGAGCAATATCCACATGATTACAAAGTGTGGGGTACGGTATGGCCCAATCATAAAAATCATGATGCGCAATATTTCTGTTAGAAGGGCTTAGAACTTACTTACAACATCAAAAACAGTAAGTTCAGAAATAATCAACTCAGTAAATGGTTGGAAACTGGCTGATTTCACCACTTTGAATTGGGAAAACGTAGGACTTCTTTTCCCATTCAGATTGATATCTCCCAGGGTCGTCTGAGTGGGCAGGCCCACCTCTGTTTCGGCAGTTGCACTGGTCGTGTTGGAACCCAAGTAGTACATTGAGCTCGTCCTAAGTTGCAGCACTTCGATGTGCCTCAACTGGGGTGTGGTCGTTAAAAAAAGTTGATGGAACATATCATGTTGGAACACGGGGATTGCATATTTGTAGATTGACCCACTTGGATGTGAGTCCCAAATTGCAGTTGGTTAGCATGACTAGGAACCGCATTATATATGGATAGTACATGATTATACCGACTTGTGACATATTTTATCTGTGGCCATGGGCCAAAATTCAAAACCAAGGTGCCCTGATTTAGATTGGTGGTTTTGGTGGCCTTGCAAGGAGGATCACCCCATTTAGTATGTGGTTAACCTCAGTTACTAGCCAGATCTAACCAGGTTTAACTAACTCGTCCTGGGATGATCAATTCTCCAGGATCAATGCGATAGAAATGGACGGAAACCTATTCTAAATGTTAATTCTATGGCTAATTTGATGGCAAATATACGTATAACTAACCAAAACTATGGAAGAACAAACAGAAAATTGGCATATCGGTCATTACCCACCGGTAGTTTAACATAGCTATAGAACATGAAGGATGTATGGATGATTTACTGTACTGTACCTATTAAAAATTGTAAAATTTCATAGCTACGTGAGTCTTTACCAGAGGATAATCTTAAGTATGAAAACCATCAAAATCTTGGCCATGGCCATGTTCACATTTTGGCACGACCTTTCTTTGCTGATAAACAATGCGGTCTTTGTTGTGGTGGTATATCCCGTTCTTGGTGTTTAATTTCCTCATTGCTTCAATTCCCGTTTTTCATTCTTGTGATGCCTATTCCTCTCCACTCTGTTTGTCTGAAAAAAGGAGGATTTAATCCAACCGACTGCTTATCAAAATCTTCCCCCTTGTGAAAAAACAATGAAATGGAATGAATTTTTCAACCTTTAGACACATTCTATATACAGTTGGTCATATATCCTCTGGCGTCCCGGTGTATCCTCAAAATATTCAGATTCTATCCCCGTATATCTGATAACTTTTCGATCTTAGATGCTTTGCTTTAAAAAATGTTCAAACTGTTTTGAAAAATATCCCAATCTAAAGAGCAGCAACAACATGTTAGTACTACTAAACTACTTATCCGTTCAGTTTCCCCAGATTATCATGACTGGCTTGGTCTGTTGATCCCCTGTGAAAGTATGGGACGACATGAAAATCCGTCGAACCTGAAAAAACCACAACACAACTCTAGATTTCTGTGGCGATCCAATACATCCAGCTGGTGGAATTTGATGATTAAGTCCAAATTTTGGTTGGTTAAGCAGCTTCCGTGTTTGATGGTAACAACAACGAATCGGGAACAAATCCGATCACCAAGGTTATGAACCAAGGTGATTCACCACTTACAGTAACCGTCAGTGACTTACACATCAAATACTCCCCATTAAAAAAAACACATATATTATATTTATGGCCTGAGTCTTAACTAGTTACTACGGGGGGTAATCAAACGTAGCAATGGAGAATCTCCGGTAAATTTTATAAATGTAGGTGCTGGGAAAATAAAGTAAAAACAATGGTTGGGGGTTCCGTTGATTGACCCGTCAACCATATCCTAACTTACTTATGATTAGATGGAATAATCCATAGTATCCAGTTAATATATATATATGTACACACAGTATATACTATATACATAGTTTCTTAACTAGTTGCTATTACTAACTGGGACAATCTGAAGAACCAAGGTTACCCGTTACGATTCGTGGGGTCGCCTGAGTCAAGGCCCCAACGCTGCCGCCGCGGCTGGTGCAGGAACTTCTTCGCGGGCGGCCAAGATGCCCAAGTCGTCCTTCAAAGATGGCTGGCTGAGAAATCTCTGAACTAAATGGAGCTTTGAAAAGGAACATCTCGTATAAATGGTGGATTTTCCGTTTCTATATGTTTGATTGCTGGAGGGTATGTATAGCATTGTGTAGCATTGTGTAGCCGTGATATATGGGGGTTATACGGGTTTGCAGGGTGGTTTCTATAATGAATACATGCAGATACATTCCAACTTTGAAGCATCGCGCGCACACACATATGTCTATGTGTGTGTGTGCAAATGTGTACGTATATACGGTAGCGGAAAAATTAAAATATTAAGTGTAATTTTGAGCAAACAAAATAACCTAATATAGTGCAAAATAAAACAACATAAAATAATGCAATGCATTAATGCATTGTAAAAATTGATGAAACATAATGCGATGTAATACAAGACAATAAAACGCAATAAAGTACGCAATCCAATATATTTGAAAATAACGAGAGACAATACAAAATAATACAATTTCCTAAAATATAGTACAGTGAAAAACAAATGACATGACATATATAAAAAATGGAAATTCACATGACTTTGAATATAAACAACTGTAATATAAATTTGAAAATATGACATGATCACCGAAATGCAACATACCATGTAATATTAAAACTTACGTAACATGAATATTGAATATAGATAAAACATAAAAGATGACATGATATAACAACATGCAATTAACGTCATTCAAAATGATGTAAGCTAGAAACATATTTCAACAATGCAATAAAACATGATTTAATACAATATGAGCCGGCAATACAATATAACAAAAACTCAAATAGTATGACACGAAATGATAAAATGACATATAACATGACTTCGTAGTATATAACTTGAAATAACACAAGCATATGCGCAACTGCAGGAGAAAAAACTCGTAACACTTTTGCTTGTTGCTCCTGATGCAGGGGCCGTATGCTCATGATATGGCCTTCTTGGTGGGTGGGGCAGAGAAAACGGGTGCATCTGATGCTCCCTGAAGGGTTTCTGCAGATCTTTTCCTGTGCCCAGGGGGTCTCTGGCTCGTCGCCGTGGGCAGAATTTGATGTCCCGAAAGGTGGGGCTGGGTTTTCGCGGGAAACGCTGGGTCCAAGTGGCCACTTGGAGGATTTCGCCCCACAGTTCGGGTGCAATCGTATGCAGCGCGGCATACCAATGCAGCCATTCAAGAACTTTGTCATAGCAGGGCAAAACATAAAAAATGGCAAGTCTTGCTTTGCACCGCAGACATACATACCAACAACTGTCATAAGCGTCCGTGTGGTTAATACTAGGCTCTACCGGTCTTGGCTGGTCTTGGTTGGTGTGAAATGTAATACAATATAATGTAGTGTAATATAATATTATCAGTATTTCTACATGTAATCTATAATCTAATTTAATCTATATAATGTACATTAATGTACCCTCTAGTGATTTAACATAGCTATTGAAAATGGCCATTTATAGTTGATTTGCCCATGAAAAATGGTGATTTTCCATAGTTATGTTAGTTTACCAAAGGGTAATATCACCTTACTGTCCACAGAATGATCCACCAGCCTTTTCGCCTTTTCAACGTGTTTTTCAACGCACCTTGTAGGTTGATGCCAAGGCATATGGATCTTTGGGATCGGCACCTTGGTTCCAACGGGACCAACGGGATCTTGTTTTTTTTTTTTTTTTAAGACACACATGGTGGTTTTCAATAGTTAATATACTGCTATTATAATTACTATAATATCATGTATCACTAGCATATCATAAATTACTGTGAAAATTTCATGGTATATTTAATAACATATCATTGGATTACTGTTAGTATACTGTTAATAATATATGGTTAATATATGGAAATATAAATATATATATATATTAATGATCTTGAATAATATGGCTTATCAATGATCTTTCTGGTTGGTGGTTGACCTACCCCTCTGAAAAATGATGGAGTTCGTCAGTTGGGAAGGACGACATCCCATATATTATGGAAAGTCAAAAAAATCCATTCATATTAACAATGTATTTCCATATGTTAACCATATATTTATGATTAACCAATATAAAATTCCATGGTTCCAGTCACCACCAACCAGATGAAAAGATGGTGGCTTCACCATGCTGATCTACAAACTGGTCCATGGTGCTTGAAAAAGCCGCTGGCATGTGGATCCAAACTGCAAAAAGCTAGCGCGTTCAACAAGAACTGAGAGAGAAGCACAATGGTTGCATGGTTTGAAGCAGCAAATATCGCTTAAATAAGCAACAAAGATACGGATTATAAATCACAATGCACTATTGCCGAGGGTGCCCCACCAGCTAGTGCCGCACCTTTTGGGGGATCAATTACCTGCAATTGTTACCATCCAAGTTCTGAAAGAGACCCTTCCGGGACCCTTCCGTAAACCATGGCTGGTCTTGGATACTATGCCTCCCTTACAAAACAACTGTTGTATAAATTCCCATGTATAGCAAGAACTAACTGGTTCTCGGTTTCAACCCATCTAAATTAGTCAATGGCGATCATCATCAACATTAAACATATCACACACCACCAACCAGGAAAAGTACCACCAGGAATCCATCCAGTTCGTTGACCCCACGAATCTTCTGAAACATCTGGATTTGAAGATGCAAAGTACCCTCCGGCAATCAAAGGTGGCAGTGGGAAATGTCCTATAAGTGGAGGTTTTTATGGGAAACTCCTCTACAAGTATAAGAGGTGGATGTTCTATTGCCATGTATGATTACTGGAGAGGCAAAATCTTGCTACTATACTATATTCAGATTTTGGCTTAGGGCTCAAACTGGATACCCATCACAATGGAAACGATGACAAACCGATGCATAACAGCGGTTGAAGACTTATGTTTCAGTTTCGATTCAACATGCCAGAAATATCGCACAACGAAGTTTCCTAAGAAATAATCCCACTCAATCCCATGAGCTTAACACTTTTACTTGTTACATGCCGGAGTAGTTCAAAAGTTCTTGCCTCAGTAAACGGTCCAATAGTTTAACTTCTCCAGAATCAAACCTGACTTGAGCGCGGCACGCACTGGCATGAAGCTTGCTTGAGCTTCCTGGCGCATGAAGATTTGACACATCTTGGTTAGTCTGAAAATTATGGGAAAAACCCTCAAATCCCATGGTTGACACTCATTTTTTATTGTTTGGTGGCCGTTTGGGGGGTATACCATGGTATACCTCTAGTTCAGACACACCGTGACACACCCATGTGACACCACTGGCCTATATATGGTATGGGTCAGAACAACACATCCCCAATGGTGAAATCAGATATGGGGACATGGCCATGTGTGGCTTACTGTTGAATTTACTACATCATAGTCATGGTGCCCAAGATGGTGCCTCTCCAGTTGGTTTTCGTTGCTTTTCAAGCCCCATTCGTTATAGTTCTATCTACCAAGCCATGGGGCACCACGGGATTTGGGATAGCCTCTGGTTGTTTGTTACATAGCCATGGGAAAACCCATGGCCCATAGAAATAGATGGTTTACCTATTGGAAATTGGTGGATCTTTCCATGGCTATGTTAAATAACCAGATGGTAATACCACTATATTTGGGTTAAATCAACTAGCATGCCTCAATCTTAGATACCAATAACGTTATGCCTTCTTTTTGTTTTTGCTGGTTAGTATCAAATATATCGTCCGGTTTTCAAGCCACAAAATATCGCAGAAAACACTACACTATACCACCGGTCGGTTCACCGAGAAAATGTGTCACAATTTCGAATGTCAAGGACCCATTGTCCAGTTATGAACACCAGTTTTGTATATGCATACGTAATATATGCATATAAATATTGACATGTATGATGTATATTTATATGCAAATGTATATGCATATGTATATGTATATGTATAGGTATATGTATAGGTATGTGTACGTATATATATATATATATATTATGGTCAAATGTCATATATCATACATGATATATCATCAGAATCGGCCCTCCAGCCTCCACCACGAAAAAGGGCTCTTCCAAATCAATGGAGAGAGGCACCTGCGCCTGGAGGTGGTGATGGACCTATTGCAAAAAAATGGGAAAAGTATGGGAAGATGTAGGAAAGTATGGGAAAATGTTGGGAAACATGGGAATATGTGGCATTTATGGTAGATGATGATGATAATATCTATAATTATCTGTAGTTAATAGAATTTAAAACCAACTTAATGGGATTTCATGAGGATTGATGGGAATGTTTTCCTTCGGTGTCATCAAACATGGCAGGCTGGAAAATCCTCTGCACAAAAATGGTTAAAAACTGGGAGATCATTTATAAATGGCTTGGCTGGAGGGTATGCATCCCAGTTGTTAAGTGGTTCTAATCATGGTAAAAACCAATTAGATCAATGCCCGCGGCTTCTGCATGGATGATAGCTTCTCCACCACTATAAAAAAGGTACACTGTGATTATGGTGGCAACCTCGCTCAATCATTAATTATAACCGATTTTTATTTATAGTTTACAAGGATTACCCATTAGGGTTGGCAATTAAAACCATTTCTCATTTATCCGTTAATCATCGTGTAACTATATAATCATTACAAACCATTAATCATTTTTGCCGTTATAAACCACTACTTACAACTTACAAGGTGAGGACCCCTTGTTTGTTATACCTCACCAGTTGGTCAATTTCTTGCGACGGGGCTCACCTTTTTTGCAGGTTTAATCACTGTAAAGTTATAGATTCCCCGAGCAATATAAAACAACTAACGACAACATAAAAAACACTACCCTCTGGTAAATTAACATAGCCATTGAAAATGGCCATTTATAGTGGATTTACCTATAAACAATGGTGATTTTCCATAGTTATGTTAGTTTACCAAAGGGTAATATTGAGCCTGTCATGACTCCTCTGTGTGATCCGCCATGGTCAGTGCATGTGAACCAGTGGTCAGCGCATCATGTGGCGCAGCTGATCACGAATTGATGTTCGAGGCATTGAGAAACTCTACGTTACATTAATTATCATGAGGTGGGGAAACCCAATTCGTAGCTCCTTTGCTTCCCATTGTTTATACAAGGTGGGGCCCAGTTCGTTAGGTAAGTCGGTTTATAAACTCCAAGAACTAGGAATTCTGATATATCTATGAATCTATCATTATCTATCATTAGTGTGAGTTATAAACCAACGAACATCACGTTTGGGGGCACCTTGTAGTTATTAAAAGTAGCGCTGGGTTAGCTGTTGAAGCGTTTGTGGTCTAATCATAGCACGCTGCCTTGTGGATTATCCAAGGCGTAAACCGGATTTGATGACTTAATGTTAAAGGTTGATAGGTTTCCGTACTATGGATTACAATGATTCAGCATAAATTAGGTAGTATAAGTCCCAAAATAAACACCATTGGGAAAATGACAATCATAGATAACTATCATCATTACGAACTACAACTAGATGTCATTGCATGATTCTAGATTAAAGTTCCTAACCAGTAGTTAACGATTTACCATAAGTTTTCATTACCATAAGTTGGCCTAACTACTATAGATAAATTAAGTTATTGATTGTTATCAGCATTAACCATTAGAATGCCATAAGGTAGCTATTAGACTAACTATAACCAGTTGATAATCATATTAACTATATGATACTTTATGATTGCCATGAAAGAGACCAAACTGATTCACTCATGATAACAGTATTACCCTCTGGTTATTTAACATAGCCATGGAAAATCACCATGCTATTAATAGGTAAACAATCTATTTCTATGGGCCATCGAAAAACCATGGCGAACTGTTAGTCATAACCAGAGGGTATAGTTGATCATCAACTATTATGAACTGAATCATGGCCACCAAGGTTTATTAATCCGGGGTTGACACTACTACATCCCCAACCAACCGGCGACTAATGGTGATCAATACAGTGACTATATAATATCTACTGATAGAATAGTGATTTTCCATGGTATCCCATGGGAATGGATTTTCATCATCCAAACCAGAATAATTCCAACGGATTAACTAACTTTACCCTCTGGTTATGTCAAAATAGCTATTGAAAATGGTGATTTATAGCGAATTTACCCATCAAAAGTTGTGATTTTCCAAAATGTGGTTAAAAAGAATGCCATAATCCACCCATTTTAACTCTTATCATTAGTTACCATGAGCTAACTACTAGACTAATAAACCAGTTGATAATCATATCAACGAACTATATGATAATATTAGCAACTATTGACAAATGATAATATTAGCTGATAATCAACTATCAGTTATCAATCATATATCATTACCATTCATTACCAGCATTACCAGTATAATGTCAACCCTGGATTAATAAACCCGAAACGGCTGTTTAATTGGAAGGGTAGCATTTAAGTATTAGATTATGACTATTGGAGGAGTACCCCCCTAATTAATAAACCATGGTTTATTAATCCGGGGTTGACACTACTACATCCCCAACAACCGGTGACTAATGGTGACCAATAAAGGGAATATATAATATCTACTGATAGAATAGTGATTTTCCATGGCATCCCATGGGAATGGATTTTCATCATCCAAACCAGAATAATTCCAACGGATTAACTAACTTTACCCTCTGGTAATTTGTTACATAGCTATTGAAAATGGTGATTTATAGCGAATTTACCCATCAAAAGTTGTGATTTTCCAAAATGTGGTTAAAATAATGCCATAATGCACCCATTTTAACTCTTGTCATTAGTTACCATGAGCTAACTACTAGACTAATAAACCAGTTGATAATCATATCAACGAACTATATGATAATATTAGCAACCATTGACAAATGATAATATTAGTTGATAATCAACTATCAGTTATCAATCATGTATCATTACCATTCATTACCAGCATTACCAGTATAATGTCAGCCCTGGATTAATAAACCCGAAACGGCTGTTTAATTGGAAGGGTAGCATTTAAGTATTAGATTATGACTATTGGAGGAGTACCCCCCTAATTAATAAACCATGGTTTATTAATCCGGGGTTGACACTACTACATCCCCAACCAACCGGCGACTAATGGTGATCAATACAGTGACTATATAATATCTACTGATAGAATAGTGATTTTCCATGGTATCCCATGGGAATGGATTTTCATCATCCAAACCAGAATAATTCCAACGGATTAACTAACTTTACCCTCTGGTAATTTGTTACATAGCTATTGAAAATGGTGATTTATAGCGAATTTACCCATCAAAAGTTGTGATTTTCCAAAATGTGGTTAAAAGAATGCCATAATCCACCCATTTTAACTCTTATCATTAGTTACCATGAGCTAACTACTAGACTAATAAACCAGTTGATAATCATATCAACGAACTATATGATAATATTAGCAACTATTGACAAATGATAATATTAGTTGATAATCAACTATCAGTTATCAATCATGTATCATTACCATTCATTACCAGCATTACCAGTATAATGTCAACCCTGGATTAATAAACCCGAAACGGCTGTTTAATTGGAAGGGTAGCATTTAAGTATTAGATTATGACTATTGGAGGAGTACCCCCCCAATTAATAAACCATGGTTTATTAATCCGGGGTTGACACTACTACATCCCCAACCAACCGGTGACTAATGGTGATCAATACAGGGAATATATAATATCTACTGATAGAATAGTGATTTTCCATGGTATCCCATGGGAATGGATTTTCATCATCCAAACCAGAATAATTCCAACGGATTAACTAACTTTACCCTCTGGTTATGTCAAAATAGCTATTGAAAATGGTGATTTATAGCGAATTTACCCATCAAAAGTTGTGATTTTCCAAAATGTGGTTAAAAGAATGCCATAAACCACCCATTTGGGAATGGTAAACGTACCACCTATTGGAATGGTGATGACTGGGGGATGGTAAACATGGCATTGTTTTAACCACATGAGTTGTGTTAGTTTACCCTCTGGTTAACTATAGACAATATACTATAGACAATATACCCTCTGATAAACATACAAAAAGCTATGGAAAATGGCCCAGTCGAAATAGTTGATATACCATATACCCATCATACATGGCCATAACTATGGAAAATCATCATTTTTAATGGGTAAATCAATGACACATGGACAATTCCATCGCTTTTTGTATGTTTACCAGAGGGTAAATCCCAATAATATCCCATTAAGTCACTATAAAATCCTATTATCCATGTGTAAATTAGGGGTGGAACCTGGGTAGCTGCCATTTTATAATGCTAAAATGGTTTGTCAGGGGGGTACTCCCTCTATAAAGTACTCCTTGGGGTACACTTGTAGAATCACAGGCCTATAAACTAGAAGGTACCCAGGTTTCATTTTTGCAAACCACACTTCTCAGCAAGGCTTCCAAAATCATCTCAAAAATGCTCCTTGCCCAAGCCAGTCGCAAAAACCATTTTCCAGCTTGATGGAACTTATGCATTTCATTGCATTTCATTGCATTTCTGTCTCTGGTTGGATTCTATTTTATAGAGGTGAAAGTGGCAAATCACAAGTCTGCAGCAGGCTCCAGCCAATTTTTTCTTCCCGTGTTCTCAGGCTGTATATATCCCACTTTTCTGTCTATAAAAAGGAAGTTTGTTGGCTGGACTGCTCCCAGTACCCTACATATCTCTACATAATGGATTTACTTTTTGGATCATCCTTTATTCTGTTGGATTCTTTTCAACTGGATTTGGCTGTCTACCCCGGCATTTCCCTGATCTCTCCCCGTCTAAGGCTACCTGCCCAAGAACCGTTCCCTTCAGATCCAGTTTTCTATTCTATAGTGGTCCTGGTTGAAAAGAGAGGTTGTTCTACCATTTTATAAAGACATATAGTGCAGTTTTCTATTCTATAGTGGTCCTGGTTGAAAAGAGAGGTTCTTCTACCATTTTATAAAGACATATAGTGCAGTTTTGAGCTTGCTGGCATTGCTGCAACGGACGGCATACCGCTTTATACCGCTGCAATCAAACTGTGTTGATCAAAGGAAGTTTAGGGGGAGAAACTTCCGTGTTACGGACTTTTAGAATGTCAGGGAAAGAGTTAGTCAAAGAAAGAGTTAGCAAAGAAAGAGTTAGTCAGGGAAAGAGTTAGTCAAAGAAAGAGTTAGTGAGGGAAAGAGTTAGTGAAGAAACAGTTAGTCAGGGAAAGAGTTTGTCAAAGAAAGAGTTAGTGAGGGAAAGACTTAGTCACAGAAAGAGTTAGCAAAGAAAGAGTTCGTCAGGGAAAGAGTTAGTCAAACCAAGAGTTAGTGAGGGAAAGAGTTAGTCAAAGAAAGAGTTAGTGAGGGAAAGAGTTAGTCAAAGAAAGAGTTAGCAAAGAAAGAGTTAGTCAGGGAAAGAGTTAGTCAAAGAAAGAGTTAGTGAGGGAAAGAGTTAGTCAAAGAAAGAGTTAGTCAGGATATATGAGGTAGTCAAAGAAAGAGTTAGTGAGGGAAAGAGTTAGTCAAAGAAATAGTTAGTGAGGGAAAGAGTTAGTCAAAGAAAGAGTTAGTGAGGGAAAGAGTTAGTCAAAGAAAGAGTTAGTGAGGGAAAGAGTTAGTCAAAGAAAGAGTTAGTCAGGTCAGTTAGTCATCAAAGAAAGAACAGTTAGGGGAAAGAGTTTCAAAGAAAGAGTTAGTGAGGGAAAGAGTTAGTCACAGAAAGAGTTAGCAAAGAAAGAGTTCGTCCTTGTCAAAGTTAGTGCTGGAGTGGAGGAGTTGCCGATGGAGTTTTGGAGGAAGTCTCGCACGAAATGCGTTTTTGAGAGATAGCAGATGCACGAAACCCTATGTTTTTCCATACAAAGTCCGTCCCCGAACCTGGATGATCTACCTCTGCGGTGCGACGGTTGCGAGACGGTCTCGTGCGTGGTCGGATCATCCTCGGATTGGTCTCGGATCGGTTCCGCATTGTAAATGGGGTTTCAACTGTTTTTCGTGCATGTGTGGTCGACAGAATTCCATTGTGATTTGCAACTGTAGGATCGTTCCCGCATTGTAAATGGGGTTGCAAGTGGTGCTGGTGGATGAGTTGCCGATGGAGTTGTGAAGGAAGTCTCGCACGAAATGCGTTTTTGAGAGATAGCAGATGCAGGAAACCCTATGTTTTTCCATACAAAGTGCGTCCCCGAACCTCGATGATCTACCTCTGCGGTGCGACGGGTGCGAGACGGTCTCGTGTGTGGTCGGATCATGCTCGGATGGTCTCGGATCGGTCTCGGATCGGTTCCGCATTGTAAATGGGGTTTCAACTGTTTTTCGTGCATGTGTGGTTGACAGAATTCCATTGTGATCTGCAACTGTAGGATCGTTCCCGCAATGTAAATGGGATTGCAAGTGGTGCTGGTGGATGAGTTGCCGATGGAATTCCATTGTCCTTTGCAACTGTAGGATCGTTCCCGCAGTGTAAATGGCTGCGTCAAGGTTGCTTCGTGCTGTGGCTGCATTGGTAATACTATTGTCTTTTGCAGCTGGATCTCGTAAATCGTACTGGAGTGGCTGCATGAAGGCTGCCACAGTGATTTGTCAGCAGATTTTCTCCATTTTGGCGCTAATGATTTTCCTTCTAAAAATCCTTTTAAAAAGTGCTTCAAAATCGTCTTTTTTTTCGCTCTGGCGTCGAGATCCGGTTTTGGAGCTACAATTTCCGACGCCGTTGCGCGTAGTTCTATTGTGTTTTGGAACTCAATCTCTGCAGATCGCATTGTATAATGGCTGCGTCAAGGTTGCTTCGTGCTGTGGCTGCACTCGTAATACTATTGTCTTTTGCAGCTGGATCTCGGAAATCGTCTTGGAGTGGCTGCATGAAGGCTGCGAAATGGGTTTGTTAGCAGATTTTCTCCATTTTGGCACTAATGTTTTTTTTGTTGGACGTACGTTTAGAGCAGTGTGAAGTGTGGGGCGTGAAGAGTGCAGTGTGAAGTGTGAAGTGTGAAGGAAGCAGTGGGAAGTGTGAAGTGTGGAGTGTGAAGTTTCAGTTTGGAGTGCGAAGAGCGCAGTGTGAAGTGTGAAGTGTGAGGTTTGGAGTGTGAAGGAAGCAGTGAGAAGTGAGAAGTGTGAAGTGTGAAGCGTGGAGTGTGAAGTGTGGAGTGTGAAGTTTCAGTTTGGAGTGCGAAGAGCGCAGTGTGAAGTGTGAAGTGTGAGGTTTGGAGTGTGAAGGAAGCAGTGAGAAGTGAGAAATGAGAAGTGTGAAGTGTGAGTGAAGTGTGGGGTGTGAAGTGCGAAGTGTGAAGTTTGGAGTGTGAAGTTTGGAGTGGGAAGGAAGCAGTGAGAAGTGTGAAGTGTGGACTGTGAAGTGTGGAGTGTGAAGTGCGAAGTGAGAAGTGTGAAGTTTGGAGTGTGAAGGAAGCAGTGAGAAGTGAGAAGTGTGAAGTGAGAAGTGTGAAGTGTGGAGTGTGAAGTGTGGAGTGCGAAGAGCGCAGCGTGAAGTGTGAAGTGTGAAGTGTGAGGTTTGGAGTGTGAAGGAAGCAGTGAGAAGTGTGAAGTGTGGACTGTGAAGTGTGAAGTGTGAGTGAAGTGTGAGTGAAGTGTGGAGTGTGAAGTGCGAAGTGAGAAGTGTGAAGTGTGAAGTTTGGAGTGTGAAGTTTGGAGTGGGAAGGAAGCAGTGAGAAGTGAGAAGTGTGGACTGTGAAGTGTGGAGTGTGAAGTGCGAAGTGAGAAGTGTGAAGTGTGAAGTTTGGAGTGTGAAGGAAGCAGTGAGAAGTGAGAAGTGTGAAATGTGGAGTGTGAAGTGTGAAGTGTGAAGTGCGAAATGAGAAGTGAGAAGTCTGGACTGTGAAGTGTGAAGTGTGAAGTGTGGATTGTGAAGTGTGAAGTGTGGACTGTGAAGTGTGAAGTGTGCAGTGTGAAGTGTGAAGTGTGAGGTTTGGAGTGTGAAGGAAGCAGTGAGAAGTGAGAAGTCTGGAGTGTGAAGTGTGGAGTGTGAAGTTTGAAGTTTGGAGTGCGAAGAGTGCAGTGTGCAGTGTGAGGTGTGGAGTGTCGAGGGAAGGACACGGTCGGGACAGGTTGTCTTTGAACTATAGGTCATTTATGTTTGGGAAACTTCCGCCGCCGGCTTGCCCGGGTCTATGTTACATGTTGATACAAAACCTTGAAAAAAACATTGCAAACGGGCACTCTATAAAGTGGAAGTTCAGCCACACCACACATGGAAACACCCTATCTATAAAATAGCACCACAACGTTGCACAGCCAACATTGTGCTATAAAGTGGAGGCCTGTGCCACCCCTACTAAATGAACAGCTTTCCTGCAGTAAGACCCCAAGTGGCCTCTATAAAGTAGTACTTGCCCAAAAAGAAAATAGAAAACATATCCTGATAAACCATTCAAGAACCACTCCAAACATTTTCTTCCATTTTATAGTGCCTAAAAAATGGTTTAGCAGGGTACCCGGGTGCGACCATTTTATAGAGGAAATGGCCACCAGGATATCCCATTAAATCCCAACAGCTGAGAAACCCACCCGGTCACCCGGCCTGCGCATCCGCCTTCACCGGCAACAGCGGCTCGGCGAGCAAGTCCTTGGCCGCCGCGATGCCCGCGGCATCCGCCTGGACTTCACGAAAAATGGTGGTTAAACCGTTCAGCCCGTGGTTAAATGGTGGTTAAAGCAATGAAAATGTCAAAATGGTGGTTAAATGGTGGTTAAACCACGAAACATGCATGTTAAAACGAATAAACAATGGAGGTTTCAATGATTTAGCTGAGTGGTTAAATATCCCGGTGCAATGAAAATGAACACGGTGGTGAAATTCCCTCTGGTATCTTTATTGGGAATTTAGATACCAATCGGGATTCAACTAAGTTGAGCGATGATCATATGCGGTATAGAAACCATTGTAAGAGGAGATATACGCAAAAAAATAAATGGGCTATGCTAGGCCTAAAACCAACTTTAAGCCAGGATTCACATGCAAGTACAGCTGGTGGGATTAAGCAGGAAACATGGCGTTTACAGACAATCAAATCAGCAACAGTAGATAATGGTGATTTACAACCAAGACAAACTGGAAGATATAGCACCAAAAAAGGCAGCCTCTGAACCATGACAACAAGTTTGAAACATGATAATAAGTTCATGCTATGAAAACAACGATATTCATTCCAATAAAGTATGTCTTCAATTTTTACTCATCACAGCTGCCAATAGGGCACTATATGCACTATTCTTTATCGGCTTCACCTATGGTGCCAAGTGACTCCTGTTCTGAGGCTGCTGAATCACCAGTGTAGCATGGTGACATTCATTCTACATGGCTGCTTCTGCCACATCTTGCCAGATTTGGTGAACCACCAGAATTGTAGAACATGGATTCACTGGATTTTGGGTCAAGAGAACATCTTAAATCTAGGATTGTTGGCAATTGTGGGCATGTTGTTCTCATGTTTTCCCAGTAGGTACATGTACGATGCTGCCCCCGAGTTATAAGTTGGTTCATAACCCCCATCAACTATAGTTGAATCTACCATAACCTTAGAATTCAGCCACAAAAATATCTCAACTTAACGCTATCCAACGGGGGCCCCATCCTATGCAAACAATGTTTTTCTCGTCATCCAATTCATTTCTGGGATGGATATTTTACGACCACGCCGGATCTGACCCTACGACTGGATGTAGGAGATCCAGCACTGGCAAGTCGTTCGCAAGCCATAGGTAGTTCGCAGAGGTACATACGGATTGATGATTTCCCAGTTACATAAGGTATTACTCAAGTAGAAATTAATCATCATTATACCAGTTACAAAAGGTATTATCATTAGGTTAATACATAAATTAGAAAAAAGGATGCACATACAAAGAGAAAAGACGGCTCGAAGGTGATGGATGTCCTAGTTAGGGGAATCTCTAACAGCCTTCTGGATGATGCAACTGTCGTAGTATACACAGATACTTTCACATTGAGCAATAGAAAGGACATCACCAATATGTACATGAATCAAGACATCAACAACCATCTTGGTTGGTGAGGATTGAAATTGAAAGAATCAGACAATTACCAATCAGTGTGGGGGTTTTGCGACTGGAAAATCACCCGGCCGATGGGAATGTGCCAAAAGTTAAGGTCCCAAAATCACATACATTCTGAGGTAACAACCACTTACCAGTACTGGAAAATCACCAGGTACGTACAGGAAGGTGCGTGTCAGTTATAAGTTGGTTACCCATCCGCAGGTATATCAATTCTTAATTCTTACGCCCAAATAATTCAGCAAGCTAGCTCTATTTTTGAAGGTTTTTGGGGATGTTTCGGTCAATTCGCTGAGTCAGGGTTTCTGGATCTTAATTGGATATGCACTGACATAACTTACTGCATTGGGAAGCCCAGAAAAAGAGAACACGAATAACGAGCAGTTGCAGTCACTGATCGTGTACCCTAAACCCTAAGCCACTTTGGAGGATCATTCCTCTTAGGAAGTGGTTATTTAGTAATCCTACCCTCTGGTAATTTAACATAACTATGGAACATCACCACTTATAGTGGATTTTCCGATGAAGAATGGTGATTTTCCATAGTTATGTAAACATTTACCAGATATTTGTTGATATTTGTTGATGAGTTCCATATATAAACCATAGACATCACCATTTTTGTTAATTAATCAATATAGGGAAAGTACAGTAACCCCAGAAACACCAAGCTGAAACGTCACGGCGGGGTGATCCTAGCGGGTGAGACCGGCGAAATCGCCAGTCCGTGCTTACCGACTCGAAAGCGGGCGCCTACTGAAGGACGTACTCAGTGTGTATTGTACAGGATGGTGCCCCCCAGTGATGTTTGTTGGTTTATAAACCCCATGAATACTATAGTTATATCTGCCATAAACCATAGTGAAATGGGAGTTATGTTCACCAACTTCGCTAACGAACTGGGGCACAACCTTGTATAACAAGCGTATCGTGTATATTAGGTGGTTTCCATAAATGGTATTACCCCCAAATCATCCATTTATAGATGGAATTTTCGGATTTTCCATGAAGTAAACCATCCAGCTATTAGGGGTACCTCCATTTATGGAAGCCACCATATGACATATCGCCAGTTAGATTGATTCATATCATATAATTCTCCCCACATGGGGTAGTACTGACGCACGCTAGTGGGCAAGAAAAGCCAATATTTCTTGGATAACGCACCACAACTCACCTGAAATCCTCCATGTTTATTAGAAAACTCGACATTGCATGGTCACACGCCCCTGGGTACCTTGTAGAAGCTCGACATGTTCAGACTCAGCGTGGCGCGTTCCGACACCTGAAAAGGACTTTGAACTATGAATCAGGGGAACAAAATCAGAAAGGCTATTTGGAATTATCATGAATTGTCATTTTGGAATTGCAAAATCAAAACCAACACCAACATTAAGAATCAAGAATTGTCACTGGTTTAATCGGATTATTTATCTTAAATTTATTTCATGGAATTTTAAGTCTCAATAGTTTGAGTTTAACGGTTTTCTCCTCTTGATATCAGCCTTGGGAGTTTCCATGACCACGGACTTTGCTGGATTGAGGGGTGGTGAAGTTGCCAAATCAGGTGAATCATCGTTTGCAACAGGCTGGTGCCTCCCCCAGTGCTGTTTGGTGAAAAAAAACCTCCGTTAAGTAGTTCGATATATCACTGCTTGGTGGTTAAGCCCTACCCCTCTGAAAAATGATGGAGTGAGTAACAGTTGGGATGATGAAATTCCCAATATATGGAAAGTCATAAAATTCATGTTCCAAACCACTAACCAGATTATATCTACTATAAACCCCGGTGAAATTGGAGTGTTCCGTTCATCAGCGATTGACCTCACTGAGGCACTCCCTTGAAGCAACTATGTGCTTGGGCTAAATCCTCCAACCAAGAGTTCATCCAAACAATGGAAAGTCGCAGTCCTTTCGCCATGTCAAGTACCCCTGTTTCATCCTGGGTTTTATTAATATCATGTAATTCATTCTGGGAATCCTTTGGTGGTATATAATTATGATAATTATGACGGGGATAAGACGAGTTTTGAACATGCAACCATGTTTCTGCTTCACGCTTTGAGATGCTGTGCCGCAAACGTGCCGGCAAAGCCATCTTACCTGACTTAGCGTGCTGAAGTTGCTAGTTTAGTGGTTTAGTGTGCAACCATTCAACCCACTAACAGTCACCTTCTTTTCCGATTTGCCTCTTAGCTTCGATCGAGTCCAGAGATTTTCCTATTGATTCCTATGATCAACATACATTTTCAGGGTCAAATTAAGATCTCACGCTGTCACCAGGATTATCACAGTTTCAGACTTGACCCAGTATTCATCTTCAGTGACTATGAGGCGCTAAGTATTCATCTTCAGGTCTCACTTAGGAGGAAGTTCATTGTTCGTTACATTCTCCGTGTCGATCGGCAAGTACCTCTGATGCGGGCTGTACGTTCCACAATTCGTGCATCGTGGTACCAGCGTGCGCAGTGCGCAGTGCGAGGTCGTTCAGGTTCAAGGTGCGCTGAAATTCGAATCGACGATGCAACTTTCGCCTGAAATACCTTCTGGTAAACTAACGTAACTATGGAAAATCACCATGCTATTAATGGGTAAATCCACTATTTCTATGGCCATTTTCCATAGCTATGTTAGTTTACCAGAGGGTAAATAGGTTCACTCCAGTTTTCCAATGGATCTCCCCCACGGGCACCAAAATGATGGCCATGACTTGGATCGAAGTGACGGAGGATATCATCCAGTCCTCGTAAGTGATAGCCATGGTGGTAAATCCTAAAAGTGGGGTACCTTTGGTATTATAATATATCTTTATAATATAATATATAATCCTAAGGAAAATCGTGGTAGAATGGGGGATATTACCCTCTGGTAAACATACAAGAAGCTATTGAAAATGGCCATTTATAGTGGATTTTCCCATGAAAAATGGGGATTTTCCATTGCTATGTTAGTTCACCAGAGGGTACCTTTGGTATGCCGGAGCTAGCTTCCAGGTTTTTTTGGGGGGCCAGGGGAAACCAGCTCCAGGGCTTCAACCCTTCTCAGCCTTTGAGCTGATCAAGCCGGAGCTTTGAACTTTCCAAAATCTGAAGGAATTATATGATATTGATATTCTATGAAAAATGTGTATTGGCTAAAATTAAGGAAATTATATATGTGTATTGGCTAAAAATAAGGAAATGTCAAGTCCAAGCATGGCATTTCTGGTTGTTCAAGGCACAAGGCAGATAACAAACACACACACACAAGATCAAACAAAGAACCAGAGTGCAGCACAGAAGATGAACATCTTCATCAAAGATTCGTTGTTTTCTTTAATGAGTTTTCTTAAAACACCGCATAGTGATAACTCAATGATCATCCAAGTAGGGCCAAAAAACGCCCAGCTCAGGCTAAGTTCGTTGATACAAAGGCTCTGTGGATCATGAAATTTCCAATATTGGATTATATGGGATTGTGGTAAAATGGTAAAATGGGAATTAAATCCAATATGGGCCATTTTAGGGAGTTTAATGGGAATTCAACCTGTGAAATGATCCAATCCAATAAGACATCGACTTGACTCCTGTAAACCATTGTCGACGAGGGTCAAATGCCCCCTGGTCAACTTAGTATCAAATACCCCGTGTGTCTTTCACCCATAGAATTGCCGGAATGCCCACCTCTACATCTCTCAGTACCAGAATTTGCATGCGTGTAAATTCAGGGTTTTTCCCCGAAACATGGTGGCAAAAAAGAATCACCACAGTGCACCTGGTTCTTGCCTACAATGTGAGGCCCCCATAGAAGATTTGCTTCAGGACTACAAAACCTAATTTATAGCTTCTCTTTCTTGTTGTTGGGTGACACCATATTGTACACGTTCCAAATTTAACATAGAACTTACCCACTTACCCTCTGGTAAACGTTTACATAACGAACTGGAAAGTCGCCATTTTCAATGGGAAAACTCACTATTTCTATGGCCATGTTCAATAGCTATATTAGTTTACCAGAACTTACATGAACTTACCAAATCTCCAAAAAATGATCTTCCAAAGTCCAGATCGCAATTTCTATCAGCTTTCATGTTCAACAAAAAGGGGCCCCGGTCCTCCCACCGGTACCTTCCACAGCTACCTCCCCGATCTGGCGTCCGGACATCCAGATGCGTTGAGCGAACGAAGCTGGGCAGATGGCTGTTCAACAACTCATGCAGCTCAGGCACCTGACGCCGGTATCCCAACGTGGGTGGCTAAGGAGTTTGGATACTAACCTGGTGATATCATGTGTCATATAAGTGTGAATTTACATAAATATGGGATAATATATATATATATTATGGTTTTGAAAAACCACCTGCCGACTTAGAGTTGGGACAATTCGCAATGGCTCGCCAAGCTGAAATACTATCATTGGGGTGTTAGCCTTACTACAAGTCCCCTACTGCTCCAACTGGACTGTTGGAAGGCTCCAATTCTTTGAGGTACTGTGAAGAGGATTCTCATCAGAGCTTAAAAAAGAAGTCCCTGGTGGTTGTATATACCTACTTGATATCCATTATCCGTTATATACCTACAATACTGATATACCATCATTGTTTCATCCATTATCAAGGATGCTGCAGACATACCATCAGAGATACCATGGTTGTTTTTCTTGACAAATGATGGTAAACAATCTTTAATAGGCATACGTGGCAAATCTGAGATACCAATCACATGTCCCGTTCATGGCAATAACAAACATGATTTAAACTAGACATCCAATGTTTCCCCAGTCATTTTCGCTATCTGAACTTGATGTTAAAGTCCTATCAAGATTCACAGGTTAGCAAATCCCAGCATTTCTGATGGGATCCCAATACCTTTGATGTTTATCACTAAATCCCTTTCGGAAGGCCCTCCTGTTACAAGTTGGTTTGTAAACCCAATGGGGGACCTTTGTTGTGAAAGAAACATTGGTTAGTAGGTTCACTGGTGTATTACAATGGATATATCTAGAGTTACAAGTTGGTTTGTAAACCCATCAAACTCTAGATATATCCATTGTAATACACCAGCGAACCTACTGATAAACTAACACCATGAAAATTACAATCGAGGGATCGGCGAATCACCTAATTCCAGAAAAAACCTGATCAAATCAGTTTGTCACCATTTCCAATGATCATATGGATATGGGTCAAAACCCTGTACCCCTGTAGTTCACACCAAAGTAGCTGGTAAATCCATGGTATCTATAGCCATTGACCCATATCTTGTGGGATGTTCATATACCAAAATATGGTATTTATGGATGAACATATTTAAAATCAATCATAAATATAATATCACATAGACAAAAATGTGGTATTTCATGGTATACCAAAATATGGTATCTATATATATATATATCTATATCTAAAATATCATAATATATCATTAAATATATATATATATATTAAATATAGTTATTTATACCAACATATAGATATTCATGGCATTTATAAAATACCATATTACCAAATATAAAACATAGTTAAATAAATAAATATATATATATATACTATTTGGCATACATATAGATATACAAAATACCAAATTATCTATATCTACGGTACAGGATGGTGCCCCCCAGTGATGTGAATGTTGGTTTAGTTTCACCCCATGAATACTAGTTCGTTATATCTGCCATAAACCATAGTTAGTTATGGGAGTTATGTGAACCCCAACTTAGCCATTCCGAAGTGGGGCATATCTATGGTATCTATGGATGTCCCCATACTCCATCGCCAAAGCCCCGGCACCGCGGCGGGGGCATGTTCCGGCGCAGATAAATAGAGCTTGGTCGCGGCCTCAGAGGCCCACTTTTTGGGAACCGAAAAATGGTGAGTCATCGGGAAAAAAGGTCAACGACCATGGCATGTTAGGCTTCATGTTGTGTTGCTGATTTAAGCCCAAACCCCAAGCAGTTTTAGTATCATGGCTTAGCACTCTCCCAGCAGTTGTAGTTGCAACCCTTCATATTGCATCATATCCCCAGAAGTAGCATGGCTGCGCCCCCAAAGCACTGGCTTGGCCATCTGCCCTTTCGCTCTGTGAATTGAACTGTTTCCTGCTGGTTGGTGGTTTCAATCCCTTTGAAAAATATTAGTTAGTTGGGATTATTATTCCCAATATATGGAACAATAAAAAATGTTCCAAACCACCAACCAGATGGGATTTAGTGGTGATTTAATAGACTTGAATGGGATTTAATGATATTTAATGGAGATATACCCGCTGGTAAACTCACAGTTTGCAAACTGGAAAATCACCATCTTTAAGTTCGGTAAATCAACGAACTAGATGTGCCATTTTCAACTATTAAATTACCAGAGGATAGTCAGAACAATGGATTTTTGTGATGGGCTTGGGAGTGCAGTTACTGTTACTATTCTTGATTATACTTTAGACAAACGGGGATAAATCACAGTTCAATCGTGATTTAACCATGTTTAACCTACGCACTTATTTGGATTTTATTAGTGCAGCTGGAAAACACGACTAATATAATTAACTGCTTTAAAATGCTAGATACATTGAAGTGGTTAATGGAGTTTGTAAACCAACTTACAACTGGGTTACTGGTCAATATTGTACTTGGATGTGCATCCCAGTTAAAGAGTAGTAAGTGGTTATTAAGCCAGATATAGCAGAGACACGCCCCATATATAAGTCGGTTTTACTATGGTTGTTACCTGTCGGAACCACTTACATGGTTGCACACCCAAGTAAGTATATATCCCAAGTAAAATGTAAATTAAAACTTTAATACACATTTATGTACTTATATAAATCCACGATCATATGCGAGTTTATTGAAATGGGGGACCCCATTTTGACAAATCCAAATCAGTCTGTCGATGCAGAAAAACGCCTTGGCCTTTGGGGTACTTCAATTCTGTGATCCGTAGATCGTATATCAATTATGGTACAGAATAAATCTCTGGTTGGTGGTTTAAAACCCTTTGAAAAATATGAGTTCGTCAGTTGGGATGATGAAATTCCCAACTGAATGGAAAAATAAAACATGTTCCAAACCACCAACCAGGCTAAAATATAGTTTCTGGCTGAGTACATTGCCTCTCCCCAGAGGACAATATGAAGGAACATTTCACAATGGAAATAACATACCAAGGTATGCCCAGACTAGGTCACGATCAGCACCTTGAATGATGAACATATCGCACATGAAACTACAAGAAATGAGCCTAATTTCTATACTTGAATCATTACTGTCTTGCTGGTTGGCATGCAAAAACACCTAGTAATGATTCAGTACTGATTGTAGGGAGCCCAACAAAGTAATGTTGGTTTCATGGCTCATTACAGTGTTGCATTCCGCCACCTGGTCCATTTTGATATTTTAGGAACATTGCCTGCTTGGGGGTGCAGTCGAGGCTAGATGGGTACATAATCACAATTATGGGGGTTATATCCCAATATATGGAGGGTACCATACTTATACGCATGACTAACCTCAACTGCCCAAGTAAGTTGTTCAGGGATACGTGGGTTTGTTGTGTCTTTAGGCAATATGTGGGATCCCCCTCTATGACGATCTAATGCACAAATAACTAGTCATATCAAAATTGGGTACCCCAGAAAACAGAAGGTTGCAGAGTGGTACCCCTCAGTTGCAAGTTGATTTATCCCATTTAGTATAGATGTAACCCCCATACATCCTACCTCTTGGAGTTATAAAGTAATTTAGCTTGCTATGGGGCACCACCCTGTATAACCATCCAATCTGTGGTCTGTTCGGCTTAAAATTCTTGCACGTTTAGCGGAGAATGTTCAAACAAAAACAGCATTGTGCTTTTTTAGTCTTAACCATCGGCATTCATGAAAAACCCATGGGATTCTGAGGTATCTTATTTGAAATACAGCCATTCATACAGGATGGCCCCCCCCAGTTATAAGTTGGTTTATAAACCAATCTAGATATAGTTATAAGTATCAAACACTATTGTCATTATAGTTATAAACCAACTTACCTAACTATGGGGCCCCATCCTGTTATAAATGGTGAATTTCCACAGCTATGTTTACCAGCAGAAGCTATTGGCTGCCAACCTGGAGGCTCAGCCATATTCTTTCAGCGTCGATACTCTCGACCCAAATCCCTCGAAAAGGCACACGTTTACCAACACGTCATGTTGAGTTTGTGTGTGTATACTGGTTGGTGGTATACCTACCCCTCTGAAAAAATATGAGTTCGTCAGTTGGGATGATGAAATTCCCAACTGAATGGAAAGTCATAAAACATGTTCCAAACCACCAACCAGTATATATATATATATATACGTATATACAGAAATTGTGATCCTTACATACCCACTTACTAGCTGGAACCCTCCGTTTGTTGCGTTTTTCTTGAGCATTTTAAGACTTTGGACCCCATCGGCCCATCGCCAACACCCTCCAAGGCTGCCGGACCCAGATGCATTGCGTCTGGGTGGCGGCATCCAGGACCTCTGGGGGATTAGTGGTGATGAATTCTTACTACCCTCTGGTTATGACTAACATAGCCATGGTTCTTCGATGGCCCATAGAAATAGATGGTTTACCTGGGTTTACCGTTCTTAAAAATGGTGATTTTCCATGGCGAACTGTTAAATAACCAGATGGTATGTAATGAGTAATGGTTGTTTATGCTTGTTAGTTGCCATTAATGGTGATTAGTACTCCATAGTTACAACACAACATAGTGAGCTAAGTTGCTTTGTGACTAGAGTTAAAAAACATCAGTTTGTAGGAGTATTTGATATGATCGGGGCATGCGATTACAGCGCTACCCTCCGGCAATCAAACGGGGTACTGGGAAATCACCCATAAACGGAAGTCTTATGAATTTGAAAGTCATCTATACAGGGAGATTTTCCATTGCTTTGTTTGGTTACCGGATTAAAGATACTAAGCAAAACAAGATAACAATTAATAATAAATGGTTAATTGACCAAATGGGGGGTTCTTAAGTCAAACGCAGTACGCGTTTGAACAAATCCAAGCGGCCACTTCGGCGACACCAGTTCCGCTTCAGGATGATTTGACTTCGTTTACGAGCTATTCCCCCTCACAAAACACCGCGGCCAGTTGAACAGGATTTCCATATTTCGATGGATTGGTTTCAGGGAAAATCTACAGGAAACCATAGAATTTCCCATTAAATATGGGTCTTTCCTGTAAAATTTCCCTTCAACCAATCCATTGAATATTAGCCTCCGGTCAAGGATGGCAGTGGGAAATCTCCTATGAATGTGGAACACTGCTCAGCCTGGTTGATGATTACAGTTTGCTTCTTTTGTTCTAAGTTTTGCTACCCTTGAAAAATATTCGGGATTATCATAATCCATGAGCTGGGAATTCCGCTCTTGCTGGGGTGGAAATAGATGGGTATATTTCCCGTCATTATCATATATGCCGAATGATGCTTTTGGCTGAATAGGGGCTATAGCCCCTGGGACTGAGTGAAATAGGAAAAATTGGGATTAGACCTTTTGAGTTTTATCTGGGAGCAATGGGCAATGGCTGAATTTAGAAACCATCATTGATCAATTCAATCCCCATATGTTTGATGTTTTAAGCCCTTCAATCCCTATGAGGATGCAATCCAACAGTGAGGTCATTATATTTCATCCACAAATATGTATATACATATATTGTGTTGGTGCTGCTCATGATTTGCAATAGGAATGGTATAACGTCAGTCGGTCGTTGAGAGTTCGTTAAAGCTTTCGTTGAAGATTTCGTGGCAATCCTTGTGGCAATCCATTTTGCCACACCATTTGCCACAAAAAATGATCGTGAGAATTTCGTTGAAATTTCGTCAAAGATTTCGTTACTTCAACTCAAGTTTGACGAAATTTGAACGAATTGGTTGACGAAACTTTGACGAATTGTTTTTGTGGCAAAATGTTGTGGCAAAACGTTTTGCCACAAGGAAAAATTCGTCAAAATGCAGGGTTTTGACGAAATTTTCCTTGTGGCAAAACGTTTTGCCACAACATTTTGCCACAAAAAAATTCGTCAAAATTTCGTCAAAGATTTCGTTGCTTCAATTCAAGTTCTGACGAAATCCTAACGAAATTCTGACGAAAGAATTTGTGGCAAAACGTTTTGCCACAAAGCACCCGACGAAAAGTCTGACAAAATTCTGACGAAATGAAAATGAAAGAAACAACAAAGAAAATCCTTATACCAGAACATATTGCAAGTGGTAGGAAATCATGGTGGAGTTCGATCGCAATACATATATATACTCATACAATGATAAAATACAACAATTCATGCAGATTAGATACGGACATCACATCTGCATAAATCTGAATTAAGGCCATTTGGGGATGATTTCCCGGATCTTAACCATGATTCCAGTGAGGTCACTATAATTCTGCTTTATAAAACCCACTAACTATTCTTATAAGTACCATAAATCATAGTTATTGAAGTTATTTGCACCAACTTAGCTATCGTTTGGGGGCCCCACATTGTATCATCCCATATCATAAATTATAATCTTAATCAATTATATCTTCCCCAATTGAAGATGTCTTATAATCTAATAGATGTATTATTTTTGTAATCTTATTTAAATTACAATCCCATACCATAAAATCTATCATCTTAATAATGATTGTTGTCAAATCAATGGTATCAATGTTTTTTTATTATTATTATCCTATATCAATTATTTTTATTATCATCTTACTCAAGTATTAATAATAGTTTATGTATTATCGGTATTATGGGTAAATCAAGTATGATGGGTAAATCAACTATTTCTATGGCCACTTTCAATAGCAAACTGTTAAATTACCAGAGAGTATATCCATCAATATCCCAGTATTATCCCATCATTCTTCCATGATCATCCCTATAAAACCATATTAAGCGATAGTAAACCCATTCAACCCATTAAACCTCCATTAGTTTACCAGAGGCAAATTCCTCCAAAATCGCAGCCCACCTGCAGACTACGACTCGTGAGCAACACTTTGGCTCCGCTCAGGAACTGCGCCTGAAGAGTCACAGGTTCCCCAAGGCACCGAGATATTGAGATGCTTGGAGTCCTAAAAATGGTGAACTGGGATATATAGCAGCCCTCAAAAACTGGTGACTTAATGGGACTTTATGATGGTTTAATGGGATTTAATGGTGGTTTAATGGATTTAATAGGATTTATCCTCTGGTAAACATACAAAAACGATGGACAATCACCATTTTTAATGGGACAACTCACTATTTCTATGGCCATTTTCAATAGCAAACTGTTAAATTACCAGAGGGTAAGAATGGGGTAACAATGGGATGTAATTGGAACTACGAGTAGCTAGCTTGATACAATAAACATGGGATATAATGAGATTTTGTGTGTGAATAAGAGGATGATAAGATATAAGCAACAAATATGGGGATAAACCAACAATAATCTGGTCATTGAATGGGGCTGTAAGAGAAACTGGGAATGTACTGCTATAATGTACACCTTGGCTTAATAAACATCTAGGCTGTTTAACTAGCGGGTATAATTTAAGTAATTATCATATTATAACTATTTGGGGAGTACCGTCCTAATTAATAAACAATGGCTTATCAATCCAGGGTCGACACTATAGAACATACTAGCTTGATATAATGGTGCAATGTCGTTGAAGTGTCAACGGATTTCTTCGAGATTTCACTAACAAATATGAAGTGAATAAGAAAACCAACTCACCAACCATCAATCGACCCAAAAGCATGGTGATTTAATGGTATACATAGGGATATTTCGATATTCAGCAATGTGAAGCTTTAGACGTGTCTGAAAAGGGGATATACCCTGCAATCATAGCAATTCGAATGGAATAAATACGTTTGACCTATTTTAAAATCCAAATGCGAATGGGGGGGGGAAGCCAGCACATGGGGATCAAAACAACATTCCAAAACAACATTAATCATAAACGATAAGAACAATATTTAGTCCTATGGGGACCCCAACAAGGTGGTGAAATGCTTTCCTTTCTGGAACAGCGACCTGTTGAAGTGTTTCAGCTGCAGGTTTCGACAGGTCCTAGTGCACTCTGTGGCCGCTCTCGATCCATGCCGCGATGTCAGTTGAGCTAGCATTGTGGTAGATGATGCCGGTAAGCCCACAAGATCTGTCTGGAAGAAAAGGCTAAAAGCAATCTCCAGCAGTGTCATCTGGTTGGTGGTATACCTACCCCTCTGCAAAAATGATGGAGTTCGGACCAGTTGGGATGATGACATTCCCAATATATGGAGAGTCATAAAATTCCATTAATATTAACCATATATTTATGATTAACCTATATAAAATTCCATGGTTCCAGTCACCACCAACCAGTCATGCACTGGCTAGTAGCGGTCCTCCTGTTTCGCTTAAATGCCATCAGGGACCACAGGGACCTCTCTGAAACTCGGCTCCTGGGTACCCTGGGTAAGGGCGATAGCTCAAATACCCTCTGGTAATTTAACATAGCTATTGAAAATGACCATTTATAGTGGATTTTCCCATTGATAGCATGGTGACTTTCCAGTTCGTTGTGGGACAGTTTACCCATGAAAAATGGTGATGTTCCATAGCTATGTTAAATTACCAGAGGGTAACTCTCATGCCTGCATCGCTAAGGTGGGATATCCAAATAATGCACCCTTTTGGGGGATAAACATGGTTACTCTAAACAGTGCATTAGCTTAGACGTTGCCAAAAAGCTGGCAGGAACATTAGTTTCCACTAAAAAACACATACATATATATATATATATATTCAGGGTCTATGTTAATTGGTATCATATCCAAATATATTAAATATATATCTCACCGTGCTCACCATAGTTTTCGGAAAATCAATCATCCCAACAAAAACATCAAGAAATCCCGATATCATGGGATATCGGGATATCCCTATCATGAATAGTCCTTTAACCCTTCAGTGAACTAACATAACTGTGGAATCCATGACCTATTTATAGATGATTTGCCTATGTTCACCAGAGGGTAAACTGTCCCATAACGAACTGGAAAATCACCATGCTATCAATGGGTAAATCCACTATATCTATGACCCTTTTCAATAGCTATGTTATGTTAATTTACCAGAGGGTATATCCCATTGATATCCCATTAAATCACTGTCACTATAAAATCTCATTAAATCATAACTATAAATTTCATAGTTCGCTTCAGCCCCGGCGGCTGCGCCTCGCTGGGTTTCTCCATCTCTCCGTTGTATTCCCCCAGAAGCCACGCGCAGGCACCCACCATAGGCCTGGGGACAAAAAGGGGAACGTGGGGACGTCAGAGCCCGCAACAGAAACATGGGATTTATAGTGATTTAATGGGATTTTATAGTGATTTAATGGGATTTTATAGTGATTTAATGGGATTTATAATGGGATTTTTAGTGATTTAATGGGACTTTATAGTGATTCAATGGGATATTATTGGGATTTACCCTCTGGTAAACATACAAAAAGCCATTGAAAATGGCCATTTAGTTCGTGGATTTACCCATTAATAGCATGATGATTTTCAATAGTTAAACATCACTGGATTACTGTTAATATACTGTTAATGATATATGGTTAATATATGGAAATATATATTAATGATCTTGAATAACATGGTTTATCAATGATCTTTCTGGTTGGTGGTTTCAACCTACCCCTCTGAAAAATGATGGAGTGAGTAACAGTTGGGATGATTTTTCCATTCCCATTCCCAACTGAATGGAAAGTCATAAAAGCCATGTTCCAAACCACCAACCAGCATTTAGTTAACCATCATTAACCATCATTAACCATCATTAACCATCATTAACCATCATTAAGCACCATTAATCATCATTAATACCATTAATCACCATTAATGTCAACCCTGGATATGAAGATTTTTTTGAGTACCGGAGCTCCAGGAAATTCTGACTGGTTGGTTTCCCTTTGAAAGATGACCTATATCTTGATGATTCGGTTAAGAACTGGTGAACTGCTTGGTGGCGTCTTTCCCATGAAACATGATTCATGAGTTCTTATCCTATCTAATTCCATGGTTCCAAAGCACCAACCAGTACTAAATGACAATAGATTCTAAAAACAAATTACCTGGCCTGGCAAACGTTTACATAACGAACTGGAAAATCACAATTTTTCACGGGAAAATCCACGAACTAAATGGTGGTTTGGTGGGATGTTAGTCATTCGTTGGTGAAATCCGAAGCTTGGATCATCTGCAAAAATCTAGCAATTTCAAGACACCTACGTTGGATGGGGCCCCCGTTGAATAGCGTTCAGTTGAGATATGTTTGTAGCTGAATTTACTATGGTTTATGGTACATGTAGATACAACGAACTAGTATTCATGGGGTTTATAAACCAACATTCACATCACAAGGGGGAACCATTCTGTAGAAATGATATGAAATTCTAATAATATATGATAACATCTAGAATTATTATCAATATGTAATGGAGTTGATAAACCAACTCAATGATGGTTTATCTTATCTTATTTTAATGGGAATTCATGAGGATTGAATATTATTTTACCCTTCGGTATCATAAAACATGGCTGGAGGGGAATCGATTACCAGAGAGTAAGTGAGTAAGCTCAAACGAAAATCGAAAAGATAGGAAATCCAGCCCGAAACCCTTGATGTAAGTGGTTAATAATTGATTTTTTTAACACCACACCTTTCAGCCCAAGAAAGGAGAAAAACTAGACGATCTAACTGCTGAAATAAAGAAATGTTCACTATTTACTATCCTTTTTTGGTGCTTCTTCATCTATCCGAATTGACGGAATGACCAATAAACATCTGGTGGAACGATAAGTTGTGAAAAGTTGGGATGGCCCGTGTCCCATGACTAGTCAAGACATCCCAGGGCATACCAAGGACCACGAGATCACGACAGCCCGGGGCAGTGCGTTGACAGCACCAGAGCTGTTTTACCAACTTGGTCATTGTGGGGACGAAACGGATGAATTTTCCCATATGTCCGATGAACATGGATGAACTATCTTATTTAGACCTGGTTGAAGCCCTTACGTGGAACGTCCAACCTGTTTCTATTTCTACATGGATTTCTAAAGAAGAAAGTGGCAAACGCCAGTTTTGAACTAGTTTTGATGGAAAGATGCTTCCTGAGCTCATGTTTCTTATTTGATGGGATTTGAATGGGATGTTCATATTTACAACATTTTACAACATTGTTTTTGGTGAGTTCGCCAAATCCCAAATGTGGAACAACTGGTTGGTGGTGGAATCTTGCCGCGGCTACTGAGAAACACCCACCCAATTCAGGGGCTATTTAGGGAGGCAATGAAACATAATGAAACTATGAGGTGCAAAGACAAGGTTAGAACACAAGCTGCCATTGGAAACAGTCGAGATTGGATTTCGGAAACCAGAGAGCAATTTTTATTGCAGCAGAGCATCATAGATTATAAATGTTATCATATCATTATTAGAATTTCATATATTATACCCTCTGGTAAACAAACAGTTTGCTATTGAAAATGGCCCATAGAAATAGTTGATTTACCCAGCTATAACATGTCATATTACACCAATCTGGTTTTTTTCGCACCAGAACTGAACATCTTTCATCCCCAATCTGGCTCAACACATCGAAAACCACCTGGCGCCCTGGTGATCTTCTACCCTAACTGGTCAAACATGGAAATTGCCGGAACTCCTCGAAATTTCCATGGAGGTTTCTGGGAACATCATCTATAAATGGGATACATGTTTAAGCAAACCATTTTTGCTTACCAAAGGTTTTTTTTGGTTAAACAATCTATTGAGTTCCATGTAGGCTTTGGAAATTTCAGTTGGTAGGGTGATGTTAGTTGGTTTTCATAAACCACATGAACGATTAATGTAGATACCCTACGGTAAACTAACATAGATATGGAAAACCCATTTTCGGAAACCCCAGGAAAATAGTCTACAAATGCTTTATTTTCCATATCGAACTGTTAGTTTACCCTAGGCTATATCTATACCATAAACCACTAGTTTTACCCAGGAATTTCAACCAACTTAGCTATCGTAAACGGGAAGCCCACATCCACATCCACCAATACGTGAAGTGACGTGCACAGCGACAGGGTGTTTTCTGCTTCCGCCTGCGAGGAACGCCGCGACATTGCTAGGATGGTAGAATGAACATCCAAAGCGGCACTTGATGATACTTTAAGATACCTTGAAGCACACTTTGTTATGCAATGCATACCCAGAAAAAAGTGACTCTTATACCCTGAAAAAACACATCTTGTGATATCAAATAGGAGTCTCTGTCAAGTGAATAGCCATGTAGTCGCCTAATTGTAGCTGGTCATGCATTTCAACCTTGCTTAATATGGATTAATTAATATGGATCAAAGTGGATCAGTCATTTAGCACAAACTCATCTACCCTCTGGTAATTTAACATAGCTATTGAAAATGGCCATTTTTAATGGGTAAATCCACTATAAATGGCCATTTTCAATAGCTACGTTAAATTACCAAAGGGTACTGAACAAAGGGCCGTCCATTCTGCTGAAGAAAACCGTGTTGTTGGTTCCACAGTGATTCCAGTATCGAGAAAATGCTAAGGCTAAAGTATCGAAATCGCTGATTGGTTTATACATCCCATATGCCTGTAAATATGTATGCAATGGTATATTTCGCTAAAAATGACTGGGTGATATTGGGAAGTCACCCCTCAAAGTTGGTGAGGTGCACATGGTAAAATATTGAAAAATCACCTCAAAGCCACCTCTTCATACATCTGGGTAAATTATAATAATTCACGAACCTGAATTGTAAGGCCATTTGGGGATAATTCCAGTGAGGGAGAACAGTGAGGTCGTTATGTCATTTACCCAGATACATGGTAAAATGTTGGTAAATATTCCATAGATACAAAATTTGGGATGCCATGAGCCATCGTGGGACCCGAAACTTGAACATACTTGAAGCATCCCCAGCTACCGATGGTCAAAAAAAAGAGCTAAGTTGGTGCAAATAACTCCAATTTCACTTGGCTTTATAGTATAGTATTTCTGGTTGGTGGTATACCTACCCCTCTGAAAAATATGAGTTCGTCAGTTGGGATGATGACATTCCCAATATATGGAAAAATAAAATTCATGTTCCAAACCACCAACCAAATTTTATAGTAGATCAGATATATCTATACTTACTTGGAGTTCTAAACCCACACACATCACTGGGGGGGCACCAACTAGCTACCAGACCTCAGCATACCTCAGCCAATTTCAACCATGCCATCCCACCGGACCGGAGCATCCAGCAGACTCAGAGCCAGCGTCACTGCATAGGGCCTGACCTCTCTAAGAGATGGAGAGTTGGGGGGGAACTGGGCGAAACTGGGGCCTCAGCTTGTCTGGATGAGTCTGTTGACATTAAATCAAGATGGGGATTTAGAACCATGACGGGGATGTACTGCGTTTTTTTTGGACCACCAGTTGTGAATTTGGAGCCATGCTAAAACGAATTGGGCCGACCAGACCCTACCAGCTTTCGGAAAGGACAGGCGATCTGAAAGGTTGATAGTGCAATCATGATTGGACCGCTTTGATCGCCACACATGTACTTCTGGTTGGTGGTATACCTACCCCTTTGAAAAATATGAAAGTCAGTTGGGATGATGACATTTCCAATATATGGAAAATAAAATTCATGTTCCAAACCACCAACCAGACTTGGTTTATTGTTTGTGGCCTTGTTTTTGGAGTATAGAGTACAACCAACAAAAAATGGGGGAGAGGAACCGAACATAAACATGTTCCCAATTCTTCAGGGACCAATATGTATATATAACCATTAGCGTGCCTTGTTCAACGGTCATAGACCGGGGACATCGTTGGAATATGCACCTGAACCCTCCAAGGGGTCATCTAGAAATATTGTTTCATGGGCATACGGAGGGTCTACATGCAACTATCAATATCGGATACTTGACTGCAACATGCTTGGGATTTTTGTCAGCTGGAGACAACTGACTGGAATTGGTCGGAGTCACTTTCACACTTTCATGGCTGCGGCAACCTCGAACTTGCGAGGGTTTACCCTCTGGTAAACATACAAAAAAATATGGAAAATCACAATTTCTATAGCTGGGTAAATCCACGAACTAAGTGGCCATTTTCAATATCCCATTGAATCACTATAAAATCCCATTAAATCACTATAAAATCCCATGTTTAATGGGTAAATCCACGAACTAAATCACCATGTTCAATAGCTTTTTGTATGTTTACCAGAGGCTAGTTGGAATCTTCTCAGACTAGGCCCAGGCCTGCTTTGGCGTCTCAGGATGAAGCTGATCAATTCGAATCGTATTCAACATGGTGGTGGTTACATATTGGTTGTACAAGGTTGTGCCCCAGTTCGGAATCGCTAAGTTGGTGAACATAACTTCCATAACTATGGTTTATGGCAGATATAACTATAGTTAATGGGGTTTATAAACCAACAAACATAACTGGGGGGCACCATCCTGTAACCACAACATGCTAATCACATTCGGTGCCGTAGTACAATGGATCCAGAGCCACTCATCATATGAAACAATATCCATAAATATCATCATTGACAATCATCATGATAAGCCATCTGGCAACCTCATCTGGTGCAGAAATTGACTGTAATCACTGTAATCGGCAAGTGCCTAAGTGATACCAGTAGGTCTCAATTGTATCAGTGTTTTGTGTTGGGAAATTATCCTATGATCAACCATAGATTGCTGCTAAACATATCATTGTAATTCATCATATCTCATGTTCCCTATTACTTGTTGGATATTGATGGCACATTCCCATATTAATGTGGTTAAACCAATAATACACCATTCCCAAATGCACCATAAATGGGTGGTATAAACTGTATATATAAACTATCATACATGGGGTGGTTTATCTTTGCTTTGACATGTTTTACCCTCTGGTAATTTAACATAGCTATTGAACATGGCCCATTCATAGTTGACTTACCTATTAAAGATGATGATTTTCCAAAGCTAACTGTGAGTTTACCAGAGAGTGCCACATTATATCTGGGCTAATGCACTAACCTGAAGTGTTGGGCTATTTTGGGATGATTCCTCTTAACCATGATTCCAGTGTTTTTTTGGAGCAGAGGGTTCGGTCGTTATGTCATTTACCCAGATCATCTGTATATGGACCATTTTTCATGGCCATATGGGGATGGGTCAAAAGCTGTGAAGACTAACCGTGGGTGAAGGTTTGTTCACCAGCCATTCACCAGCTATGACTTTTCGGGTACCGTAAACGGGTGATGGTCCAGTCATGAGTCTGAAGCCCAACAGTTCCTGTTTTGTCGTCGTCGAAACCTCTGCCACACCACTTCGATGCCGCCTGGAAGACGCACCCCTACTTTGTCATCGTAATCAATAATGACGCTCTGCTTTGCCACATCACTCGAGGATGAAGGGACACGAACTGTCTGCATGGTTCCCCCCTCCCCCAAAAAAAAACGCGTCGGACGCTAAAATGGCTTGATTCCAGTGAGGGAGAACAGTGAGTTCGTTATAATCTGCCCAGATTTTATTACCTATAAAAGATGATGATTTTCCATAGCTATGCTAGTTTGCCAGAGGGTAACCACATGATAATTGGTGATACTTCATTTTCCCCACTACTTGATGGCAAATTCCCCTATTATCCATAAGTGTTTCCATATTTCCCTATATTCCCATAGCTGGTTGGTGGTATACCTACCCCTCTGAAAAATATGAGTCAGTTGGGATTACTATTCTCAATATATGGAAAGTCATAAAATTCCATGGTTCCAAACCACCAATCAGATGAGGTTTTCCTAAAATTGGGATACCGTGCTCGTCACCATTAGGGAACCCCCTTGTCAAACATGACACGAAAAAATTGGATTGTAGCTTGGGCCCACATGATGATTTCCATAGTATCCATATCATTCACATGGAAAACATAAACTGTGGCCATTAGGATCCATTGTATCCATATCACTTGGAACACATTAGGATTTTCCACAGTGATTTCCATATCTAAATCCCATGGAAAACAGCTGTCACGAAAATCACATTGGGGTCCAACAGGGCCTGAGGAACGCGGACGCAAATGTCAACGAACTGCTCCGCCACGGTGGAACCATAGGAGGAGTCCATGTTCCTGGCCACTGGAAAACCATCCCGGGTAGAAAAAAACACCAACCAGCTATGGGAATATTAAGGGAAATATGGAAATACTTATGGATAATGGATAATAGGGGAATTTGCCATGAAGTAGTGGGGAAAATGAAGTATCACCAATTTTTTTTTGGTATTCACGGGTATACGTATTAATGGTTAATAATAACTGGGTCATGAATTAATTAATTTTTATAACATGTTATAACATCCTGCCAGTTTTCGTGGTATAATGATGCATAATATTATAATAAGCCAATTTCATAAACATCTATTGGGGATGGTTTATGATGTTTATGATTGGGCTTACTTCATTGATAATGAAGGATCGATGATAAGTAATGACTAGCAAATAGTCAATGGGAATAAAAAAGGATCCTAAAATGGAGGTACCTACCATATATAAGGCCTATATAAGGCCTATGTAAGGGGATATCCCCCCAAAATATGGCCTTAGATGGTACAGTACCTCCATTTTAGGATCCTGGAATTCCCATTGAATGAACCGTACTTACTCAATTCATGACCAGGTAAAAGCCGCTGAGTGTCTTTTTTTGCATGAGGTCAATTTATGGGGTCGTTATAAAAGCCATGGGCTGTGACATGGCCCATGCTGGTTGGAAAACCGTCCCCAGGCCTGCTAGGCTAAAATAATTGGGTTTGCCGCACTAAGACATTTCTTCGGATAAACCCCACCCATAGATTGACCCACCTACAAAAAAAACCCAATAATAAACCGGTGAAACTACCTATAAACCAGTTTGGTAAAGCAGTTTGGTCACGACTCGGCACGACTTTGGGACGAGTTTTTTGATTCCCCAAGTGGCTTTCTTACGTGTTTCAAGGGCACACGGGGTGTATGCGTATTCACTCTTAGGGGAAAGGGGTCAACCACTATGAAGGGGTTAACCATTCTCAATTTTGCATGGTTGCTATATGTTGCTATTCATTTCTTTTATCAGCGGATTCTGGACCTTGTTTTTCCAAAATTCACCATCCAATTTGTTTCCCAAAGCACGCTTGCTCATGGAATCAACCATTTCCTCACCGTCTCTTCCTAAATAGTTCAGGAAAGCATCACCTTGTGTTGTTTCATCTTCTTGGTTTGGAACAGTTTTGATTCCAGCGTTTTCGATATGGAGCTTTCCTAAAATGGGGGTACTCCATGGTACTGCTGAATCATCCATTTTATTTTTGGATGTTCCATTATAACTGGGCAAATTATAATAATTCACTAATCTGAATTAAGGCCATTTGGGGATGATTTCCCGGATCCTAACCATGATTTCCAGTGAGGTCGTAGTGAGGTCGTTATAATTTACCCAGATTATAAACCATCCAGCTGAACTTCCATATAGCATCAGCAGTTTGGATAGTAAGATTGCTTTCCACCCCACCGGAGCTGCCCCAGCTTGTCCTTTCACTTGCAGATGACAGGATTCTTGTGGCACCCAAGCTGGATGGTGCCCCCCAGTTATGTGAATGTTGGTTTATAAACCCCATGAATACTATAGTTATATCTGCCATAAACCATAGTGAAATGGGAGTTATGTTCACCAACTTAGCTAACTATGGGGCACCACCTTGAGCTGGGGTAGCACTATCCATTTAAGGCGTTTGTCTGAACATAGGGCACCACCAAATTTCCATGTTTCAACATGTCCATGTCGAAAAAACATCGGCAATCCACCATGGCGCTCCTATTTTTTCCACACATTTTCCTGGTTGAAACCCATGAAATCCAAACTTTGAGTGTTGATTGAATGCCATATTGTCCCACTGAATCCCATTTTTTCGATATTTTTTGTTAGTTAAATCCCATGTTTTGTATTTTTTGTATATTTTTGGTTAGTTAAATCCAATGTTTTGTATATTTTTTGTATAATTTGTGCTAGTTAATTAAATTCAATTTTCCGTAAATTTTTTGCTAGTTAAATCCCATTTTTTATATATTTGTTGTTAGTTAAACCCCATTTTTGTATATGTTTTGTATATAGTTTGTTACTTATATAGCTATTAAATCCCCTCAAACCATCCTCCGTTTGAATCATCTGCACGCTACGAAATCGCAAAACAATCCCGCCTACCGATCTCACCAAGGATCAGCAGGTACCATGCAAAGTCCTGCGGTCTCGGTTGTGTGGGCACCAGTTAGTGGACAGTGACAAAATGTACTATAGGTTTATATACTATTATATATATATATATATGTCAAGACATACAGTACATATATATATATATATATAATATTATACGACTAAGTAAATGATTTCCATCTACAAATGGGCGCATGTACATTATCATATGTCTAATTTATATATCTGTGTAAAACACAAACATGCATTGCATTGCTTTTTCTATACCTAAGTGAATCATGCCCATGGTCATGAACCACTTTGCATTCCTGCGATGCACATTCCTGCGATGGATTGGGAGGGTTTGTTTGCAAACAGGTACCCGTAGGTACCTCAGAAATCCACTGGGTAAGCTGTGCGACTCTTTCCCATGAACATTGGATCACACCGTAGAAGCAAATATCGCTGACTCTGACTAGAATTTCGCAAATATTATTGTCAATGGATTGGTTTAAGGGAAACTTTACAGGAAAACCCCATAGAAATAATGGGAAGATCTATGGTTTCCTGCAGATTTTCCCTTAAACCAATCCATTGATATTGGGGCTCTTGCATGAGCAATGTTCAAAACCTGAAATGTTCCCTGCAATGCTGGTTGGTTAATAGTCCGACAATGAATGGTGATGCTGCAATGCTCCCCCAAATATATTGGATACCAAATCTTCTCGCAATCATCAACCAACCATGATGTTTCACTTGCAACTATCCTCATACGCTGGTTAAAAGATGTTAAAAGAATTCATGGATGATAGTTAACCCACTTCCAAAAGCTTTAATCAATTCTCTCGCCATTTTGAATTTTGAATGATAAAAACATGTAAAAACCATATTGGATGGAACGCAGGCACTGCTACTGAAGAACAACGTTTGTCCATCTTCACCATTGAGACACGACGAAAACCACAACTGGGGGTGCAGTTAGGGTGATCTGAATGGTCTGAATGGGTCACAAAAAAATACACGAATTAGGTGAATAAAGGGTATATTACTGGGTACATTATCACCTATTATAGCGAAATATTAGGTGAATAACCCTGTATATGTATATATATATATATATTATAGGTAAACAATGGTATATATATATAGTTATACAGGGTTTACAATGGGAAAAATATATATGAAAGTCAATGGGAAGGATTATCCCATAAAAAAGGGGGAAAATAAAACATGTTCCAAACCACCAACCAGTATGTGAATAAAGGTCTATCATGGGTTTACACTGGTTGATCGTGTTTATTAATGGGTATAACTGTATAACCACAATATAACCACGGCAAAGACCACCGAAGAACTATGGTTGCATGGCCGCTTAGAACTGGAACCGCGCACCCAAGTAATACACATAGCCATTGCCAATCTTAGATACCCTGCAAAGAAATAAATTCTTTGCTGGTTAGTAGATATTCCCATTAATACCAAAAGACTAAAGGATTAAATTATCCATGTAAGATTGACCTAGTAGCTTGATCATTCGTTTATCAAACACGGCTAATTCATCTGCGTGTCCAAGAATCGACCTTGAATCCAACCAACTTCCATCAATTCCCCCCAAGTTCTGCCAAGCAAAATACATCTAGTCCGCAAAATATTGGGAGCACGGCAAATCAAGATTATAATGCTCCATATTGCATATTGAAACATGAGAAAACCGCTCTTAACAACCATGCTTTCAAGAATTTCAACTGGCGCCCCATATCAGGCTCAAAAAAAACACAAACATCGCACTTGAATGTTTGAAACGTCGTGGAAACTGTTACGTGGCTGGAAATTGGAGCCAATAAACCTTCATAAATTTTGTGATTGTGTGAAACTTACGTACAACTTGCTAAGTTTTTTCAGCCCTGAGTTTCTGAGCACTATCCACAGCACTATCCACCTGAAATCGGCCCTCCTTTCCTCCACCAGAGCATAACGATCCCTTGCCGCCATGCTTAGAATGGTCCCGATGAACTCGTCGTTGGGCATCGCCTGGAGATCATTGAAAAAACCGCCAACGACCAATTTCCAGGAACCAACCGGCCGACTGGGGGTTGTCCTTAAGGGGATAACCAGTTATATAAATAACCCCCATGGTAATGACTAGGTAACAGCCTAGAAAAAATAGCCAGTTATTATACCATGATAAGGGGAAAAAACCGCCAACCAAGACTTAAATTTCCAGGAAGCAACCGTGACTGGGGGTTGTAGCTATATCCTGATAGATGATAATATCTAGGGATAATATGTATAATCTAAATCTATTAAAACCATAGCTTATAGTAGGGATATACTTTGATATATCATCCGGCCTATTACAATACCTATTTATATCAATTATCAATTCATTGCTATTTAACTATGTATGAAAAACATTGAAAAACTGTTTGATATCTAATATCATCCCATATCACTATATTAGGAAGTTGGGACTATAAAGTTGGGATTACAGTATAACCAACTACTTTAGGGTATACCCAATGATAAAACTCTATTAGGGATGGTGACCGTTATTGGCTTTATCACATTACATGCAAATAAGTGTTCAAGTGCTAATATTATATCCATTATCCAATATGCATGTAACATTACTAATATTATCCAATGTGATATCCATTATTACTAATATTATCCAATGTGATAAATATCCGTTATCTCTATTATTGGATAATATGCAGTTTTATATCCATTATAAAGCTCTCTTAGTATTGATTCCCTTGGATAATGCACAAGAATAATGGGATTAGAATGGTGACTCAACAATCATGGGATTTGATGCTGTGTTTTTTAGAGGATACTTGGAGGATTCTCCCAAAAAGGAACTAGGCAATAAGCCATTCATAACTGATGGCTTTCCATGAACTGGCTAATGACCCTGGTTAACCCTGGTGAATTTGTAGTAAGTCCCTTATTTCGTGGGATATCCCAAACATACATGGACTATGGTGTATATATAGAAATATTCTATGGCTATTCGCCACTTACGAAGCGGGATGTTCCTCCATGTGGGTGGTATTTGTGGTTTTGCACCAACTGGAGGATTACCAGTGGGATAACTTACTGGTGCGTGCTAAACGTAGGGTGGCTGGATGGGTTGCTGGGGGTTGCTGGGATGATGACATTGATAGTTAGCCAGTGGATCATTCCCGAAAATTCCCTGCGTTTAGCACCAGCAAGATAAGTAGTGTTCATCCATGTTAATCCATTTCCTTTTTTTACTAAGGTGAGCTAACCTACACGGTCTGTGGGATGAACCGTTCACTAGTTGGATATATCTACCATAAACCCAGTAGCTACTCTAGTTGTCTTTACCAACTCAAGTAACAAACTGAGGGGGTCAAGGGCCTTTTGGGGGAGTCATCCGTCATGTTGTACTTCCTGGGATGTGCTTCCCAGTAGCTACATATTATTTGAAATATCTTTAGCTGGGTATTGCAACACAAAGTTTTCTGAGGATATTATCTATATATCTATATACATGTATATATATATATATTATGTATATACTGTGTATATATATACACGTATTATATATCATATATACTATATACTATATTATATTATATATTATATTTTATATATTATATATTATATATTATATTTTATATATTATATTTTATATATTATATTTTATATATTATATATTATATATACTATATACTATATTATATTATATCATATTATATCATATTATATTATATATTATAAATTATATTATAAATTATATATACTATATACTATATTATATTATATCATATTATATTATATCATATTATATTATATATAATATAAAATATATTATATATTATAAATTATTATAAATATATACGTAAATATATTGATAGGGGGTAATGTCAAAAACCGTGGGAAACTACCTCAAAACATCCCACATCTGAAACTGCAGTCACTTTTTATTTGGCAAAGACCCTCTGGGTGACCAGACATGGCAATGGAAAATCCGCCCTTTATAGATAATTTTCCCATTTAAACTTAACATTTAAATGCACATCGATAGGTGCCTTCCAGTTGTCACGTTTGCTTCAGTGGTACAAAGGATTTTTGTGGGTTTCGGCTAGGGCATGGTTGGTGTTCAAGGTGATCAACCCATCCAAATTCAAGCTGGGGATGGCACAATCCATCTGGCAAAAATTGAGGATGATCTAATACTCCATTGTATATACATGTAACCCATTTATGTATTACCCTCTGGTTGTTTAACATAGCCATGGGATTTCTATGGCCCATAGAAATAGATGGGTTACCGTTCTTAATAGCATGGTGATTTTCCATGGCTATGTTAGTCATAACCAAATGGTATATAAACACGACATGTGTAGGTGTATCAGTTACAGGTGCTGTTTTTTACAGTATATCACCCATTTTTTTTTCTTCTGTTGCATGGAGTCCCATGCAGTTTTCACATCACAGGAGTAGCTCAGATTTGTGATGGAAGATGGCATGGCCTCCGGTGAGCAAACAGCAGGCTGCTGTATAAAAAACAGTGCTTTGCACCGCAAACTGCGGTTATCTAATCTCATCTCCTTTTTTCCAAAAAAACCCGTTCATGTGTCGGAAATTTAAGGGCAAGAACTTCTGGAACTAAATGAACTAAATTATAAACCATGAATAACCATCATTAATGATCCATGGTTTATACTGGTTTACCATGGTTGTTGATGGTTAATTCATGTGCTGATCTTGCGGATATCATAGCGAGGTGAATGGCACGGAGCTGATCCACGATCCACGAAAATCCATAGTCATAACCTAAAAATTCTAGGAATAGCCCATTTTAGGCCATAAAAAATGGGCTATATATGGATTCTACTGTACAAATTCCATTATAATATGTAAAATCCCTAGTCATAGCCCATTTTTTGTTCCCTATCCCAAACTTCGATGAACTCAACCGATGCTGAAAAAACACTGCGAAATCGGAGGCAGGTTAACATTTCGTTCCACGAACGTTGGATGAGAAACACGGGTCGATGTCTTGGATTTGCTTGAGGAATCCCAAAAATAAAGCATGTTTCCTAGTCTGATCCCAAAAATATTGTGTGAATTTCCCATTGGGAAAAGTAAATACAATCCACTCAGGCAAATCCAAGCATATTATGTATATATATATATATCACCATATATGCCCATTACTGTGGTCTGCAAAGTTTCCACGTTGCGCTTCAAACGAGCACCAGCCTGGCACGATTCCAAATACTACCCCTGCAAACACTTTTGCGCTGTACTCGGACTAGGCCCGCTCAATTAAACGATGTCTATATCTCCGATACAGTTCGTCTACCCATTTGGCCCAACCTCTTTGCTTTTGCGCTCATCATCCTCGTTGGGGATGCGAAGGGTGCCGAGCCCCTGCACCGTCGATTTCAAGCTCTGCCAAGCCAAATCCGTCCCAGAGGCAAAAAGGCGAATCTGCGATCCCCCACACATGGGGATAGCAGATTGGATGTGCAACTCAGGCCTGAGTGTCTGGAATTGCCGGCATAACAGCTGCTCTCAACACCAAGCTTGGACTAGCACCCCTTGCAATTGAAATCGTTTACCTTGAGACGCCCTCTGCATGGACGTCACTACAATGGCAATTTCGTTTTCTTTCTTAGCCATGCTTTTACACGATAGGTGATACAAACAACCGCTGAAGGGAATAGACGCCTTTTAGCTTATCCTAAGTGCTGGTGTTTTACCAATAACTAACTCCCAAAATCACAATGGGCATGAACCATCCTCACATGGTAGGTTTGTCATTGGGTTACCCACATTAACCGTAATTAACAATTTTAAGCATCATTAACCATTGTAAACCATGAATTTACCATCATTAACCATAAGGTTCACCCAAATATATTGATACCACATCGAAGATTGATGCGGCTACTAGATTGAAGGCCACCTGTTGCAGGAGGCTGAACATTGCCTCAATTGAACCATGGTATGCCCTGCTACCATGAAACTGTTCGCTGCTTAGTATATCACTATCCTCATTAAATCCTAATTTATAGCCAAAGAAAAACAGTATTCACGTACTATCCAGCCAAGGATTCATGTGAAGCCGGATTTAAAATACCCTGACATAGTCAAGCACTATCATTCAAAGTAGGTACCATCTGGTTATGACTAACATGGAAAATCACCATGCTATTAAGAACGGTAAACCATCTATTTCTATGGGCCATCTATACCATGGCTATGTTAGTCATAACCAGAGGGTAACTCTTCAACTAAAGACGTGATGGCTTAATCCAGACCCCATCACCAACTGACCTTGCGACTGAACTCCAGCAATCTTTGAACAGCCTGGAAGTGAAGAAACGAAGCAAATGGCAAGAGTTTTCCACGGGTTTCTTCTGACGAGTTTGACAATGTGAGCAAACAATCCATATAAGGCTCTACTGGTTGGTGGTATACCTACCCCTCTGAAAAATATGCTCGCCAGTTGGGATCATTATTCCCAATATATATATATATAATATGGAAAAAACACAAATATTCCAAACCACCAACCAGTCTACCTTTGAAGGGTTATACATGTGTACAACATCCACTTCAGGGGGATCCGGGACCTAGCTGTACGTCTCCAGGGCTGGGATGGGATGATCTTTGGTGGGATGGAACTGGATCATCTGCAGCATGGGGCCCCCGTTGGTTGGTTGGATAGCGTTCACTGAAGAGATATTTCTGTGGCTGAAGCAAAACTATGGTTTATATTGGTTTATGGTAGATATAACATGATATAACTACAGTTCATGGGGTTTATATTTTCACCAACCTAATCAACTTATAACTGGGGGGCACCATCCTGTAATAATTAACAAAAACACACTGATTTCCTTCTCTTTAACCAGAGTGTTTGCCACTTGAAGCGGCCTAATTTTTGCCGTTTGTACTTCAGCTCTGCGTAGGTGTTTTACACAGGCCGTGCTCGCAGTCTCCGCAGCATCGCACTTCGCACCACTTCGCCAGCGCTCGGGCCACTTTCGTCGTGCTCCAAAGCTCTGTCTTTCGAGAGGTCGTCCTGAGTTCGAACGGAGATGAGAAGCCAAAGAATACTTGAGATATAGACACATTTATACTTCTAGATTGTCACTAATACAAATTATATACAAATGATATACACATTATATACAAATTATATACACATTATATACAAATTGTGATATTAAGTTAATGTCTACAAAACAACAACTACCTATCAACGGATTCGAAATCATGGGTTGGTCAAAGCACCGAGTGCACAGGAATTTCACCAGGACACCATGTTTCCCCACGCATAAGGGGTTTTTCAGCCTGCAAACTTCCCCTGCAACTCATTCTGGGAATATAACATACAACACACACATATATATATGGCAGTGTGTCAAAACCTTGTACCCCTGTAGTTCACATCAAAATAGCTGGTAAATGGATGTTCATCCCACTAAAAATGGTATTAATAGGTATTGATCCATACCCATATTTATATATAAACATGTATTGTGTGTGTATTATTATGTGTGTATATACAATTATATGTACGTATATATATATATATATATATGGTTCGTTTCCAGCTCCATTGCCAAAAGTTTTACTTCTAGTGGTAATGTACTACTTACCATTATCATTATCACACAAAAAAACTGCACATCTAATGGAATGGGTGGGAACCGCCATGCTCTATATTATTTAAGTATGTACTATAATATGTATGTAAACATATTAAACCTATCTTGGATGGATAGTCTTTGTATAGATAGAATGTAAGCCATCAAAGACTTATATGTGAAGTCTTCTTAGATGTCAATTTCTTCTACAGACATAAATTAATTTTATCATCCAATGTTGCTTACCCTCTGGTAAACTAACATAACTATGGAAAAACACCATTTTGAATGGGAAAATCAACTATTTCTATGGCCATTTTCCATCGTTTTTTGTATGTTTACCAGAGGGTAGCCACATTATAATTGGTTATATTTCATTTTCCCCAGTACTTGATGGCAATTTCCCCTATTATCTTAAGTACCCTCTGCTAAATTCACATAGACCCTGGCAAGTAGGACTTGGAAGATTAGTTACCATTAAAAATGGGTTATTTTCAGGGTCAACATGTTAATTTACCAGAGGGTATTTCCATCGTTTTTTGTATGTTTACCAGAGGGTAAATCCTATTAAATCCATTAAACCACCATTAAATCCCATTAAACTACTTGATGGCAATTTGCCCTATTATCTATAAGTATTTCCCCTATTATTTCTTTTTTTGCGCCAACACATCTGAATGGAGCCTTTTAAAACCCCCGAACGACGAACGGATCGTCGCCGGCAGGAGCTCCATCTCTGTCAGCTGGGGAGTTTGACATGAAGATTTAACGGTTTTAAACGTTTAAAGAACCATCGGGATAGCCAAGAAAAACATAAAAAAACACATAGTAAGAGCAGTAGTTGACAATGATTTAGCAAGTATACTTTGTTCATTAAAATGCATAAAACCACAATTGAAACATGAACATAGCTATATTATATAAGTAGCCATAAGATACCGCAACACTAAAAAATTATCCATCCAGTTTAGATGCCACTCAACTCCAATGCAGCCCTACCTGTCCCCCATTCTTTCTCTTGGATTATTGGCCATGTTTGATTCTTACCTTGGCTGGGGATATAAAGAAAACATAAAATAACAATAAACAAGTTCACAAAACATACACACACACACTATGCAGGATGGACCCACCACCAGTTATACTGTAATCCAACTCTTCCTAGTTTAGATATATCCACCATAAATCTAACACAATTAATCGCCCTCAGTTATACACTAAGTTATTGATAGTTGGGGGCCTCTTGCTGCGCAATTCGTTCCATTTATTTATATACCTACGGAAACTTGCTGTCTGCGAATCAATGACAGATTCTTAAGATGTTCGCATGAAAATATAAACTTTCTCTAGAAAATTGCCAAACACAAAGTCTACAAATCCTACATCTACAACAAAAAGACATATTTGAATATACCCTCTGGTAAACTAACATAGCTGTGGATTTACCCATGAAAAATTGTGATTTTCCATAGCTATGTTAGTTTACCAGCGGGTAAATCCTGTTAAATCCCATTAAACCATCATAAAACTCCATTAAACCATCATAAAATCCCAGCAAAAAAAAAATATTTGAATGGAAACACCAAGGTTTCAACTGCTAGTTTCGTACCCCGGGCGGCACCCCAGTGATTCCTCCGACCTCCTGAAAGTTGGAGGGGTTCACAATCCGATCTAAAAGCTGCAACCTGAGCACAGCAGCGCTCGGTGCGCTCAGTGCAAAAATGACGGTGTTTCCATGGTTTCCATAGTGGTACCCCAAAAATGACGGTTTATTTCATGGAAAATCCCATCTATAATGGGAAAATCCATTTTTTGGGTTTCCATATCAATGGAGGTTTCCATATCAATGGGGGGTACCAGAAAATTGATGGCTTATCATGGTTGATTTCATGGAACATCCCATCTATAAATGGATGATGACTGGGGGTACCCCTATGACTTAGGAAACCTCCAAATAAATGAGATTTCCTCAAGCTTTCCCCACGCTGGCCCATGGGTTGCGTATACGTACAGTTTTTGCACAAGAAATAGATGGGGGAATGTGACCAACAAGAGTTACTGCAATGTTGTGTAAATTACCAACAATTGTTTGACCAACAAAACATGATATATATATATATTGGAATTTAACCATTGCACATTGGGTTGAAAGCAACACATTCTGGTTGGTGGTTTCTTTCCCATCTTGAACAACATGAAAGTCAATGGGAAGGATTATCGCATACCCTCCAGTAAATTAACATAGACCCTGGGAGATAGGGGTTGGAAGATTAGTTTCCATTAAAAATTGGTGATTTTCAGGGTCTATGTTAATTTACCAGAGGGTATATTATGGAAAATAAAAATAATGTTCCAAACCACCAAGCAGCATTTTTCATATATTGCCATCAAGCATAGTGGATAATTGACCCGGCCAACACCCAACACTTTTCGGAAGATCAAGCCGCCACCCTGGATGGTGGATCAGCATGAACTCATCCAAGGACAGTTGAGTTACACTCTGGTAAACATACAAAAAAACTATAGAACATCTCCATTTTTCATGGGTAAATCCACTATAAATGGCCCTGAAAATGATGTTAATTAACATGTTGACCCTGAAAATCACCATTTTTTAATGGAAGCTAATCTTCCAACCCCGATGACTGGCAGGGTCGAACTGTTAATTTACTGAAGGGTATGTTTTTTTCCAACGTTTGGAGGACATCAAAGCCGTATCTTGAGGAACACCATGTCGTTGAGCAGGTTTTCTAAATGTAAAATTAGGAGGTGAACACCCTTTTTGATTGATCATTCGCTAATTCAGCGATTATTTATATGCAGTCGCCCCCCAACCAAACAGTCCAACGATTTATTGATGCAGCGGTTGTCATTACTGAACAAAGCCTTAGCCTCTGATAATCTAGCCTGACAATGCATGATCCTCCAGGAGTGAAGATGCCTATCAAACGATCGGTATCATCATAGTTATCGGTTGTTATCATATCATATACAGGGATCAAAAACCATTGTCATTAAAATAAACAGGTAACATATGGTTATTTAACAGAGCCATGGAAAATCACCATTTTTAATAGGTAAATCCACTATAAATCACCATGTTCAACAGCTATGTTAGTTTACCAGAGGGTAACTATTACCAGTTATCAATGAATATACAGCCTGCAAACAATGGTTTATATGGGGATCAAATACAAGGTGAAGCCCCAAGTTATCAGTTGGCTTATAGACCTCATCAACCCAACGGTTCACCAAGTGAAATGTGCGTCAACTGAACGCTATCGTTTGGGGGCCTCCACCTTGTACCTGGTATATCATTGTATAGCAACAGATTAATTTGGCATTGAACTATCTTCAATTTCTTGAATTCCGGGTCATTTATGAAGATATGCAATATTAACAATGGACAATCGATAGAATAAGCAACCCCAAAAAACGATAGAAACGCAAAACTCCTACTAAAATAGTGATGAATTGAGCCTTGTCTAGTTTCTGGGGTGTTCAAAATTTATATATGTTCCAGTTATGGAAATGAAGTCCTTTCCATCTCAGTCGCGCCATACTTTTTGAATCAAATGAATTTATCCATTTACTAAAAATGAGAAGTGATTTGGTGTACTGTATCCATTTGATATACTCTATTCATGTGATTTATTTAGTAGATGGTAAAGTTATCTATCCATTTATCATAATTTATCCATTCACCCCGAATCCATGTTCGTATGCTCGACATCCCTCGTCGGCGGCGCCAGCGGCGGCGCCCGCAGGTACAAAAGGTGCCTGTACTTTTTGGATTTTGTTAGTGATACCTACCATATATAAGGCCTATTTTTCAGGCCTATGTAAGAGAATATCCCCAAAAAATATGGCCTTATATGGTACAGTACCTCCATTTTAGGATCCTGAAATTCCCATTGATACAATGTGGGCCCCGATGTGAATGTTGCTTGATAAACCCCATGAATACTATATAACTATATATAATATATAGTTATAAGTACCATAATTCATGGTGAAATTGGATGAGATTGGAGTTATGTTCACCAACTTAGCTATTGTTTCGGGGCCCCACATTGTATAAATGATTTATACATGTGGGATTGTTTCTATCTGTAATATTCTGTAACTATCATACCTGGATCCCTCGCATACCAGAAATTTGGTCTGAAGTGATTCAGTCTACTAATCAGATTGATTCCAGAAATCTTGCCTGAGGTGAAAATTCTCGCCTGAAGTGGTGTTATATATGTTATATATAACGTGAGGTCGTGCCAAGGTTGATATGGTCTGAAAATTGGGGGAATACCGTGGTATACCCAAATCAACTGGTTTGTCAAACTATTCCCTCTTAAGATTGAAAAACTTGAAGGGTATACCCCGTGTTCAAACACACTCAGCTATCACATCAAGATGATCTTATATCGATTATTTCGCATAAAACTCTGATTTTCACAGGTTGCATACAAAGTGGGGCCGGCTAGATAGCTAAATTGGTTTATAACTTCAATAGCAAAGTTTTGTAATGGATGGTAATGGAACTTAAAAAACAACTTATATATAACTGGGGCGCCCACCTTGTACTCTTGCTGCTAACATCCCAATTTCGAATGGCAAAGTTGGTTCACCCAGCACGCCCCAAACGCGCCGGGCGCCCCCGGGGCTTCGCACGCCACACGACGAGCGGTGACGTCTGATTCCTGATGATTTTTGGAAGTCGTTACCCAGAAAATCGGTCGTGAAGTGGTAGAGTTTCATCTGGTTGATGGTTTCAACCTACCCCTCTGAAAAATGACGGAGTTCGTCACTTGGGATGATGACATTCCGAATATTAATGGAAAAATCATCCATTCATGTTCCAAACCACCAACCAAAGCGCAACTGGCAGGAATATAGAAAGAACAAAGGGAATTTACAGATCTGTTTCTCCATTATAAACCAGCTCCATGGTGCTGGTATATTTACCTACATGACTGGGTGATTTTGTGTAAATGTTGGTGTGCATATTCCAGCACCATGGAGCAGTTGGGTAAGATATTGTGAACCGATTTTCTGGCGGGAATTGATGGTTGCCATGCTTGATTTTGAGGGGATTCCCTGCATGCTCTGGAATAATTACTCGGCAGGTTGTGAGGGTCAGTTTAGTCATCAAACATGGCCCATAGGATCCATGTATGGTATATATGGTAACATTTACCGTCAATATACCCCCAATGTTACTATATATACCATACATGGATCCTATGGGTGGTATCAAACACATTCAAACACGGTCTTCAAACATAGTCATCATATGGCTATGGGTCAAAATTCAAGACCTGGGGGACCACAGATTTAAGTCTATCTTTAGCATTAACCATCCAATTAATCCACTTATTGGGGTACCCAATCACTTGACCCATACCCATATGTCATCATCCTGTTGTTGCTACCGGGTCTTTACTCATATCCAAACACCACATTTTCTGAGGTCGTAAAGCCCCGAAGTCAGGTTCTAGATGGCTTGGGCCCGGCCACAAACTTCCCCTGTGAAAAGGAGAAGTTTCGCTTTGGGATCCGAATTGTTGCGAAGTATATAGGGTAATTTGATCTTGAAAAAAACTTGGGCGTTGGGAATACATAAACACTAATACAAATAAACATTCAATTTCTTGGGATTCAGAGGGTTAACTTTTCGAACATTTTTGTGAAACCACCAATCAGTCTATGACTTGGGCAGGGATATAATTTCGGGGCAGTTGAAGTAAAGGGTAAACCATCCTCTCTGCGTGGGTAGCGACATTTTGACCCATACCATGGTAGCATGGCCAATCTTACGCTGCATTCATCCAAGGTGAACCCAAAAACCATGTAAGCTGTGTTTAAAAGGTCTTGTTCTTCTTATTGCCACCCTCTTACTAAAAACTGGTTGGTGGTTTTAACCCCTCTGAAAAATATGAGTCAATGGGAAGGATGACATCCCATATAGAAAATAAAAAAATCATGTTCCAAACCACCAACCAGATATGAATAAGGCATAATTCTGATAAACATCTACATGATATACAATCTGGTTATTTAACATAGCCGTGGAAAATCACCATTTTTAATAGGTAAACCATCTATAAGTGGGCCATCTATACCATGGCTATGTTAGTCATAACCAGAGGGTACCTTTATGCTCCTATTGCTGTTTTGGTGAAATCCTCAAAAATCAACTTCCCCCAGTGCTCCCCCAGATTCTGATCATGAACTCCCGCGAAGCATTTCTTGTCGCCAAATACAACAGCCACAAATCACCACTTAAATCCCAAAATACCATACCCTAAAATTTATTATAACATAGCTATAGAACATCGGACCATGTAAATCATGGTAAATCATCAAAATCAAAATACATTAGTTACATTAGTGTCAGTTTACCAGAAGGTCAACTTCGACCATAAATCACCATAAAAATATACTCCTTCAATCATCATAAATCACCAGAAGTTGATCAAAACTAACCAATTTTCCATCACCATCTTCGCTTCAGAAGGTCAACTCATCATCTACCAGGTCCAGTCAACTCACCCAACTCCCATGACCCAACTTCCACCTCGATGGAAGTGAGAACCTTATCATGGAGCTCCGTCAGAGATGTGTTGGCCTCCAGAGTCCCATGGAAGACCCGAATTCGGGGCAAAAAAGTGGCTGAAGTCTATGCTTTATGGTAGATATAACTATAGTTCATATAGTTCATGGGGTTTATAAACCAACATTCACATCACTGGGGGGCACCATCCTGCAAGAAAAATGATGTTTAGCATACTTTTATATATCATTGTTAATCATACTTTGCTTAATGATTAATGGGAATCTTAAATCAACTTATAACTGGGGGGCACCATGCTGTGGGAATGTCAATGAAATATCAATCCTACATAACGTGAGGCCCCTGTTGACGAAACACCATAGGAGGAACATGTGATTTAACCAACACACATTTGGATTGAATGATATGTATGGCTGATTCATGATAGTTAAGTTGGTGAACATAACTCCACGTACTACAAGTAGGTTTTATGACAAATATATCTATAGTTAATGGGGGTTAAAAACCAAATCAAAGCTAGGGCAACACCTTGTATTAAAACAGTGATCACAGACTGGTCTATCTTTTTTGGAGGTTTCTAGAACTATACATGGGGATATAACTAAGAATATGGGCATATTTTATGGGTATGTTCGAATATCATGGGACTATTCGACAAAGTTCAAGTACTCAATCGGGTTGGTTGAATGGAACACTTGCGGTTTAAACCATGTTAGCTTTAGTCTCAAATAGTAAGACTATATATTAATATATTACATGAATACCAACAAAAACAGTGTGTATTTAGTTCAGTTTAGTTTGGTGTTACATATTGTAAATACATCTCTGGTGTCCTTAAACATGGCTAGCTGAAAGATCCGCTTTTTCGAGGTTTAGTGCACTGGGTTTCCCCATGGAACGCTGGTGGATTTTCCAGCAGGCCATGATCCTCATAGGATGGAACTTGGCAGCTGAGCTGTGGGGATGATGACATGGGATGATGACATGGGATTTTAAACCTCATAAGTTGAGGCATATTACCCAATGGTTCAATGTGAGGCCCCAGTTCGGAATCGCTAAGTTGGTGCGTTTATAAGTCCCATTTCACTATATGGTTTATGGCATTTACAACGAACTACTTACTGGGGCTTATAAAGCAACTTATAACTGGGGGGCCTCACATTGTTTGTACATCACTTATAGCTACAAGGTGGTGCCTCCCAGTTTCTTGCTTTCGTTTTTCTCTATTCAGTCTACAATGTGGGGCCCCCAAACGATAGCTAAGTTGCTGCAAACTCCAATTTCACCATGATTTATGGTACTTCTAGTATTCATGGGGTTTATGAAGCAACATTCACATCACTGGGGGCCCCCGCATTGTATATCTACTATACTCCCCAAGTGAAATCGGAGTAATTTCTGTTCACCAACTTCGCGATGAATCGAAGGGGGAAACCACCTTGTGGAACTGGATCGCACACTCAAATCAGAGGCTGGCATAAAGGATCTATTACCGGTAATCTAACAGTTTGCTATTGAACATTGCCCATTTTAGTTCGTTGATATACCATTTCCAATAAAATAGTGACTAAGATGGGCCAAGGCAATGTTCTCAATGGTATTTTAATGTGCCATATCCTTTGGGAAGCTAACATAGCCATTTTAAAATATACCATTTTACTCCTATTAAAAGTGACCGTTTCCAAAGCTATGTATGTTTACCAAAGGATATCTCAGGACGCATCGTAGTATCAGATCACACAAGAACTGCTTTTTCTCATGTCTAATCCTAGGCGTACCGAAAAACATCAACATATTTAGCTGGATAATGTATACATCTGGTTGGTGGTAGACCTACCCCTCTGAAAAATATTTGTCAGTTGGGATGATTATTCCCAATATATGGAAAAATAAAAAATGTTCCAAACCACCAACCAGATATGTATACATATATATATACACATACGTATCCCATCATAGGCACCAATGAGACTATACCCACATGACTAAGACGTACTTATTTTAATGCGCCCATCTGGACAAATTACTCCTCATATGTTCGTATATATATCATTCATTATCATTTACCCACCTGAAATAAGTATATCTTGGGATAATTCCCCTACTTGGAGGATCATCCCACTTATGAAAGTGGTTGATAACCCCGGTGACCAAAGGCCCGGTGACTGGACATGGCCTTTGGGCCTTTTTCAGTCCATCTCCACTGCCTTCTTGGGATGCTGTGGCACCAACGCGGCTGTCGGTGTTCATCCAAGGTAGGCATTCTTGGCCAACCAGATGTTCCGGAATCAAGGACGCTGGAACCAGCTTATTAAACCCAAGGTTAGGGCTTCCACTGCTCTGGCACAGAAAAGAGATAAAAGAAGCAACGGATATCCTCGCTGCTTAGTAGCGCCACTTCATCATCTTCGAGAAGAAAACCAGCAAAACCAGCAAAAACCCCGGCAGGCTTCCAACATCTCCACTAAGATTTCTTGACACAGAGTTTAAGTTAAATTCATAACCCATAGGATCCATGTATGGTATATTTACCATCAATATACCCCCAATGTTAGCATATATACCATACATGGATCCTATGGGTAATCAGACGCTGGGTCTCGGTCTTGCCCACAAACTCACCGTTCCCAACAGCAAAAAAAAACCATTGGCAGTGAGTCCCCGTGTACCATGGATTAGCCCATTTGTAAATGGTTGATAGCCTCTGGTCAACGTTTACATAACGAACTGGAAAAGCACCATTTATAGATATGGGTAAATCAACTATTTCGACTGGGCCATTTTCAATAGCTACGTTAAATTACTCAATGGTCATTTCAGGATCCTAAATTGGAGCTACTGTACCATATTTTTGGCCATATTTTGTGGGGATATTCACTTACATAGGCCTGAAACATAGGCCTTATATGGGGATGGGTCAAAACCCTGGTACCTTTTGTTCACCCCAAGTCATAGCTGGGATTTATGGATGTGAATAACCCACTAAAGTCATGGTATCTATAGGTATTGACCCATACCCATATATACTCCAATCAATCGGATCCTGAAATGGCCGTTGAATTACCAGAGGATACGGCCGTTCATAGCCTAAAAAAATTCCGAAGCAGTGGCATGATCCTCCAACAGGATGGTGCCATGGCCGTGATGTGAATGTTGGTTTAGATAAAAACCCCATGAATGCTAGTTCGTTATATCTGCCATAAACCATAGTGAAATGGGAGTTATGTTCACCAACTTAGCTAACGAACTGGGGCACCACCTTGAAGGACTTAGAAAAAGAGGTCCGTGGGGACCGTGAGGTCCTGATTTTTTCTCGGAAAAATCGGCCCATTTGATATGAACGAAAGATGGCTATGAGTCAGAAACCCCGAAGAAATAGCTCGGTAATGGATGTTTATACCCCCAAACATGGATTAATAAGTTTTGACCTTTCGACCCATCCCCATTTCTTATCATTTTTAATAGGTTTATAATCGTCATTGATATCCCTGGAAACATCCAGTACCGAACTATTTTTGGTTTAATCAAGAGGAATAACCATTATTTATATCTCCATTAATAGGTAATAGTTTTTACCTCTTGGTTTTGGGGTGGAAGCCTCGATTTAGCCTGTGCTGGTGGCCTTGAATTTCTCCACCACTTCCTTGTAGAGATCCAGAGCCAAAAACCTCGCTGTTCTCGGTGTTGACGGCTCCAGAACAAAAAAAGGGACACCAAGTTGGTAGACTTAAGATATCTTAAGATCATCTAAATCTGAATAGGTCAGAACTTTAATCTTAAACAAATGTCGCCTAAGCAAATAGCTTTTGGGAGGTCAATGGGGATAGGGAATGTCAGGAGCAACCCCCAATGGGACCGTGGGTCAAAACCCGGTAGTACCCGGATGGTACACATTGATTGATGGTTCTTCCCAAAAAAATATGGTAACTGGTTGGTGGTTTCAACCTACCCCTCTGAAAAATGATGGAGTGAAAGTCAGTTGGGATGATGACATTCCAACAAAATATGGAAAGTCATAAAAGCCATGTTCCAAACCAACAACCAGGTAATAAATAATAGATTAATAGGTTTTGACCCATCCCCAAATAGACATAGATAGGCTGGGAATCATCTATTTGTTATATCTATTTTGTTTGGTTCTGGACTCAAAATGATCAATAGCCTCTGGTAAACTAACATAACTATGCAAAATCACATGTTCTATTGGGAAAATCCACTATTTCTATGGTGAATTTTCTTCGAACTAGGCAACTAGGTAACGACCCTCGTATATATATATATATATATCCAAGTTGTATATCCATGTTTGGCGTGATCATCTACTGTATACATTTCTGATCCTTTGCTGTGGCTCAACCAGAAGAAATCAGTCAGCAATTTCTTTCGAATGCTGCATGTCTCGAGTATATCTGTCACCAATTGGTTGAAGCATTCAACTGCCTCCAAATGTCACTTCGCACATCTAGAGCGTGTTGCGAAGTACCTAGCATCCAGAGCGTGTTGCGAAGTACTCAGTACCAGACGACGTTGCACAGCGTAGCATCCAGAGCGTCTTACGAAGTACCAGACGACGTTGCACAGCGTAGCATCCAGAGCGTCTTACGAAGTACTCAGAACCAGACGACGTTGCACAGCGTAGCATCCAGAGCGTCTTACCAAGTACTCAGAACCAGACGACGTTGCACAGCGTAGCATCCAGAGCGTCTTACGAAGTACTCAGAACCAGACGACGTTGCACAGCGTAGCATCCAGAGCGTCTTACGAAGTACTCAGAACCAGACGACGTTGCACAGCGTAGCATCCAGAGCGTCTTACGAAGTACTCAGAACCAGACGACGTTGCACAGCGTAGCATCCAGAGCGTCTTACGAAGTACTCAGAACCAGACGACATTGCACAGCGTAGCATCCAGAGCGTCTTACCAAGTACTCAGAACCAGACGACGTTGCACAGCGTAGCATCCAGAGCGTCTTACGAAGTACCAGACGACGTTGCACAGCGTAGCATCCAGAGCGTGTTGCCAAGTACTCAGTACCAGACGAGGTTGCACAGCGTAGCATCCAGAGCATCTTACGAAGTACCATACGACGTTGCAAAGTACCAAGCATCCAGAGCATGTTGCGAAGTACTAAGTACTAGACGACGTTGCACAGCGTAGCATCCAGAGCGTCTTACAAAGTACTCAGAACCAGACGACGCGTTGCACAGCGTAGCATCCAGAGCGTCTTACGAAGTACCAGACGACGTTGCACAGCGTAGCATCCAAAGCTTTTTTGCGAAGTATTAGCAAAGGCGTCCTCCAAAACGCGTCGTAACGTACGACTGGAGCCACAAAAACAAAGACATGGTACAATTTTGTGGCAACTCGAGAATCAAGAACCTATCTTGTGACCAACTGCCATCTGTTTAGGAACATCACCAGCTCAACAGTGCGATGCGAAAAGTTCTGCGTTTCAAACAATGGAGCGACCATCCAGGGAACACGTCTTGGGCAGCACCACCGTCATCTGCCAGGTACATCACTAGACGAAGATCGCGGCATTCGACGGCTGGATTAGGCAGTCGCGCTGTGCGCCCAACTCGATGTCGGCTGGCGCCGCCCTTTTTCTTTGATTTCTTCTTCTCCATCAGGGTCAGGCGAGCCTGCAGCTCCGAATTGTGAGCTTTAAGGACCAAATTTTCGTCGCGCACCTCTTTGAGCTTGCCGCAAGCTCGTTGAGCTCGGCCTCGTGGAAATATAATTGTTTGCTATTGAAACTATGGCCAATTTAGTTCGTTGATTTACCGAACTTAAAGATGGTGATTTTCCGTAGCTCTCTTAGTTTACACATTCTTCAGAGCTATGGTTGTACTCTTGCGGCATGGCCACATCCTCTTGCCATGAAAAGAGGTGATTTACAAGACCACCAAAAAATCATTGAGATCTTGATGATTGATGTTATCATTTATACAATGTGGGGTTACCCTCAGTTATAAGTACGATAGATCATAGTTTTTGGCACTATAGCCAACTTAGCAATCTAGGGGGCCCCACATTGTATGTATATCTGGGTAAATAATAATATTTCACTAACCTGAATTGTTCGGTCATTTGGGGATGATTCCCCTTATTAACCATGATTCCAGGCTTCGGGAGAACAGTGAGGTCGTTATAATTTTTACCCATATATAGATATATATATATATATGGACACAATCATTTTCAAAACCGAGGGATTAATCATAGTCTTCCCTATATATAATATGATTATTATACTATATATACTATATAATATTATTATACTATATAATATACTTCCCTATATATATATATTATATGTATAATATTATAACCATCAAACCACTCCCAAATGGGGGAGTCCCAATCATCCCAACCAGCAAACATCCCAAGGGCTCCGCACCGGAGGTTCCGATCGGAAGAGTTCAGGAAGACCTGGCGAACCGACGAACTTGACGAAGCCGACTGATGGGTTTTTTTCGAGGGGGCCTCCAAGGGTGTCCTAAAACGTTTACTGATACATATGCATATGCTTTCATGGCTGTGTATGTATGTATATATACATATATGTATATATATATATATAATTTTGTATATAGACATGTTTTGTTCTATCTAATTTATATATCTATATACATATGAAACTGGTTAGGGATACCAACGATCTGTCCAAAATTGCTGTTCCCATGGGGGAACATGATGAGCATCACACAACTTGATGAGCATCACACAACTTGATGGTTTTCAGACATACAATGTGGGCACCCCCCAGTTATAAGTTGCTTTATAAACCCAATTAACTATAGTTATGAGTACCATAAATCATGGTTATTGGAGTTATAAACCAACTTAGCTATCGTTTGAGGGCCCCTAATGGTTTGGTGGTAATATGATTTCTTATCTGGTTGGTGGTAGACCTACCCCTCTGAAAAATATGAAAGTCAGTTGGGATGATGAAATTCCCAATATATGGGAAAAAAAAGGTTCCAAACCACCAGCCAGGTTTTATAGTAGATCAGATATATCTATACTTACTGGGGGTTCCAGCTATCTTCTATTGCTTGTTGAATGGGAACCAACTGTTCATAAACCAGTGCGAAACGGACATCAATTCTTCCAGATTTGCTGCATGAGAGCCAAACCCATGTGCCCTCTGCTCATCTCTGGCGATCCAGGCGCTAAAGCAGGTGATTCGACCTTTCTCTCCGTACACGGCTTTGTCCCTCAAATTCACCTGGTTGGTGGTATACCTACCATCTTGAAACATATGAGTTCGTCAATGGGAAGGATGACATCCCATATTTATGAAATGGAAAATAATCCAAATGTTTGAAACCACCAACCAGTCACATATTTTCTTGATGAAATCAATAATTTCTCAAACAATGCTCATGTTCCTTGGTGCAAACATGGGTTTGTCTGAAAATATATCAAGATATTGTGATGTGTAAAACAACAATAAACCATCACCCAAATCACCATTCCAATGGGTGCTTTATGACATTGTTTTACCATGTTTTACCCACATTATCCCTAATTCCAATGCGAAAAATTGTCCTATCTCCATCTTTACATTTTCAGATGGTCATTTCCAAAAGGAAAATACACAATTTTCAGGCAAACCCAACAAGCATCATATCAAGTTGGTAAACCCATGATATCCAACAAAATATGGATAGTAAAACCTAACAACACTGGTTGGTGGTATACCTACCCCTCTGAAAAATGATAGAGTTCATCAGTTGGGATGATGAAATTTCCAATATATGGAAAACAATATGAAAACCAAACCACCAACCAGATATCATTGTTCGTATATCTCAGATTATAGAACAAATATTAATGTTATACCCTCTGGTAAACGGCCACATAACTATGGAAAATCACAATTTTTCATGGGAAACTCACTATTTCTATGGCCATTTTCAATAGCTATATATGTATGTTTACCCCAGGGTATATCACGGTTTTGCCATGCTTGGATCCCATTGGCCCCCATATTTGGTGCTGAAACATCCACCCCAGCGCCTGAAGTTTCTCGATGGCCAAGGCGACAATGGCTGTCCCTGCGAATTTTCATGGAAAATCACGGTTGAACTTCCTGAATTTGATGAACAGGAACTTCCAGGAAGCCAACAAATATATATATATATATATCTATCTATATATATATATCTATCTATCTATCTATATATATATATATATATCTGGGTAAATTATAATATTTCACTAACCTGAATTGTTCGGCCATTTGGGGATGATTCCTCTTATTAACCATGATTCCAGGGTGCGGGAGAACAGTGAGGTCGTTATAATTTACCCATATATATATATATATTCCCCAAGTAGTTGCTTACTCATTGGCAAACAAAAACACACAACTCAGCAGCAAACCCAAGAAGTGTAACCAGCTATCATCATTTGCCAATCAAAGCTGTGTTGGGGGATTCACCTCCCTCCCTATTCATCAACCAGCAATGGGAAAAGGATCATCTCAGTGACACTTTTGCTGCGCAGTTTTAGTTTTAGTTGCAGCTTTCCTAAAATGGGGGATAACCCATGCAAAACCCTCCACATTTCATCATTTTAGTATTGAAACCCAACTTGCTGATGCCCTTTAAGAAACTTCCAGTTGGGTGAATGCACCAAAAAAAAACATGGATGGATTGCCCCTGAACTGAGCGAGCTATGATTCTTTCATTCTGTGATTCAAAATTGGGTACCCTCTGGTCATTTAACATAGCTATTGAAAATCACCATGCTATTAATGGGTAAATCAACTATTTCTATGGGCCATTTTCAATAGTTTTTTGTATGTTTACCAGAGGGTACCCCCAAAATGAGATTGTTTACTACCAAACATGGGCCCAAAAATGGGTCATATTTGGCCCCCAAGGTTTGAACAATAACCACCTGTATGCAGAAGGGTCAAACGTCTTTAGAATGGTCAAAACCATTAAATCATTGACCCCCAAAATAGACAGACTGAAATTGGATGGTTGGATAAAAAAAACCACATTCTTATTTTTTCCAAACAATTCCAAACAAAAAAAAATCCATACTAATATCCAACAACTCGACCCAGATGTCTTTTGCACCCCTTTGGCTGCCAATTTTTGGCTGCTAGGCTAATTTCCCCATGTTTCTTGAGGATAATTCCACCATTTTGCTGGTTAGTAATCCTTCTTTGACCCGCATTTGGGTGCCAAAATTGGATATGCCCAGCATGGGACAATTCCCCCCCAAAAAATAACCTAATTCTGTGGTCCCTGGGTTTGAAATTGTGACCCACGCTGCCATAGAGGATTGGGCCCCCGTTCGATAGTTAAGTTGCCTAAAAAAAGTGGCTGAATTCTATGGCTTTATGGTAGATATAATTATAGTATTCATGGGGTTTATAAACCAACAAACATCACTGGGGGGCGGGGGGCACCATCCTGTACCCATAAATAACAATTAACACCAATGCCAGTGAGTAGTTTGCCTTATCACCAAATCAAAAGTGGACTATCGCTACTGACGGCCCATTAAATGACCCACTTACGGCTAAGAAGAACCAGCATGTACCAGTAGAAGGCATGGTTTACTATGGATCATGGTGAAAATGTGAACATGCGCCCCACATTTATCTGGTTACATACTTTCTTTCATTGGTGATGAAGCACCATAAAACCCAGTACTCACCAACTGTCTGCACAATTTGTAAGATGATTTTCCTACATATCCCAACTATCACATGTAGGGAAATCTCTTTGGCACGAGACGGTTCCCCCAAAAAATGCTTCAGCAATGACTCAAACTCAAGTGTGACATTCCAGGATTACCTGATAGATAGATACTCTCTGGTAAACATACAAAAAGCTATTGAAAATGGTCAATGATAGTGGATTTTCCCATTAAAATTTGTGATTTTCCATAGTTATGTTAGTTTACCAGAGGGTAATCATTGACAACAATGTCGGTTCCCTGAAAGGCCAGAACATCGCAGCCCAAATTTGGCTGCCCAGGCAGCACCCACTGAACCCAGTGAGTGTGTTACGCAATACTGTCATGCTCACAGCCAATTGAGCAAATTTGACATAGCCCAGCTTGACTTGGGACTGGTGCAAATTGTTCCTGTAGGAATGCCTGAAGAGGTACCATGCAGCACCTCTTTGAAGAGTTGCATCACTGAGAGTCCTCCAGTCCCTCCTGCTTAAATTTGGACTCAATTCCTGCGGCAGTCTGTGAGTTTGCGCAAGGTATCGCCTGGGATGTGTGACAATGACTCACAAACACGAGTCAATTTAGTGATGATTTGGCAGTCGATGAACATCTTAAGATCATGCAAAATAAGTAGCAAACAAGTTAGTTTGACTCAGACTCATCAAAACATATGGATGGGTTCTGTGATTCAAAGACAGACCCTGATCCCCGCCAAAATGCCCAACATATTTCCAGGATGGTGGTTCGATGATGCCTTCCCCATACTTTTACATCATTTCCAAGTTCCAAGGTACTTTCTGTCTATGGCTGGGGGTTGCTTTTTTTCTGCGTATCTCCTGTACTATCCCAACACATCACAAGTGTTGAATTGCCAGGGGGTTACTCTATCAATAGTTCCATGATTTCCCATATTATCCCCATATATTGACTGGTGGTATACCTACGCCTCTGAAAAATGATGGAGTTCGTCACTTGGGATTATGATTATTCCCAACTGAATGGAAAAATAAAAGCCATGTTCCAAACCACCAACCAGTGATTATTAAACAATGATTAACCATCATTAACCATGGTTCCAAACCACCAACCAGTTGATGCTTAATTTTCACTTCCCAATTGCAGAGGCTATATCACAACCAATGGTGGTTCTATCCTTCGACGTGAGGTTCCAGGTATGTTCGCTGGTCTAGGTTTATAACCCCCATGAACTATGAATATATCATGATATGCCATAAGAGCTATCCCATTTCATCGAAAGGCTGAAGGTGTTACTAACCAACACATTGGTGAATTTCCCAGAAATTCCGAATTCCAGACAGTGAATATCTCCAACTCATGCTGGTATATGCTGGTTATAACCTTGGTTGTTCCAAGGCGTAAAGGGTTACGAACACAAACGTCTCGCGGCACCTTCCGGCATGGTCCGCACCACGCAGCGAATGGCTTCAAACTCCACACTCTGTGCCTGGTTTTCCCATGAAAAATCCCCGAAGTCCCCTGAAGTTGGTGTAGAATGTGTAGAAATTCATATAAACTCCATACCTGGTTGGTGGTTTCAACCTACACCTCTGAAAAATGATGGAGCTCGTCACTTGGGATTATGATTATTCCCAACTGAATGGAAAAATAAAAGCCATGTTCCAAACCACCAACCAGATTAAGTCTAGATCAAAAGATACTTGGTATCAGCTCCATTAAGTCTGGTGCCTGGAATATGAGTTCAAAAAAAACTAGTAACTAGAAGTCGATGATTTTCACAGCGAACTGAACCTCCACCTAGTTCGGGGATGTAAGTCATGGCTGATTTGCACATTCGTGCTATTTGGCTTTGTCAGATAGGCTACCCCCTGAATCCATTGGTGACTTCACATTTTCACCATTAGAATGGCCATAGCTTGTGGGCGTCCCCCTTTTCAACAAATCCAGTTGGATGCATACGGGGCGTCGTCCACGAGTCGGCGGATGCAATGCTACTTGCAATGCTACTTGCTGTGCGCATAGAACTTACGAGTTTCTGAATCGGAACAAAACTCCTGAGTTACAAACACGATCTATATTGAAGAACTCATTTGACATTTATAAATAACTGGTTGGTGGTATACCTACCCCTTTGAAAAATATGCTCGTCAGTGGGGATGATGACAGTTCCAACCACCAACCAGTCTACCTTTGAAGGGTTTATACATGTGTATAACATCCATGTCAGGGGGATGATGGTTTAATAAATTGGGGGGACTTAAGCAATAGACATGAATGAGGTAATCCAAATTTTGGGGACTTAATAGACGCCTCAAAACGCGGCTTTTTGGCTTCGGCTTCTTTTGATCGTCGATCCTATGCTCCATAGCTAATGGGTTGGTTACCCGACCTGGTAAACATACAAAAAGCATCAACAAGCTATTGAACATGGCCATAGAAATAGTTGATTTACCCGTTGAACATGGTGATTTTCCATAGTTATGTAAACGTTTACCAAAGGGTAAGAAGGGGATTCCCACTTCAATGTGGGGCTCCCCAGTGATGTGAATGTTGCTTTATAAACCCCATGAGTACTATAGTTATAAGTACCATAAAGCATGGTTATTGGAGTTATAAATCAACTTAGCTATCGTTTGGGGGCCCCACATTGTAGGTTACGATGATCGATATATAAAGGGTGGTATAACCACCGAGCGAATCATGAACCAACCATCTTCATATTATGCTTTAATCCACTAAAACTGTTTTCGTAATAAATGATGGTACTGTAGTACTATAAGCGATCATCATTTAATTACTATAAATGGTTGTAAAACCAGTATGAAATGGTACTCTTAAATGGAATCCTTACAACCCCAAACAACTAATCAACAGGGCTGTATCACGCAGCCGCTGCTCATCGATAAGTTGAGAACGGGATTCCCCATGGATTAAGTGACATTCCCCAATTTTTGTCGGTGACTGGAAAAAAAAAACCGAACTCATCATCAACACATATACTAAATTATACACATAGAATCATAGAATCATAGGAAAAATCCCGAACTCATACAATGATGGTTTATAAATTATACACATATAACACATATACTAAATCCCAATGTTTATTGTTTAAAATCCATACTAATATTACTAATATGATGGCAGGGGACAAATCATCTTAGTCTAATCATCAACCAACCAACTTGGATCGTCGTGCAGCCTTTGTGGTGTTGAGGATGTTGGTCAAAGGCCTCAGCGAAGACGGATCGTCGTAGGCTTTTTCACCACCATGAGTTGGGAGATACCCTCTGAAATTGGGAAAACATGGGTCCTTAACCATCACCCGAATATTAAACACCCCAATTGCATGGTCCCAAAAAATGCGGAAATTCCCTACATCCACCATGGTTTCGTGGCCAGGGGGTGTTATTTTTTGAACGGGGGAAGGGATTACTTAACCATCAATAATGGGGATCTAATGGGAATATAAATGGATTCATTCTCTGGTAATTTAACAGTTTGCTATGGAAAACCGCCCACTGAGTTCGATGATTTCATTCTTAGATTTTTTTGATTTTCCATACCTTTGTCAAGTGACCAGAAGGTAACCACCAAAAGTGAGGATATACCCTCTGGTAATTTAACATAGCTATGAAAAATGGCCCATTTGTATATAGTTGATTTAACTACTAAAGATGGTGATTTTCCTTAGCTATGTTAAATTACCAGAGGGTAACTTTAGGAAACCCACATATGCCCAAATAACGTTAGCTACATACCCACTTGTTGACTGGAAGTGCGTCTCCGAGCAGTGATTTTTTAGGGTTGTCGTCATAGTCAGGAAGTTTCCCTCTGCGATCAAGCACGCTCTTCCTGCCAATTGTTAATGCCAACATTTGGTAGAATTGTACCATTGATTTTTTTGCTGGCTGAAACCATGATATGTAAAATCCATCATTTCTTGCGCACGTCATATTTCACTCTTGGAAATTTACTGGGTTCAAACAATAAAAAAAATATCCACCAAAAAAAATTGCGGGTAAAGTCCCCATTTTCTGCATCACTCAATCCACCTCTAATGGTAAGTTTCAAAACCACAACTGGTCAGGTCAACGTTCGCCACGGATTGGTCAGGGACAAAATGTTGGGGGCTTTGCATCAATGGGGTATCCCCTTTATCGCTGGTTGGTTTATAATGGACAATCCCAATCTAACATGGATGATAAATGGGGAACTTCTATGTTATTAAACAATGGTTAATAATGGTTAATCATGGTTAATAATGGTTAATAATGGTTAACAATGGTCATGAAACCTACATTTCTTTCGCTTTGTGGGTCATTTTTCGCTTTGCTCCTCTCGTTTGATAGTTAAATATGTTGAAATCGGCCAACTCACCAACTGGTTGGTGGTATACCTACCCCTCTGAAACATATTAGTCAATTGGGATTATTATTCCCAATATATAGAAACATAAAAATGTTCCAAACCACCAACCAGCCAAGGATGTACCCACAAATCCGATATTTTGTTGGGTGTGTTGCCTTGTGACATCCCAATTTTCCAGTGAATATCCGCAGCGCTTGACGCCCTTGCCTCCCATACCCACTACCCTCTGGTAAACATACAAAAAGCTATTGAAAATGGTGATTTATAGTGGATTTTCCCATTAAAAATAGTGAATTTCCATAGTTATGTTAGTTTACCAGAGGGTAAGTCACCATTACATCCCATTAAAAACCCAATTTTTTGTGGGTTCAAGTCCCATTAAAGCGGCCAATGGTACTTGGATGTGAATACCAAGCATCGCATCTGTGGTTTATAACCCTGCTGCATATGCCATGATAGCCACATAGAACTGGGGTATACTAGGCTTATTAGCCACTTTCGATTCTGGACACCCTAGATTGGATAGCTAATTTGATTTACAAATTCAATATGCATATATATATATATGTATTATTGATAATATATATATATGACAATATATATATATATATGATATAATATATATATATGATATAATATATATATACGATATGATATAAAAATGATAATATATATAGATAAATGATATAATATATATAACAATGATAATATACATATATATATATGTATATATAACAATGATATAATATATATAACAATGATATTATATATATATGATATAACATATATAAAAATGATATAACATATATAAAAATGATATAATATATATATATATGATATAATATATATATATATATATGATATAATATATATATATATATACGATATGATATATTATATATATGTGATATAATATATACATATATGCATGATATAATATAATATGTATACATCTGATATAGTGTATATATATATGACACACACATATATGTATATTTAACATATATATATATATATATTGAAAAACATGTGATATATAAGTAGGATTTACATGGATTTATGGTCATAATTTAATAACTATAGAACATCTGGTTCCGCATCCGCCAAGTCTCTCCACTAACTTGGCCGGCAGCCGCGGTTCCAAGGGAGATAGCAGCTGAAACACCTCCCGCAGATCGCGGCGAAGCGCGGCACGGCAGCTGGGAAAACACATGGGGATGGGTCAAAACCCTGGTACCTAGTGAACCCCAAAATAGCTGGTAAATGGATGTTCATCCCACTAAAAATGTATCTATAGGTATTGACCCATACCCACATTAAGATTCAACATTTCAATGGGATTTTAATGGGATTTCAATGGTTAATATATGGTTAATAATGGTTAATATATGGTTAATGATGGTTAATAATAATCTGGTTGGTGGTTTCAGCCCCTATACCTACCCCTCTGAAAAATATTAGTCAATTGGGATTATTATTCCCAATATATGAAAAAAATAAACATGTTCCAAACCTATTAAAGGACAGATTGATTTAGTTGCTAAATACACCTTGTTAATATACAAGTTGATTATTTGATTATAATTTTTCAAGATCTGGGTCATGTATCTATGGTCAACATCATAATCCCATGAAGCTTCAATGCTGTCTTTTGTTAAGATTGATTTAAAGGACAGCTCAATAGATTACTCCAATGTTGACCGTTTTTTTGGTTGGCATATATGAGTCATTTTGTGTTCCACCTTTTTCTGATTTAAATGGAACCAACATGAACCAACCAATCATTTCTGGGAACAAGTCAATTGTTGGTCTCACTTTTTCATTGCCAATCTTAGATACCCTGCAAAAAATAAATTCTTTGCTGGTGAACGTAGATATTCCCATTGATACCAAAAGACTCAAGGATTAAAGTATCCATCTTAGATTGACCTAGATACGATTATTGATTATTTGTGACTATTGATGATTGTTGATTACCATTATTGATTATTGACCATTATTGGTTACAAATTGCTTATAAGCCCATGAAAACTAGTTTTGCAGGATCAAATCCTTGTTGGGCCAATGATTGGGGTTTCAGGATCTGGTGCCTTTTGCCGTGCCTTTTCCTTTCCCGCGCCTTCAGTAACTTGATGGACAGCCAGTTATTGGTGGTCTTCACCTGAAGGACTGGGAGAGATGAATTGCTGAAATGGTTCTTCCATGATTCTTAAATGGATAAACAATAGGTTTGGAGCCGGTTTGGGAGAAACAAAAATCATCATGTACGCAGAATACATCGCAATTTGCCAGTTGCACATTCTTGAAGGGGAATCAATTGCGCATTATCCTAGGATCTCCAGAAAACTCAAATAAATGGTGGATTAATCAATAACCCAAATGAACAAATGGCAGTGTGTCAAAACCTTGTACCCCTTCTGTTCACATCAAAATAGCTGGGATTTATGGATGTTCATCCCCCTAAAAATGGTATGTATAGGTATTGATCCATAGCCAAATCATGCTTCAATGGATTGCTTGTCTTTGAAAAATCAAAGTGGTTGAAAACCGAGTTTCTACTCCCAAATTGACTATGGGTTTCTGCACATTTCCCCAAGAAAACCAATCTTGCTTGGGGGTGCAGTTGAGGTTACTTTCATGGGTATAGCCAATGGGAATCTGAACCCAAAGTTGGGCTATAATTGGATATAACCACTAAAACTATGGATGTATTTCCACTTACCCTCTGGTAAACTAACATAACTATGGAAAATCACCATTTTTAATGGGTAAATCCACTATAAGATGGCCATTTTCAATAGCTTTTTGTTAGTTTACCTGAGGGTATAACTGGAACTGCACTTCCAAACCGGCAACGAGTTCTGACTCTCATCGTTTTTTTTGTGTGTCAACTTCAGGGTCAGGCTGGCAGCCTTTCACATACCCTGCTGCGATATGGTTGGTACGTATTATAATAACAATACCCTCTGGTAAACTAACATAGCTATTGAAAATGGCCATTTATAGTGGATTTTCCCATTAAAAATGGTGATTTTCCATAGTTATGTTAAATTACCAGAGGGTAACTCAACTAATAAAGCAACAATAACACGGAATGTATACATATATGATCATATATGTGCATATACATCTACAGTTTTACAGCTATACAGGCTATACATATTTAATCATATGCGAAAATCATATTTATACATACCCATTTATGGCAAACTATTAACTCCTTGTATTCTGAACAATTATTCATCCAAGGTTGGAAACGGAAACTGGACATATTTTCCCATCGCTGGCAAAATAAACGCAGAGAGACTTATCCAACTTTATGCAAAAAAAGAGGTGGTTCCAGAAACAGTTGGGTGCTTCATTTGACAAACACAAAACGGAGATTTCCAAGTGACATATCATTGCCAATCAGCCAGATAGCCTGCAAAAAATGACAAATTCTTTGCTGGTGAACGTAGATATTCCCATTAATACCAAAAGACTAAAGGATTATTTGGTATCCATCTAAGATTGACCTAGATACGATTGATTATTGATTATTGACTATTGATGATTGTTGATTACCATTATTTTTGACCATTATTGGTTACAAATTGCTTATAAGCCCATGAAAACTAGTTTTCCAAGTGACATATATTGTCAAACCGCTTTAGCAAACAGGTTGTGAACTCTAAAATCCTTCCTGTCATGACAGACCCGGTACACCCCAAAATCTTTTACAATCTGGTGCCACCCCAGTGATTCAGTGATATGAATGTTGGTTTATAACCTCCAGTTTATAGTTGAAACTCTAGTTTATAACCTCCAGTTTAGCCCCTATTTATCAACCATTTATCTATAAATATCTACATCATCAACCCAAACTGGCTGGTGGTATACCTACCCCTCTGAAAAATATGAGTTCGTCAGTTGGGAGTATTATTCTCAATATATATATATATATATATATGTGGAAAAAATAATCCAACATATTCCAAACCACCAGCCAGGAAAGTGAAACCGAACTGGGGCACCACCTGGCTTCGCTGCCTTTATCATCTAAAAACCATGGAGATTTCAAAAACCTCTTAGAGGGTGACATAAGGTGACCCGATGACGTGATAGGTGAAGAAACTATAAAAAAAAACATACCCTCTGGTAAACTAACCGTTTGCTATTGAAAATGACCATCTTATAGTGGATTTACCCATTAGAAATGGTGATTTTCCATAGTTATGTCTGTTGGTTTACCAGAGGGTAAATACCATAGATGATAGATGGACAAACCACTGGAAATTGACCTAAATATAGATGATAGATGGCTTGATAAGGTTAAAGTAATGACATGTTCACCATCATTTTGATGGTTTTTCCATGTGGATGCGATAGATAACCCTGGTGCAGCATTCCGCAGCATTCAGAACATGCCAGGTGCTCCAAGATATGGTACAGCTGTGGCACCAATGATAAATAGTTCCTGACGCAATCAGATGACCCTTAGTTTGGGCATGATAACTAGTCATTTCATAGTTGAGCAAGTGGATACAAAAAATGCCATTCCGGGGTACCTGCCCCTTTTTGCGACAAGCCAACATATCACTAATAGATACTAGTAGCTAGTAGATCAATTCACCGGTCAATAGTTTCAAATTGCAGGGATGAGGGAGTGGGTTCATCTTGCAAGATGCGGAGACAAATGAACGAATTGTATTGGGACCCTACACAAGCGCAAACCAGAATTGATCAGCGGGTGCTGGATCAAACCAGACTCCAATCGTCGCAGTGAACGAATGCTACAGTTACAAACAAACTTCAAAAACCATCCAATAGGCTACAATCGAACATAACATACCCTCTGGTAAACATACAAAAAACTATTGAAAATGGCCATTTATAGTGAGTTTTCCCATTAAATGGTAATTGTCCATAGTTTTTTGTATGTTTACCAGAGGGTACATGATCCATAGTAATGAAATATCCTTGTGGTTGGTGGTGTCCACCCCCTTGCAAAATAGAACACGCGCTGAGAATGATCATCAATGCCGTCGTCGTCATCATCATCATCATCATCATCATGTTCATTCTCATCGTCATTCTCAACGTCATCAATCTTTGCTATCATTGTCACAATCATTTCATTACATGTTGTTTGATTGCTTTTTCACGTCCTTTCATTTTGTTGTCATTTCGTTTCATTTCATCTCGACCTGTACCGACCCCCAAGATCACGATCACGAAATCTTGGATGTCAGATAGATGGTGATACTTTCCGTTCATGTTTCCGTTCGGCGTCCAATGGTTCTATTCGAGTTTGTTTCTTTTTTGGTTGTTCACCCAGGTTCAGCCAGTTGGCTCTGCTATATCTCCCAGTTCTGCGGACCCAAATTCCACAACAAATGCTATCTTTTGCGGGTATTTCTTGATGATGTTCCATTGAATTCGAGCAAACAACGAACATATGTTTACCATGTTTACCATGTGAAACATCGGTGTACCATAGTGTAGCCCTGAACCCAATGGTTAAACATGTCAATCATCGTTCTCCCATATCTTTCTCCTTTTTTCCCCTGAAATGGCTATAATCCCATTCCCCTATTATTCAACACCCAAAAAAAGCGTCCCAAAAAAATGTGGAAATTCCCATAAATTTCCTACATCCACCATGGTTTCGTGGCCAGGGGGGGTGTTATGTTTTGAACGGGGTGTTTTGATTAATGCAATTTTCAACTTAGATACCATTGATTATCCATTAAGTATTATTATTATTATTACCATCTGGTTATTTAACATAGCCATGGAACATGGCCCATTTATAGATGGTTTACCTATCAAAACGGGGGAAGGGATTCATTGGGAACCTAAAAATCCAGACACAACTCGCCCGCATCCCCCTGATTTCCGCTCCTGGCATTCTTCCGTGCCAGCTCCAAGAAGGTGTTCACCGTGGCTGTAAGGACGCCCTGATGAAATTTTCGTGGGGCCCCGTTGACGAAAAACCACTGGGAAAATGGTGATTTAACCAACAAAAAGCTGATTTTAATATATGTTAATGGGATGTATAGCTGATTTATGATAGCTAAGTTGGTGCAAATAACTCCAATTTCAGCATGATTTATGGTACTTATAACCATAGTATTCATGGGGGTTATAAAGCAACAAACATCACTGGGGGCCCACATTGTATAGATCTAGCAAAAACCATAGAATTTACTTTGCTAAAATGAGATACTGGGGATATTATGGTACATCGCCTTTTTTTACAGTACAATGAATTGATATATACCATTTGTAGAACTATTTATATGGATATTCTTACATATATGAGCAACAATATGAATACATATATATATATATGTATATATATATGTATATATATATGTATATACATATGTAAATATATATATATATATTTATTTATATACATATACATATATATATATATATGTACATATATCATGGCTTGACCCAGGATTGGGATTATCTGAGATATCTCTAGTACAAAAAGATCATAGAAGGTGAAACCCACCAGTTATAAAGTTGTGTATATTGTTGATTAATCACTTCTCGATCCCATTTGTCTTGATTAAGAGCCGATCAAATTCTATTTTCAAAAACTAATTGCTTAAAAATCCCATTGCTAAAAAAAGCAAAATCAACAGTATTAATACAATCTGTTGTTGTTAACGAAGTATTCACAATAGTCCATGAACTACCATTAACCATTCTTAAAAACAAAAAATCACCAAATCATCACCATTCTTTACCATTTACAATGATTTTTCGCAGTATTAACCCACTTTTCAACCTCTATAATCCTCGTACTCGACCCAGAGAGGGTGGTTGATTAGATCCCATTTTTTTGGACTTTCAAGCAGCATTTTCCTCGTCGATCTGCGTTTCCGCAAGGCGCCTGATCTTCATCACCGAGGCGGTCCTTGGGAGATTCAGCTGGAGATTCAGCTCGGAGATTTTGCGAATTGTGGTGCGTTTGGTGCCCATCTTGGAAGCCAATGGTGGTTAATGGTGGTTAATGGTGGTTTATAATGGTTAATGGTGGTTTATAGTTGTTTATAGTGGTTAATAATGGTTTATAGTGGTTTATAATGGTATTATAATGGTGAACTGGTTGGTGGTGCAATGTTACCATCTTGAAAAATGATGGAGTGAAAGTCAATGGGAAGGATGACATCCCATTTTTATGATGGAAAATAACAAATAAATGTTTGAAACCACCAACCAGATGGGGTTTCATGGGATTAAGCCAGGAAAATGATGGAAAATGGAGATCTAGAACGAAAATTTGAAGATTTAAATGATTTAAATGATTTAAAACCATGAAATTTGGGGAAGCCAACATGGCGATCTGGGACCAATCGTGATTGGTTTCCGGGAACGGATCAACAATTTTTTAGGAGCTCCACATCTTTGCCACCACCCAGCCAGGCCAAAGTTTCATTTTCTCCTGGCTGAATGCTGATTCAATCCACACAAATCATGGTTTCGTTGCTACTCAATGGGGATACCGCGGCAAGTCCAGCTGCCATAGCTTCTCCGCCGGGAAAGAGATGCCGGTTTCCACGGCGATTGGACCGTTTTCCACGGCTATTCTTGGATTAATACCCTGCCAAAAAATGATTTGGAGCTATTTGGGGTGCTATGGTTCCATCACAATTGCAACCACAATGAGCCTTAAACATCTTAAACCAATGGATTATGGGGGTGCCATCGTTTCAAACCCCGCCCTCATTATCCATAAACTGAGGGTTTAAGACCGCTAAGAATTGGTATTAAACCATAAATCTGGGTAAATTATAATATTTAACTAACCTGAATTAAGCCATTTGGGGATGTTTTCCCTTATTAACTATGATTCCAGTGAGGTCGCAGTGAGGTCGTTATTAAATCCATCAATTTGGCTTTTGGTTGTCAACAAAACTTGCTATTTGACCTATGAGAACCACAGATTTGACCAACTTCAGTTGCGGATTTGGACTGGTTTTGATGGGGGTTGCTACTCATCAGTGGTTAATGACGCTGGTTAGTACGTCCCTCTTTCGTGGCGTATCCCATTTATATCCATTTATGATGGGTTGTAACCCCAGTTACTAACCACTTACTAAGTTGGAGGATCGAAGCAGCTAACATCAAATACCCTTCAATCGTCTTGACACTTTGCTGCTTGCCTATGTTCCAATCAATTTGTGACTAAACAAGCAATAACTTAGCGCACCAAAGTAGACTCAGCAGCAAAAATCATTCTGTTATGAGTTATGGGTATTTGTTTAAAGTTGGATGGGTTTTACATTCAAAATCTCAACACAGAAAACCTTGCTACTTGTTGAGGGGTGAGATCTGCGATTTTGTTTAAAGAAAAACTATATGGGTACTATATGGTAATATGAGCCATATAATCAAGATTGTCCATATATTGTCCAAGATCTAAGAACCATATATTGAAGATATAATCCATATATGATCTAATTATAATCAAGATTTCGATTGTCCAAGAATGTGAGTGACCCCCAAAACTCTTCGAACTAGGTGGATTCCCTGGATCAATCGCCATCGCACAGATCGCAAGTTACCCTCCTGATCCAGAAACAGTTCGATGTGGAAAATCACCAGAAATGTACCCTCTGGTAAACATACAAAAAACCATGGAAAATCACAATTTTTAATGGGAAAACTCACTATAAATGGGCCATTTTCAATAGCTATGTTAGTTTACCAGAGGGTAGATATCTTCGGAACGGGTTTCCCAATGGCTTTTCCTCCTCTTTTTGGAGCAGTAAAAATCCCAAAGTCTTGGGTTTCACCCGTGGATGCGGCACGGCATAGAAACAAAATAAGAACAATTACATTATGGTCAATCTTTGGTAGCCCACACCAAAAAACATAGTTGCTGGATGTTGCTGGTTATTATGGTTATTTTCCGTTTACAGCCAAAAAACTACTCAGTCTGTTGGGTTGGGAATGGTATCCAACTTATCTTTCCGGCTCCTAGAGTGCCATGAAGTGGACCACATTTGGATACCTGTTGACACCAAACTTGTGGTTTCAATGTGTCGATACTAAAAATGACCCCATCTGTTGTTCCCTAAAGTCTGAAATGTTGACCCTGCCACTTTGGAGTATGGAAGAAACTTTTTTTTTTATCAACCATTTCGCTGACAATGTTCCGGACCATGTTGGCAATTTTCACTTGGCAATTTTGGAGTCTAGTCAAAAATTACCCATATGAAATTGAATTTTATTCTACCCTCTGGTAAACTAACATAGCTATGGAAAATCACCATGTTTAATGGGAAAATCCACTATTAATGGTCATTTTCAATAGCTACGTTAAATTACCAGAGGGTAAATAAAAGGATTTCGTCGGGGCTTGTCTAAAAAAATCGAGCCTTTCAAAGTGTGATTCCTGATCTGCGATTCAAATGTTGTCCTTTTTGGCGCCTTATTTACAGACGAACATACGTCGCCATCAGTCGCGCCTTCAACTTGGGAAAACACGTCTTCAGAGCAGGCGGGTCCTGCTGCCATGGACACTTTGTGGACACGAATTGAAGGATGGAGAAGTTGAAATCGAAGTGAACCATCAAAAAAACCCTTATCCTCTGGTAAACATACAAAACACTATGGAAAGTCACCATCTTTAATGGGAAAATTCACTATAAATGGCCATTTTCAATAGCTATTTTGACATAGCCAAAGGCTAATTATGGTCGGATTCGGATATTAAAGAGAGTTTTTACTACCTGGGTGATTGGGAAGTATGAACTCACCCACATTGGGGAAAGCGTTTTCAACCAACCAGTATTTCATGAGATGGAACAACATGCTATGTTTATGTATTTTTAATGGCTCAGTTGTATGCTCAAGTAGCTATGGGGTAACTGTTTTTTTTCATGGTCATCCAGGTATTGGAAAAAATGTGGGATGATGAATTCCAAGGTAACGATGGGATTCTATGGAGGCTCACCATGGTGATATCTGGTTGGTGGTTGAGCCCTACCCCTCTGAAAAAATAATGAGTCAGTTGGGAGTCAGTTGGGATGATTCCTCCCAATATATGGAAAAATAAAAAACATGTTCCAAACCACCAACCAGATTATTTGGTATGGTGTACTATCTTTCGGAAGATTGACCAAACGAACTAGCAGTTGGAAGCGTTATCGTGAAAAGTTAGGTGTGATTAGCTATCAGTAGCAATCAAGTAAAAAATATAGACAAAACTGAGTGTAAGGTTTATTGTGTTTTTCATTATTGTATGGGTTTGTCTGAGCAATACGGACAAACAATGGTGATAAAACGGGGAAACAATGGGACAAAATGGGATTTATAACCGACAGTATGGGGGTTTCTTAAAATGTGGGATCCCCAAGTCACCATGGGTGTCAACAGTGAAATGGTCTAATTTTGGATGATTTGGGGTACCCTCCATATGACTTTGATTGAAAGTTGTGGTTATGATATGTTTCCTGGTTGGTGGTTTGAACTCCTCTGAAAAATACGAAAGTCAGATGGGATCATTATTCCCAATATATGGAAAATAAAAGCCATGTTCCAAACCACCAACCAGTTGCTAACATTGCCAATCTTAGATACCCTGCAAAAAAAAATTCTTTGCTGGTTAGCAGATATTCCAATTAATACCAAAAGACTAAAGGATTAAAGTATCCATGTAAGATTGACCTAGCTAATAGGGTTGTTTATCGGGATGCACTTGCCCGTGCCAGATATGCTTTGGAATTCAGCAACATCTCCCGATGATTTCAGGATCATGTGGTCTCCCCAGTCTCTGGACGAGCCCAGGTGATGTCTGATTAGTTCATAGATGAAATCTGGTTGGTGGTGCAATAACCATCTTAAAAAATATGAAAGTCAATGGGAAGGATTATCCCATATATCATGGAAAATTAAAAATAAATGTTTGAAACCACCAACCAGAAATGGTTGAGTGGTTGACATGCACTAATGTGGGATTCACCCAATCAAAAACCATCCTCAATAAATCACTAGAAATGGGTGGCTCAAAAACCGTCCCAAAAAATGATACCCTCTGGTAAACATACAAAAAACTATGGGAAATCACCATGTTTTTTATGGGTAAATCCACTATTTCAATCGTCATTTTCAATAGCTATTTTGACATAACCAGGCCGGGTCATCGCTGCATCTCGGCGCATCAGGTTTCTGGCTGAGCCATCCATGTGTTTAGAAATATGACACTTGAGTGGGATCAAGAATCATCTAAAATCTCAGGTAAGGTGGGACCCTAAAGATACTATTATAATCTATTATATACTCTTACGAATCTTTGGATTCGGAAAAAAAAATGGATCTGTCATTAAGTCGTTCTGCTCCTTCGGACGGGGGTTGAATGGATAAATCGACCTGATCAAACATTGTCATGTGTGGCTATGTACTGACAAAAGTTTGTTCCCAAAGCGTTGTAATTCCCCTTGATACATTTTGACATATTTGTTGAAGAACATAATATATGATCTTACATTTGTGGCTTGCAACCCCCTTTAGCCTCTGGTCATATTTTATGGGGAAATCCCCATGTTTGATACGAACATCATCTGTTAATGGGCAATTTTCCATAGCACACTGTGACTGGTTGGTGGTTTCAACCTACCCCTCTGAAAAATGATGGAGTGAAAGTCAGTTGGGATGATTAAATTCCCAATATGTTCATATATTTTCATGTAAAAAAAGAAATGTTCCAAACCACCAACCAGATTATGAGCTATGATTAACCATCATTAACTTAGCTATCATTAACTATCCCAACCACCAACCAGGTGAGTACCGGAGTTTGCAACTGAGGTCAGACCCCGATCCTAGACCCAACCATCCCACCACACCGCACGCCTTGAGAAAAATGCGATAGAGACATAGCACCGTCTTCCTCGGGGTGGGACTTCCAAACAATACAACCGCAGCAGGTGCGCAAAAAGCCCCAAAGGTATACTTCGCAATAACAACTCGTTCATAGGTTTTTTCAGGGTTTTTTTCAGGGTTTCTCTGGGGGTTATTTAGGGGTTCACTTAGGGGTTCTTTAGGTTTCATTTAGGGTGTTTCATGGTTTTTCTAGTTTTTTTTTTTTTTTTAAGTTTATGTAAAAAGTGCTGAAAACCAGGATTGCCGGACAGCAAATTCCCCGCAGAGGGTCATCAACCACGTCCCTGGGTTCGTAAACCCAGGTACATCAACATAGTGGATGGCCACTAAAGGTCACCAAAAACGAGGTTCCCGACAATCATACCGAAAGACTTTGGGGCATAGCACAAGTGCTGGCCGAAGCGATAGATACAGTAAGTTGTGATGGAAATCCAATAAAACTAGGGTTTCATTTTACGCGAAAAATAGGGTTATAGCATTAAAAGTGTTCTCTCTCATACTAAAACATGGTATATACATTATACATAAATAGCAAATATTCATGAATACTTCTGGTAATTATGTTTTGAATATTAAAAAGTGGTCGAACCAAACTTTTACTATAAGAACATATAAGAACTATATTCTAACTATATTCTAACTATATATTCTGACTATATTCTAACTATATATTCCAACTATATTCCAACTATATCTGACATATTCTCTGTATCCACGAAGCATTGCAGCTATATCCCCATTCCATCTTTCTTCAATCCCAATTTTGATCCTGACAAGCGTCAGGTAGCAAAGCGGCATTTTTTGATACTTAAACACACTCCGATGCACAGGTGATTGTATCATATTGTATCCATGCAAAATTGATATCAAAGCTGGTTATCAATATTTCAAACTGTCTCCAACTTTATCAATTTCAGTATCAATATCCAAAGTTGGATATGTTAGTCTGGTTGGTGGTTTCAACCTACCCCTCTGAAAAATGATGGAGTGAAAGTCAGTTGGGATGATGAAATTCCCAATATATGGAAAGTCATAAAAGCCATGTTCCAAACCAGCAACCAGTAGTTTATTGTACCCTGCAGTAAATTAACATAGACCCTGGCAGTCATCGGGGTTGGAAGATTAGTGAAACCACTAAAAATTGGTGATTTTCAGGGTCAACATGTTAATTAACATCATTTTCAGGGCCATAGAAATAGTGGATTTACCCATGAAACATGGAGATTTTCTCTAGTTTTTTGTATGTTTACCAGGCCGGGTATCACTTTGCATCCCGAGATTTGCACAGAGCCAAGGGGACCCCGGGGACGCTGCGGGGTGGAGATGGGATCAGCAAAGAAGGGGCCCAAAAAAAAAGGGGTAGGTTACCGGGTAGGTCACCTTTATGGTAAGTTGGGTTAGTTGGCTTATGGAAAAATTGGTGATTTTCAGTGTACCTTTAGCTAAACTATGGGGCCCACCTTGCCACAGCACGGCCCACCAGACACTGAGCAGGGCCCGGACTTTCTCAGATACGCTCGAGATGAGCTTAACCTCAGTGGTTTTGCTGAAACTTGGCGAACATGTTTTGATACATGTGGCAACTTATAAATTAGATCAAATCAACATCTTAAATTCAATGTTTTTCAATGTTGGCATAGAAATATATGTAGAATTCCCTTTTACAGAACATGAATTGACTCGTACTTGGTTCAAATTTGGCGTTTGATGACAGATGTTGTAATTTCATGCCATGTCTGGGATGAAAACCAAACTTAAAATGCCACGATGACATGAAACAAAACTGGAAAATCACAACACTATTCAATTGAGCAGTGTTCGAAAACTTACGCTTCATCGCATGAAAACTACCATGTAAAACAGGCAATCCGATCCGATCCGATCGTCGGGATCATCATTCCATGTGTTGAACCATTTCTTGGGTTGAACTGTTGAACATCCCACACATCCTAAACCGCCAACCAACGTCCCTTACTGGTTACAGTAGATAGGAATTCCATGGAATTCCCCATTCATGGATTGTCATATTCCCCATGATATTCTGGTTGGTGGTTTCAACCCCTCTGAAAAATATTAGTCAAATGGGAGTATTATTCCCAACATCTGGGAAAAAAAATCAGGTTCAATACCACCAACCAGTATTGGCTAGTATAATCCACTAGAATCATCAACCAACTGCGATGTTGAACACTGCTCACTTGCCTTTACTTTGCAAAACTTGAAACACTATCAAACACAACCTTCCACCAGGATGTCCCCAATGTCCATTCAGGACGTTACATAGTCAATAGACACAGTGCTTGACACGGATTCCCCGTGGATTGTCACAATCCCCAATTGATACCCTCTGGTAAACGTTTACAAAACTATGGGAAATCACCATTTTATAGCTGGGTAAATCAACTATTTCGACTGGGCCATGGCTTCAATAGCATTTTCTATGTTTACCAGAGGGTAGTGTTAGTAGAATAGCTGGCTAGATTCTAAGCTTATGAGGTGGAAAACACACGCACACCGGGCTATCGCGTCAAGGTACAAGGACATCAAGTCTGTGATGATGTCGCGAGAGATCTGCGATGTCGCGACAGAGTTAGTAACTGGAGGATCATCCCACTTGGAAATAAGTTATGGCTGGTTGGTGGTATATCATAGTTAAACATCACTGGATTACTGTTAATATACTGCTAATAATATATGAATAATACATGGTTAATATATGGATATATATATATTAATGATCTTGAATAATAGGGTTTATCAATGATCTTTCTGGTTGGTGGTTTCAACCTACCCCTCTAAAAATGGAGTGAAAGTCAGTTGGGATGATGAAATTCCCATATGGAAAGTCGGACAATTCCATGGTTCCAAACCACCAACCAGTTATATAACTGCCATAAATTGGGATGTCATTTGCACTTTCCAAGTTATGGCAGTTAGATATCTGCATTATACCTCATTACATCCCCATTATTGCCAGGTAGTGCCAGGTATATCTCATTGAATCCCCATCAAATTTAGAGGCATATTACATCCCCATTATCCCCATTGAACCATAGTTATTGGAGTAACTCGAGTTATAAGTACCAAAAACCATAGTTATTACCATAGTTATTGGAGTTATTTGCACCAACTTAGATTGTAGACATATTCCCATGAAATTTATGGTGAACGTTTTACCTCGACTTCACCCATGGCATGAGCGCTCGCTGTGTTTCGTGAACTTCACCTGCACGTGGGATGATCCTATAGGAACAGAAAATCCGCAAATCCTGCTGAATTCTCCCAATTTTTTGTTTCCAATTTCTGGAATTGATGATCGATTATAAATGATAAAGATAATTGCAAATATATGTTTGATGATCAATTATATGTAGCTATATCTGGATATAAACTCAAATTCTCCCAAAATCTATCAAACTGATTTTGACAACTCATGTTTTTTTATCTTTTATCTAAGCGTATTTGTTGTTTCGAATCGTGAGCAAACCATTTTGAAAAAACTCCAAAAACAATGGAACAGTGCAAACCCCCAAAGGGTCTTGACACCACAGTCGCGCCAAAATGTTGCCGTGAGAAGGGTGATCCCAAACAGGTTGTCTCCGTCAGTTCACATCTTTGCGTATGGTGTCACAGTGCCATGTTTCTGGAATCACGGACATGTAAATGTAGTCGCATCATCAACCCGTTTTTGGTTCATGAAAGTTTTCAAAACCTCCGCTTATTCAAAACAACTCCAATAAAACTCCATTACACAACTTCACTCAGGGTCATCCTGGATATTCTACACGTGCCCAAAGTAAGTACATATAAAACATTGTTCAGCATAATGTCTCATAATGTATAAAACATGTTACTGTGTATACATGTACACGCAAGATTCACATCTACATGAATGAAAACACATCATCTCTTAGTTTTGACTTATGTTACATGTGTATATGTATATATATATGTATAATATGTATATATATATATGTATGTATAATATGTATATATATAATACATAAATGAATCAATATATGTATATATATATATACATATATATATATCATATCACAATTCCCCCCCAACCCCAAAAAAACCTTATGTTTTTTCCCCATTTCAACCATATATTCTAGCATTAAAGCATCCTTGGCCATTGAAGGCCCATCTAAGATAGCGCTGCCTCGGCGGAGCAAATGTTGCTCAAACAGTTGATGGCCATGCCAGTCTCCTTAGGGCGCCGGTGTAGCTCCGTAGCTGGGAAATCCCACCAAAATGGTGGAAACTGCTGGTTTTTCGCTACCCCGAAAAATGATGGAGTGAGTTCGTCAGTTGGGATGATGACATTCCCAATATGATGGGAAAATCCATCAAAATCCATTAAAATCCATTAAACCACTATGATCCATTATTCCCAACTGAATGGAAAGTCATAAAAATAAAAAATGTTCCAAACCACCCAGATGGAGCATGTCTTTGGAGAACTCATGGGAAAATGATTGAACATCTGCAAAAAAATCCAAAGTGAATGGAGGTTTGTAGCTGGAAAAATGATTGAACTAGATGCTGGATTTTCTAGCAAACAATGTTTGACTACTGGAGGGTATGTGGAATATATCATATCAACATAAACATTGTTTCTTTGTTTCCTGACATGTTGTTGGAATACAGAAACCATCAATATGTTCATATCCGATATATTGCATCTGTCTATTCCAATAATTCAATGGCCATTTCAGGAACCTAAATTGGAGGTACCTACCATATAAAAGGCCTATGTAAGGCCTATGTAAGGGAATATCCCCACAAAATATGGCCTTATATGGTACTGTACCTCCATTTTAGGATCCTGAAATTCCCATTAAACATATGGAATATGGATGTAATTGGGATATAATTTACATTAATTTACCCTCTAGTTATTTGTTACATAGCCATAGGACATGACCCATAGAAATAGATGATTTACCGTTTTTAAAAATGGTGATTTTCCATGGCTATGTTAAATAACCAGATGGTAATTGGGATATAATTTAATAAGATAGAAATTAAACTCACTTCAACTCACAAATCGACCCTGAATATGTCCCAAATCTATCGCATGTCTGCAGTTTCCAACAGAAAGTCGACTTTCACTGGTCTAATTTGTGTGGGATCTTGGTAGAATTACACAGGGTTTGGTAAATGTACCATTTTCGGAATTTTGAACATCACCAAAACAAGTATCTGTTGGAGATCATATCCCCAATATTTGGGTGATGTTCAATTAGGACATTTACCAACCCTTTTTACCCTCTGGTAATTTAACATAGCTATGGAAAATGGCAATTTATAGCTGATTTACCCAGCTATAAAATTGTGGTTTTCCATGTTTTCTTGTATGTTTACCAGAGGGTACCAACCCTTGTTACACCACAAACCATTCATCTGTTGCTTCGCGAACCAAGTTGCATATTGACTTTGCGACCCAAAGTCCTCACGAAGCGGGCGAAGGATGGATAGAAGTGGGGTGCAACCGTCATAAACAGATACAATCAATTTGCTCAAACATGATCCAAATAGAAACCCACAAATACCTCAAATATCAATTCGAGTTTGAGGTTCTACATTGCCCAGTGACTTACAATAGATGATTTGGACAAAACACTTATATCCAATGACTTGTCACCAATACTGCCAATACTAGTATGTGAATTGATGATAGGTCATTGGATTTGAGGGCTATTCCATCTTTGGAGCAAACACAAATGGGCAATGATCGTCTCAAAGAGATGGAGAGGTTAAAAGGAAACAGTACTTGAAACAACCTACCATATTTACACCACACTTGGTATATTCTGACATCTGTACATAAATAATCATAAATATATGGCTGAATTATGATAATTCACAAAGCTGGAAGTGACTCTTCAGTAAGGCCATTCGAGGATGATTCCCCTTACTAACGATCATTCCAGTGCCGTCACGGTGAGGTCAGTATGATATATATATATATATATACACCATCTGGTTATTTAACATAGCCATGGAAAATCACAATTTTTAATAGGTCCATCTATAAATAGACCATTTCCCATATGGCTATGTTAAATAACCAGAGGGTATATGTATATACACGTATGTATGTGAGATGTGTATTTACATGGATGTGGGTCAAAACGGAAGACCTAGGGGACCACAGATGTTAGTCTAGTTTAGTATTAACCATCCATAATTTTGGGGTACCTAATTTTGACCCATACCCATGACCATCCGGCCCATGAAACAGCCAGTCCTTTTCCTCCTAGTCTTGACAGGCCGTTCCGCACCAAAACAACCGAGTTTTATGGATGCTCACCCAGTGAACCAACCTACCACACACACACCAAGATAATATCAATCATCAATGATTATATAACATTCATGATGTTGAAACTGGGATCTTATGTTGAAATTGGGATATAACATGATATCAATGATTAAGTTGAAATTGGGATGTCATTTCCACTAGGTATTTGCTTGTGTCCAATTATAGCTGCTTTTTACGGCTGCCATTGTCCCCTTAGACTTCCCATCATCATTCCGGACTTCTTAAAAACCGTTCTTCTTGAAAACAACGATCATCATCCAATCAACAGTTGAACTATATAATGCCAACCCAGGATGAATACATCCTTACTTTACACTTGTTCTTCCCCCCAACAATGGTTTAATTTACCGTCTTTTTTGTGTGGGAACCAACAAAAAATCACTACAGGAAACGGACGAAGATACACCCACATTGCACATCGGATGTACTTTTCCCCATGGAACTCCGCACTCCATCATGTCCAAAAAGTCACACCCGCCCATGGAACGCCGATGATTTCATGTTCAAACTTGCAAAAGGGGAAGCCTATCTGCAAAACACCATGGAACACAAGTTGCACCATAGCCCAAAAATCAAAATTTAGAACTACTCTTAGATAGAGATTCTTGAGGTTTCGCCAATGTAAACGCCACAATCGTGTCTTCCAGGATTTGGTCGTACATTTTTTTCACTTCCCAAAATTTGGTTTTGGAGCGAACCTTTGAGCGAACCTTTTGTATCGCATGTCTGCCCTTTTGATGATTTCTTTTTGGACTATGCCCGTTTTGGTTCGGTTTTTGTTGCTTTTGCTTTCATGCTCTGCACTGCAAACTGCAAGGTGACTTTCATGCTCAATTTTCTCTGCTGGGCGGCAAACAGAACGAGACTAGAACGAGATCCCAGGAGCTTCGAACGAGATCCGGGAACCCCCAACACACTCATTTAACCACAGATGGACCAAGCAAAGCAAGCGCACACCACCCAGAACTCAATATAAGACAAGAAACTCGCTGCACAGAGCTTGTAACTGGCTACATATGTGTACCAGAGATCATCTCCAAAAGCAATGCTCGTGCTCTCACCCAATCGGAGCAACCCTGAAAACCCATGCAAAACCTTGGAACATAGTGTGTATTTTGAACAAGATACATCAGCAAAAGTGTATATCTTTGACTGCTTTCCCCCACCTAAACGCAAGTTGGAGTGACTTACCCTTCAGCTTGTCCTTACAAAAATTCTGCATGTGTGAAGACCGGTGCGACTTCCTACATTCCGTGTAGAGCTACCCGGTGATCAAGGTCGTGCCCAGCTAACAACTTGGTTTGTAGCCCCCATCAACTACAGATATATCCTGGTTGGTGGTTTTTCCCATCTTGAAACATATGAGTTCGTCAATGGGAAGGGTTATCCCATATATTATGGAAAATAAAAAATGTTCCAAACCACCAACCAGTATCTCATCTGGGTAAATTATAGTAATTCACTAACCTGAATTGTTCGGCCGTTTGGGGATGATTTCCCGGATCCTAACCATGATTCCAGGGTTCGGTCACAGTGAGGTCGTTATAATTTACCCAGATATATGGGTTTGTCTCAAAATAGTGGATACCCATGGCCGTTATGGCCATTTCATCCGGAAAATGATGAGACTCCCCCCGCTGGATTTTTTCAAGGTACCCAAGGTTTACCCTATTTCTAGAAAAACCCATATAAACCCAAGTAATTGTTGGAGTTATTCCCATCAACTTAGCTAACTTTTCCTTGGGCACCAGCCTGTATACATTGCTGATATAGTGGGGATAGAATGGGAATAGAATGGATATACTGGGGATATACTGCCCTACCCTTCACCAAGGTTTTCCCTATGGTCCTTCTTGAAGAGATTGATGGTCAGAAGTCCCACAGCCGTTTGCTCGGTAAAAGAGATGCTGGACGCCAAATATCTCAGCAAAACACGTCTGGTGGTGAAACTGGACATGGTTGATAGTATGAACATATGGAGGTTTCCTAAAATAGGGGTACCCCCAAATCATCCATTTTGATAGGATTTTCCCTTATAAACCATCCATTTTGGGGTAGCCACATTTTTGGAAAGCCCTATGAGAGTCAATTGGGATCATCATGCCAAACTTGACCAACATGACCAAAAAGTGACCAGAACTCAAATTCTGAATGAGCGAATCGGGGGGCGCTAATGCTCTGAGTCGCTTGCGTTGTGTTTCTAGGTTCTCTGTCATTATTGTTTTAAGTGCAAAATCTGAAAAATCAAAGCAACTCTTGCAACACTTGCCCAAAGTGGTTTCGCCCGTTGGCCACAAGTTTGGTAACGGAGATAGCCGGTGAGCTAGGGATGTTGGACATGGATAAATTGGGTACCCTCTGGTAATTTGTTACATAGCTATTGAACATGGCCATAGAAATAGTGAGTTTTCCCATTAATAGCATGGTGATTTTCCATCGTTTTTTGTATATATTTACCAGAGGGTACCCCGAAATCATAAACCGCGGCGCCTGGAGCGGTTTAAAACAGAACCTTTGTTGACCAGTGTATGCCCGAGCGCACCCTTCCCAGCATCCTTGAAACCCTGAAACCGCCAGTGGTGAGCTCGGCTGGGGTTTATGGCAGTGGGATGTTATGGGAGTTTTTAACTTAATTACTATCCCATATTGCCAATTAATAACCATCATGATAACTGTGACGGGGTGTTACTCTAGTTAAAATGTTGCTAGTTTCATGGCGGTTATAAACCAACATTCACATCACTGCAGGGCTCTCACCAAACGTACCATCCGAAACTGTGCTTCCGTGCCCGGGGCGTTTGGTCCCAAAGCGGTTCGTGCTCATGACCTGATGGGCTTCAGGACCCTAAACTGGAGCTACTGTACCTAAAAAAACATATTTTAGGGGTAGATCTCCTTACATAGCCCTTACATAGACCTATAATATAATGCAGTAGGTACCTCCAATACATCGGTTCCTAACATGGCCATTGACCTTGGTTTTATTCGGAAATCATATGAAATAAGGGGATATAACGCGCATGACTTTTCACGACTTCATCTTGCAAAGCAACTTGACATCATACTTGGGGTTGTTCAACATGTGAAATATCCATACCTGAACCCCAAAATGCCCCTTGTTCAGTGGGAAAACTGATACCAGATGGGCCATTTGGGATCAATCTTCCATGGAACCCAACTGTCTGTGAAACGTGCGCCGTTTTGCCAGTTTCCCAATCATTTCCTGGAAGATGTTTCAAGTATAGACTCCATCCTCTCTTGTCCGCGGTCCAACCATTGTTCCAAGGAAACCAGTCATCCAAATTCCCAATCGTTATCTTGGAACTCCACGAGGTAGCTCTGAAGTTACTAAACATCCACTGTGTACGTTGATTACCATGCTTTAAAACAGTTGTATATAAGATGTTTACCCCACATTCTACATGCGTTTAGTAACCACTTACAAACTGAGATGTGCATACATATATTCCAGAATTCTGGGGTACCACCAAAATTTGATCACTGATCATCATTTCCAGATTCAGCTTGCAGTTTTGAAGTATCAACCATTTTTCAGACAGAACTGTATCACTGCCATATCAATATGAACAAGGCAATTGTTGGGCTATTTCCACTGAAACAAAACCTTTAGTTCATTAATTTTGAAAGACAGCTGTACATTATACATACAGTATACACAGATTCAATCGTATCCGATGTATCCCAGTCAATCACCTGTACTGTACATCCGTTTGTATTTATATATATATAATATGGAAATATATATATATGTACATTATTATATCATATTATATACATATCCCGGAGTATGCGGGTTTGTTGAGGGAAATCCGTTGGTTGACAATTTTCCCTATGAACAAGTGCCAAAACAACACGACTGGTGAACCAACGTGTAAATCGCGGCAAAAACAAAAACAACAACGACGACGACGACGACGACAACGACGACGACGACAACGACGACAACCATGACAACGACGCAACACCAACAACACCAACAACACCCACAACACCAACAACACCAACAACACCACCACCACCAACAACAGCCACAACAGCAACAACAGCAACAACAACAACAACTGTTCCATCCCATCAAATATCCATATCCAATTGGTCCAATTGTTCTCCCATTCTTAGAATCCAAATCCTTAATCACTATATAATCATTATTGAATCATTATCCACATCCCATGTTTATTACTTTCTGGTTATCAATATCCATTGATTATCCCAACTATATATTACAAATTTCCCATTTAAGTTGAAATGACAACCCGTATTATCCCATGATTTTCCCGTTATTTCCGCATAATTCATATGGAGAATGGTCGTGTGGTAAACCCAATAATTAATCCACCTATGATTTGGGGATGGTTTATTTTGCTACCCATCAAATGGTGCTGACTTGGGGATAGTTTAATATGATTGTTAATATATTGATTGGGATTATCACATGATTATTATTGGGATTATGTTTGGGATTATTATCACCAATGATGTGGTAATCCAAATCATTATCCCAATAATAATACCTATAGTCATCCCGATAGTCATCCCATAACTCTCCCATAATTGGCCCGTTTATTATTGGTTTGACCACATATATGTGGTGATGTTGGGGATGGTTCAAGTTGGAATTAACACATAGCATCCTATTATTTTCCCATGATTGTCCTATATTTCTTTCCGATTATTATTATATAATTTGGGATGGTAATAACTATAATCATCGTTTGAATTGTGTTATATATACATATTTTGAACATGACCTAATTACGTAATTGTATCTAACAATATCAAATGATATCATCTATAGCTACAACATGCTATATCATTCATATAATGATATGATTACTTTTTCAAAAAAAAAGCAATTTGTTAGTAACACTAATAACTTTAATATTTTACATTAAAACAACTATAACTACTCTCTGGAGATTTAAAATAGCTATGAGCAATGGTCCATTTATAGATGATTTACCTATATTTACCTCTTGACAAATGGAGATTTTCCATAGCTAAGCTGAGATATATTTCGCTGAATTCTAAGGTTTATGGTAGATATAAGTAGATATAACAAACTAGTATTCATGGGATTTAAAAACGAACATTCACATAACTATATGGCCATTTGATTAGAATGATATTCCCATGGTAACTATGATATTTCCCATTCTTCAATGGCCATATCATCATAACTATACTGGTTGGTGGTTTAAACCCATATAAGCCCAATATTATCCTATTATAAAGCAATATAAAGCCATATAAAACCCCATATAAACCACCATATCAATCCTATATCAATTCCATATAAACCCCCATATTTTTCCAATGGGGCACCATCCTGTAAAAATGATCACGGCATGGCATGGCTGCCTCCACCACCGCGAAGGTGGCCCAGGTCATATCGTAGCCCAGCATGGTCAGGTACGCCAACTGGCGATCGGGCAACGGAGCGGAACGGAGCTGAGCTAGAAATGGAGGGAAGAAACAGCAGATTTATGGTGATTGATATGGGATTTATATGGGATTGATATGGGATTTATGGTGGTTTCTAGATGTTTCTTTTATATCAAAGTAGGATTTCAAGGTGATTTAATAGATTTTAATGGGCTTTGATGGTGATTTTTCATGGGATTGAAATGGTGATGTCATAGGTCAAAAAATCCCATGGTGATTCGGTAATTCATGGGATTCAACGTGATTCAACTGATGATGGTTCCGTTTGGGGTGAAATACAAACTGGCTGAGGGATTATAATGGATGAACTTATCCAAGTGATGGTAAAATGGACTCATCATGGTCAATCTTTGGCAATCTACAACAAAAACATAATTGCTGGTTATGGATATTTTCCATTGACCATAAACAAATAAAGGGTTAAACGGTTAAACTACCTAGCCAAGGTTGGGGTTGGTTATTAACCACTATTAATCACCATTAATGACTGTCAATCACTATTAATCCCTATTCATCACCGTTAATGGCTATTGATATTCGCAAGGAATTATCCCAACTCATCAGCGGAGCTGGTTAATCTCCATCCTCGCTCTTGGTTGCTCCCCGTAGTTGATGATGAAACCCAACCGTTTTGCTGAGTCAAATCCCCATTTGGGGGGTTCTTAAGTCAAGGAGATCCCCAAAACTCAAAACCATGGGTATACTAAGTCATGGTCTAACTTTGGGTGGTTTGGGGGTACCGTGACTTAGGAAACCCCCATCTGGCTTTGTTCAAAAAGTATGGCACCGTCAGCAACATGTTGTAACCATCATCCCCAAATGGTAGGTTTGTAGCATTGGCTCTACCACATTGGTTGTTTTTTGATTTGTCCCGGGGAAAACATCCACCAAACATAGCGCCCAGAAAGTTTCATTACCATATTTTGCCCATGAAACTTGTACTCTCCAGTAAATTAACATAGACCCTGGCAGATGGGGGTTGGAAGATTAGTTTCCACTAAAAATTGGTCATTTTCAGGGTCAACATGTTTATTTACCATAGGGTAATTTTTAGATTCTATGAGTCAATCAGTCACTGCAGATCTGATGGCACGGCCAGGACGGCCGTGATCTCGAAGCCCATAGCTTTCGATCCCAACGAAAATTCAGATGTGGTGATTGCAGCGTCTATGGTCACTCCTCTGGAAAAAGATTGAACACTTTGTCACGAAACTCTGGACTGAGCATGCATGACAGGACTATCACACTGAGCTCGTACCCGTTGTTTGCCTGTCGAAGACGCCGAAGCTTCAGCTTCACCGGCTCCAAAAGATACCAGGAGTCAGTTCGAAGTGCACTTTTTCCAGGTACGAGACCCAACTATCATTCAAGTCGGTTGTACACATGTAACATGTATACATATATAATATTATACCATCATATTGCCTTAATGTGGCTAAAACAATAGTAAACCATCCACCAAACCACAGTTTTTATAGTTGGATGTTTACCATTCCCAGTCATGGGTAATTTATTATTGTTTAATCACATTATATGATAATTGCAGGTATATCCATCATAGATCCTACAATGTGGGCCCCCCCCAGTTATATCTACCATAAACCATAGAATTCAGCCACTTATCAACCAACTGAACTGTATCTTGGGGGCACCACAATATTTTATATTGTCATGACATTATATCGCCATCTTTTGATAGCTTTTACCCACCATGTTTGTGGCCGAAACTCCGATTTTTCCGCGGAGTTTCGCCTTGAGAATCGCCATGGACTTGGTGGCCATGTTGGTGGACTGAATCTGACGGCCAGGTTGCGGGGATCTGATGAATTTCTGATGGGATGATGGGATAATGTCATGGGAAAATGTCATGGAATTTGAAGGATTCTACAAGGTGGTGCCCCATAGTTAGCTAAGTTGGTTTATAACTCCCATAACTATGGTTTATGGTACTTATAACTATAGTTACTGGGGCTTATAAACCAACTTATAACTGGGGGGCCCTCACATTGTAGAGGATTTACCAAGGAACATGTTTGTTTTTTTTTGGGTGGGATTTCATGGGATTCTAGAAGGAAAATGATGATGATTGATTATTGAGAACCAACCATAAAACATCATGGGGAGATATTCTAGAAATTTTGGAAAGGGACTATCACCAACAATTCGGCGTGAAAATGGGTTTACCCAACCTGTCATTCCATGAAATACTGCTTGGTCCAAGAAAAAAGAGTCCCAACTTCTTGTTGACGATAGCCCCAAGTAGATATGTATGTATAAATATATATATATATATTATACTCTAAGTCTATATCTATATATATAGAGTATATATAGTGTGTATATATATATATATATGCTGTATATAGGTTGTTTTTTTCCTGATGAACATTGTATAAATCCCTATGATCAACCGCCAACAGGGTTTTCAAGCACTGTTCACGCGGCCGAAATGTGGTGATGACAACGCATATCTTAGCTACATGTAAAGTGGCGTGAAGTGTTTGAGCCCTCCCCCCAAAAAGGATCTGTACAGAAAAGTAGCATTAGGAGATTTGAGATACGTATAATGTGGGTAAACAAATCATAAACCATCCCCCAAATTAGCTTAAATAATTAGGTGGTATGTTTACCATTCCCAGTCATGGGTGGTTATTCTTGTTTTACCATGTTTTCCCCACATGAAAACATGCCAGCCCGTACATACCAAACTCCGGCTTTACTCAGGAACAACAAAACCCGTATATGCCAAAGCGCAACGCTTTCATATTTTCTGAGTGGCAAGATAGCGGCTAACCCCTGCACAAAAGGATAAACCAGTACAAATCTACTGAAATAGTGGCATTATCTGTGGCATTGTTGACTTGTTTCAATCCTTCTTTTTGTGGGCTGCTACACAGGGGTTTAAAATTTATCATGGTTTCCAAGCGGATACCCATCTATAAAGGCTAGCTGTCCCAGCGATAATCCCACAGACTTTTGGACATGTTGTGTTTGCTTAATTTTCTGGATACCTTTCTGTAAGGATGCCTTCATATGCCTTAATCCCATCGTTCATATAGTATGGAACACTCTTATTCTGTCCCGAAGAGGTGTTCTAATCCCCTACTTAGCCATGGTTAATGGGGTGTGCTTAATATGAATGGAGGAAGGGATTCATTTAGTGGGTCTTCTAATCCAATGTATATGTAAGTATATATACGTGTGTATATATATATATGGTAATTTTGATGGAATTGGAATGTAATGGTGATATTAGGGATTGAACCATCAAATGGGGATAGAATGGAATATAATGAGATTTTACCATGATTACTCAGCATTGTTCCCAATACTCCATTAGATAAAGAAGTCAAACACATACACAACCAAATCAGCCTAAAAGTGGCTATCATTTACTATAAATTAGTTGCGGCAATCCAGTGTTTGTTGCTTGTTCCCCAACCATATTGGTTGAAACATGTTGAAACAATATGTTCACTTCACCACTGGCACTTATGTCACTGTACCATGCTTCGTGATCACCGGCGCCTCTTTCTTGATTTCTGCGATGGAGGTGTTGATGTACTCCTTCACAATTCTTCACAAATTGGAGATAAATGGAAGGAACTAAACAAAACTAGGAAGTCTGATGGATATACCTACAATTATCATCAAGTATCTATAGTTAATCGACTTTATCAACCAACTTAATGGAAATTCATGAGGATGGATGGCAATATTACCCTCCGGTGTATGGCAGGGACATCTCCAAACTGCAGCAAAGCAGTTAGACCCGAAGCAGTTGGATAGACATGACATGTCGTAAAACGGTATTGTTTGTTGTGAAATATTCATTATATATAATATGATATTATGTTATAAGTTATATGTATATATAATATAAAATATGAGATATAATATAATTATTATATATCATCTAATGTTGTATATGTTGTCATTATCATTACTATCATAATAATAATGACAATGATGATAATAATAATAATTATTATATATATATATGTATAGTTATGTATATATATATGTATACATATGTTGCTTGAAATCACAATACCCATGTGCTGATATACAAACCCTAAACCCTCAAACATCCTTAAACATCCTTAAACCCTAAAACTTCAAACTCTACAGTCACGAACGGCCTAAAGCCAACATCACTTCGTATAGCCAGTGTTTTTGCAGCATCTTCAAAGTCCCACAACATCTTGACCACCTTAGAACTCTGGTTGATTGGTCTGTTGTGTGTTTTGGGGTACCCTCTGGTGTCATCAAACGTGGCAATTGAAAATCATCGTTTAATGGAGGTTTTAGTGGCAAAATAGTCTATCAATAGGGATTTTGCTCACTGCCATGCTTGATTATATCCCATCAATTTTGGACTAGTTCATAACCCCCAATAAACAAAGGTAGGTTGATAAGCCCTATTTCATAACCAATCAACCAGCATGTGTCAGTTGTATCACTATTTCTCATGGTTAAAACCCATATGCACAGTAAATTAACATAGACCCTGCCAGATAGGGGTTGGAAGGCTAGTTTCCACTATAAATTGGTCATTTTCAGGGTCAACATGTTTTGCTTTACCAGGGGGTAAACGCACCTGTTTCATAACCAAGCACCAGGGGTATCTTGTTCAGTCTTGTTCATGGCTCATGTCATGGTCAAAACATGGGATTCATGATGAACATGTGGTATGGTAATCCATCCCAAAAGTGTCATATCATATTCTGGTTGGTGGTTGTCTGACATACTGTTGATATACCGTTAATATATGGTTAATATATGGATATATATATAATATATATATATGGTTAATGATCTTGAACCATATGGTTTATCAATGATATTTCTGGTTGGTGGTTTTTCGCCCTACCCCTCTGAAAAATATGCTCGTCAGTTGGATGATTATTCCCAACTGAATGGAAAGTCATAAAATTCATGTTCCAAACCACCAATCAGTATTGGTCATCACAGCATGGCTAGATGAACATGGATTGATGACCATCCCCTTTGAAGGGAAAATCAACCATTCATAACTTGACCATGATACCATGGTTCATCCAAGGGTGTCAAACTTATCAAGCCAACAAAAGTATGAGCGGCTACATCCACCATGGCTTCTGGGTGGTCTTTAACATGAATGAAAAATTGGGGATTTTCCATCAAAAAATCCCATTACAACCTATGATATTCTGATATTCCATTAAATCACCATTAAATCATATTGACTCCATTATTCACCATCAAATCCCATTAAACTCAATCAAATCACTATTGAATCTCATTAAATGTCATTAAATCACCATTAAACTCCATAAAAACACCATTAAACCTTTAAACACCATTAACATCCTTTAAATCACCATTAAATCCTACTAAATCCATGATGTTGAAAAGCTAAGGCGCATAGCCCTGTCTCGATGTCGATCGCGCACATTCTTGCTCCAGTACAGAGGCTTATAGTCACTCCATGATTTGGCGGCTGCAGCAGGAACTTTCAAGAGTTTGTGGATGAGTATCCGCGGCTTTCGGAAAATTGGTGGAGGCCCATGGCGTTTCGCCATTATAGCAGGATCAAAACTGTTGATCTCAGATTGGACCAATGCTGCAGCGCTTTTACAAAAAGAATCACCATTCGTGCATGCAGCCCATGCAGCCCATGCATGTGCAAACATGTTGGTGAAAGCGAGCTTGAAACTCTGCATCAAGTTGCAGCGATATAGCTCTGCTGCAACATGCGACACCCTGAGCAGCAGCCCAAGCATACAACTAAATCACCACGAAATCCTGCCGAATTCCATTGAATTCCATTAAATCACCATGAAGTCACATCAAAATTCATGATGTTGAAAAGCTAAGGCGCATAGCCCTGTCTCGATCACCACTAAATCACCACTATAATGCCATCTATCTGCACACATCATGCCCCGGTCGCCCCGGTAGCTCCGACTCGTTGCCGCGATGGGCGCGGATGCCCTTCACCATGGCTGTGAGAGATTTCTCAAAGACCTAAGGGCGATGCCGTGGGCAATGTGGGGAAAACATGGTGAACATGGAAGGGATTATATAGAACAACTCTGGTTGGTGGTTTCTTTCCCATCTTGAAAAATATGAAAAATATGAAAGTCAACTCTGGTTGGTGGTTTTATATAACCATCTTGAAAAATGATGGAGTGAAAGCCAATGGGAAGGATGACATCCCATATATGAAATGGAAAATAAACAATGTTCCAAACCACCAACCAGAACTGATAGATGTTCAATGATTTTCTGGTTCATCTGTGAAAATTCATGGACTTTTGCTACGAAAAAAATCATGATTTCACTGGCAAAACATCAAGATTTAACTAAGCAAAAGGGAGATTTCAGCAGCAAACATACAGATTTAAGTCTCAAAACATTGGGACTTGACCAACACAAGTCTCTCATTGGGGCTTTTTTGAACCAGTCTGAATCAACCAGTCACGCGGGCTGGGCTAAGACCTGACCTGGGAGCCCCTCTTGGCTCCCACACCATGATGCTTCCTGACGAGTAGCTGGGGGGACATGGCTTGGTTACAAGATTCGATTCAACAGGCACCTCAGTTCACCTCAGCAGTGGGAAGTCATACAGTGAAATTCGCAAGATTCCCTACTCGAGATTGGAACATTGTGTAGTAAATCCATCATTTTGCAAGTTTTGCATCCCAGAGTCATCAAGATCTACCTCTGATGGTCCATTGGTCCTAGCTGTGAATGTTGAACCCAGTCACCCCCACTGGCACCTTCCTCAGCAAGAGCTCAAGTGGAGTCAGAATTTAATTATGAGATTTTCAACTGATGAAGTTGTTCTACTCCAGTTTCTTTGGATGGCTAGTGGATTGCTGAGTAGGGGGAATATGTCATTCAAACATAATATATATATATATATGTTAGTTCTTCAAATTTAGCCAGTCAGTTTGGAAGATATACTTAAATATTTGCAGCAACCCGAAACAAAACTAGAAACGTATTATTTCCAGGGTGTTATAGACGAGACTTCACCCATAATGTCCGGGTCTTCAGCCGTTCGATCTTTTGGCGGTTGCTATAATATTATGTTGTTCAGAGAAATCGGAAGAGGAACACGTACGTGGACGACAAGCATTAGTGTCCTATTCGTTGCCAAGCTCGCTTTTTGAGCTTCTATGGCACATGACCAGGGTGACGCCTTTATTCCATGATTACTTTATGACTATCATATATTGATATCACAATTTATAGTCTATCACAATTCTGCATTGTATGATACCTTATTTTGCGATATTGCGATACCTTTTATATGTCTTGGTGCAAAGCCCAGAGAATGCTGTGATAACACGGGCTTGATTCAGCGGAGTGTAATCTATGTCTTGCCCCTTAAGCCAAATCTCTTCACATGAAGCCTTAAGAGAAAGCGTGATCGCAACATGTCGCAGTGCGCTCGCACTGAACATGGAGCCGCAACCGAATCGTCTATTGAACTGAGAACACTGCATGAACGCAACAATTAACATAATCATGTACTTGCATAAAAACTAGTACAAAGAACATAATCTTGTTTAGATGAAAACAGCCCCTACTTGCAGACTATTTTGACCAAAGCATTGGGATACAATCATACGGAAAACAATTAACCAAGCACTACCTCCCTCTGTAGGGTTCTTTGATCATTCGATCCTATGAAACGATATCCAGTTCGCGACATCATAATGACCCTTACAAGTGGCAGCTCGTTCCCTATCGATCACTATAATCAGCAACATGAATCAGTAAAACGTGATAACCTATACAATCATAGTTTGACAATATACTTAATGTACACAAAATATCATAACATGATATATATATATAATATAGTGTAAGCCTCGTTGAAAGGGCTATCTCCAATCATGTTTTATTCACCAAAGCTTTATAACTAGAATCCCTCAATGCCAGGATATGCCCAGGATCATCGGATGTGTATACCTACCCAACTCATCAGTTTGCCCAGCACACAGGTTGGAGCTTGGAGCCTCCCAAAAACGATATTTACCCTCTGGTAAACATACAAAAAACCATGGAAAATCACCATTTTTAATGGGACAACTCACTATAAATGGGCCATTTCAATAGCTATGTAACAAATTTCCAGAGGGTAAGTTGAGGCACAGTTCACTTGACTGACGTTTGAGTTGATAAAAGGGGGATACAAGATACAAGTGTAGTTCATGGGGTTCATAATCCAACGTATAAGTCGGGGGCCTCACCTCATGTTTGTAAGATAGCCAATCTTAGATACGATTCACTCACAATTTTCTGTTGGCTGGATACGGACTTTCAAATATACGAACAGGTATTTTAGACTACCTCCGGAAAGGTTTTCCTTGGCATGCCCGGCCATTTAAACATACGGAATCCAATTCATTTAAACATATGGCAACTACATCTATATAAGTATACGAACTGCTATTTCATACTACCTCCGGGGCCTCGCGGTCTGAACCGCCCTCGACATATTTACATGTCGTTACCATATACATCAAGAATATTAAACAACAGAATACCTGGTTGGTGGTTTTAACCATGTTGAAACATATGAAAGTCAATGGAAAGGATTATACCATAAATTATGGAAAAGAAAAATCATGTTTGAAACCACCAACCAGATACGATAATTATATGATATATATATATACATATATATATATATACACACTGTATCCCCGTGTATAGCAAGCAAAACAAGGTTCACCAAAGGTCATCCGGCTACAATGTGGGTTCTGAAAATTTGCTACCCCATCGTGTTGATCACCATTCTTCAATCCACATTGCCACTTTGGGTATTTAAAAAGAAACACACAGTGTAGCAATGCAGTATGCTTGAAACGAGTGACGTTGCTGCCGCAACGCCAACAGAACTTATGTGAGAACTGTCTTGAATAGTGTAGGATTTTGTGCCAAGATCAGAATGGAGTTGCTCTGGGGTGAACACGCAAGATTGGCCATAAATGGGTAGGCCATAACACCAGTTCAAGTTCATGAGTTTCCTAATTCTTGAGGGAAGTGATTATATATATATATATATATTGAGATATATTGAGTTACATACTATGACTATTATTCTATTTTCCTAGTAGATATCTGATATCTTCACCCGGGTCAGTTTCGGCAGCTGCCTCTTTCTGGCCGATTCTTTTTGGCAGCCTCTTTCGACAGCCACATTTCTCCACTGTGGGCGCTTCGGCCCAGGGTGAAACACTGGCGCGGCGCAGGTCATGCGAAAGGATTTTGCGTCATATCGAACTTGAAAAAAATAGTGATTTAATGGGATTTTATAGTGATTTAATGGGATTTTATAGTGATTCAATGGGATATTAATGGGATTTACCCTCTGGTTATGTCAAAATAGCTATTGAAAATGGCCATATATAGTGGATTTTCCCATTAAAAATGACAATTTTCCATAGTTTCTTGTTAGTTTACCAGAGGGTAATTGGGGATCATCATCCTGCGTCCAGATCATTGGTAACCTATAATATATTGCATGCATTGCTTTATTTCTGATAACATACTATTGATTGTTTCTCTTTGCCATGTAGATCCATGTGTATATGTATATATATATATATATATACATACAACATACATGTATACATGTACAAGGTGAACCCCCCAATTATAGGTTGGTAAACCCATGAATTATAGATATGACCATTCACCAAGGACTGGGTATAGCCGGTATAGCATCCAACTCTTGACCTTTTTAGTTAAAACCATTTATCCATTAATCAGATCAGTAGTTATAACTATAGTCATTGATAACCAATATGATTATATTATCCATTAGGAATATGATTACCACTACTACAATGTGGGCTCCCCAGTTATAAGTTGCTTTATAAACCACATTAACTATAGTAATAAAATGTTATAAGTACCATAAATCATGATTATTCTTGGAGTTATGTGAACCCCAACTTAGCTATCATAAATCAGCTATAAATCCCATTAAAATACGGATTTAAATCAGCTATAAATCCCATAAATCAGCTATAAATCCCATAAATCCCATAAATCCCATTTAAAATCAGCTTTTTGTTGGTTAAATCGCCATTTTCCCAGTGGTATCCATTACTGGCACGTTCCGTGTTGGCATCTCTCAGCGTGTTGGCATCACAGTGTGCTGACCTCAATGACCTGGCAGTGAGGCGTTGCTCCCGGATCACGTCACGTCGTGAGGCGAAGTAAAAATGGCAGGTTTACACCACATCCCATGGTGGTTAATAGTGGTTAATAGTGGTTAATAATGATGAAATCACAATAGTTCATTATCCCATGACGGATCCTAACATGGCTATTGAAAATGGCCATTTATAGTGAGTTTTCCCATTAAAAATGGTGATTTTCCATAGTTATGTTAGTTTACCAGAGGGTACCACATCCCATGACGGATCCTAACGGTGCTGCTATATATGGTGTGCCATGGATCCCATCAACAAAAACCCCAGTCATGTTAGCATATATAGCAGCACCATGTATCCTATGGGCATGAATTGGTCCAAACAAAATGGTGTCAAACGTTGGCACGTTTCTGAGTGGGTAGAAAAGATCTTTTCGGAGGTTTCCTAATTTTTTTGGACCACCAAATCATCTGCAATTAGATCATTTTAGTGTTGAAAGCCATGGCGACTTGGGGATCCCCCATTTCAAGAAACACCCGTAATTGGGTACCCTCTGGTTATTTAACATAGCTATAGAAAATCACCATTTTTAATGGGTAAATCCACTATATCACCATTTTTAATAGGTAAACCATCTATAAATGGGCCATTTCCCATGGCTATGTTAGTTTACCAGAGGGTAAATGGTTACACCAACCTGAAAAGTTTGGCCACCAATCTTCCTTCAGCCCAACCATCTTGGGAGAGTTCCCCCTACGAGTACCATCATTTTAGTGACGTCGCAGTGAGGTCGTTATAACTCACCCAGAAATATATACATATACATATGTTATATACATATATGTATACATATAATCACACATAACGATAGTTATAGGGCTTATATTCGGTTATATTCAATTATATAATTCACGTTATCTTTTTAGTTAACGAAGTAAAATCCATATTACACGTTATATATATATACCGTCCCAGAGCCGATCCAAGCAGCCTCCTCATCGTTCAACATCCTCAGGAGCGATTCATAGGAACCTATCATAAGACCTCTATTTCTAGGGCCATGGTTTTGGGGATTGATGTTGCTATGAGTAGGTATTGGTGGTATTGGTAGTGGATATATCTCCCAAATATGGCTTTATATGGAAGAGTAGCTCTGCTCTATGTTTATGGATCTTCATGGTCATTTGAAACTATGAGCAATCACCATTTCAAATACCCAGATGCTCCATGTATGGAATATTTACCTACATTTACCCCAAAAATGGCACAAATGTAGGTAAATATTCCATACATTGAGCATCTGGGATAGGTAAAAATTAATCGGTCGCTGATCCAATTTCATGCACCATTTTCCATATAGCTATGTTAGATGACTGGTATTTGACTGATCGATGTGGATTCAAACAAGATTTGGATACTCACCCAACTTGAACACAGAAGGTCGCAAGTTAGATGTGTAGATATGCAACTGTGATGAATGTAGAATGTAGATGATATACACATATAGTAATTTAATATATTACATAAAGCTTATAACATCTTATAACTCACTTGCACAACTTGTTGTATGAATTACCATGTAGTTGGCAATCCCATCCGGTACTTGGGGATCATATTTGTTGATTTCTTGGGTGATTTTGGATGTTTCCCCTTGCTAACCATCATCTACGGTGACGTCGGGGTGTCGACTTTTCCCCAGGAATATGTAATATATCATATCACATCATATCATATATAAATATATGTATATATTATATTGGAATTTCAGATTCAAAACGTGGATTAAAGCTATCAGATGTTCTGAAGATGTTAATGATGACCATGTTTTTTATTTTTGCATCAAACATTGGAGGTAAAACTATATCTTGTAAACCGTCTCACACCAGTTTTACAAAGCCGAGCTAGAGTACCCCAGTTTTGGGCGAAGCGCGTAATGTGGTATATCTAATATGTTTGAGGCTATTTTCCATATAGAAATATGCTACACGTGTAACATACACTACCTTGTTTTCTTTGAAGGTCTTGGCCCCTGCAAATTTGAGGCCGAATCATCCAACAAAAAGGATGTCTCTTTGTGTTACCCTCTGGTAAACTAACGTAGCTATTGAAAATGGCCATAGACATAGTGGATTTAACCATGAAAAATGGTGATTTTCCATAGTTACGTTAAATTGCCAGAGGGTAACAACCTTACTGGTGGGAAAAAAAGGGCCATCGAAAACATCCTGCTGTGCGTCGAGAACTGGTCCGCATCTCCACTGTCCAAGGCTGCTCTGGCTCGGTCTTGGCAGCACGAACACCGCGTCAGCCCAAGACTTAAAAGCCTGGTTGGTGCTTGCAACCTCTCTGAAAAATTATGAGTTCGTCAGTTAGGATCGTTATTCCCAATATATGGAAAGTCATAAAATTCCATTAATATTAACCATGTATTTCCATATATTAACCATATATTTATGATTAACCAATATAAAATTCCATGGTTCCAAACCACCAACCAGAAGCAAAATTACCGGCTGGACCTGTCCAATGGGTTTAAGCGCCATGTTGGGATTGCTCCTGTTGAAAGTTGAATAACAACGAAACTTTGCCACGACTCTGGGGCCCCCAGTTGTGAGTTGGTTGAGTTTCGTCCATCTAACTATAGAGATATCCACCCGACACCTAAGAGTAAGGCTAGTTATAAACCAACTGACCAACTTGTTTTACCAACTAAATCATGATATATCATGAGATAAGTCACCATCATCTATCAAAGTTAGAGTTACCTAGTTACCTCTCTACAAGTCTACAATCTACAGTAACATATTTTTAACCGTAACATCCACATCATGGGCCCAAAGCGTGATACCGGGTATACGGTTATTAACCACATAGAAGCACCGAGAGTCCGATGTCTTGCTGGGGTCCACTGCGTCCACGCATTCGATCAATTGGGGATTCGCTTCGAAGTCCATGCTGCATGGCCAAACACACAGCTTTTCGAGCAGATCTCTCCAGAAGCCTGCGGACCATGAGGCATCCTTCCATATGCAGGGGCTATTCTTAGCCTTAGGGCCCACTGCGGTCTTGCCCTCAATGCAATGCAGTCTTCGTAGATCTTGCTAGCGCCAACCCTGCCAGGCTGAAGAAGACAAGAAAGAGTTGAATCAATCTCACCGCATATCTTTAGTTCATCTCATATGTTTGGGATATGAACAATGATATTCGTAAGTTGATAGTTCTCAATGACATTCCTAAGCAGCAATGTTTTTTTGTTTCTTGAAGAGTTCAGGTGACCCCAATCAACCATAAATAATTCCCCAGGTTTCCTCTGAAAACCCACGCTGTTTATTCCCTGGAAGTCGCCTTCCATTGCTGACCACCAAGGTGCTCGGGCTGAAAGGAGGGCCGTTGCATGGCAAGGGTGGCGGATGGCTGTTCCATGGGTTCCTTAGTCACCGTGACCACGGTGACCACAACCGTTGATGTAGTGATGTGGGGTAAATGGTGACCCCTTTACCCTCTGGTAAACATACAAAAAACGGATGGGAAAGATCCACCATTCTATGAAAATGGGTAAATCATACGGTAAATCCACTATTTCGACTGGGCCATGTTCAAGTTCGCAAACTGTTAAAATTACCAGAGGGTATATCCTAACTTTTGGTGATTACCTAACTTTTGGATGATGAAAATCCATTCCCATGGGATACCATGGAAAATCACTATTCTATCAGTAGATGTTGTATAAGGATTTCACTGATTTAAGGGATCCGATCACCACGAATTCCATGGAAGATGATCCTCCTGCTAAGAGGGGAAAAACTGGATCGATCTCCTGCACCTGTGAGTTCACTAGAGATATACCCTCTGGTAAACTAACATAGCTATGGAAAATCACAATTTTTAATGGGTAAATCCACTATAAATGGCCATTTTCAATAGCTATGTTGGTTCACTAGAGATATAGTGTTAGTAGAATAGCTGGCTAGATTCTAAGCTTACAAAAAGTGGGAAACACACACATAAAACATGTCAAAACCTGTTCGACCGTGCTGCGGGATGAACATCCACCAACTATTTTCATGTTCACAAGTAGTACAGGGTTTTAACTTTTAACCAATTTCCACGGACATAACAAATCTTCAGAATACGCTCAAACAAACTGACCCCACAAGAATGCCTCAAAAGTTGGATATGCGTCCATTGAATTGCCATCCATTAAGGGTGACTGAATTCTATTCATGGTTATTCAACAAATCGGTTTGCACATGTTTAGTGGAAACTCATCATCAAACCCTAGCTCATGCAGGGTCTTTGATTTGGGGGTAATGCATATCCAACAACTCAGTGGATTTTTCCCATGTATTCCCATGTATGCTTCCAATCAATTTTGGGCTGGTTATTATAATTCACTAACCTGAAATAAAATAAATAAGACCATACTGGGATAATTCCCCCAAACCGAACCAATCATCAATCTAACTATTATTCCAGTGAGAACACTGAGGTCGAAATGACTTCACCCCTGGTTTTATGATTGTTTATGACCCACAGCCTGGTAGAAGATCCTTGATCACCCGATGGAAAGTGATACGATTGAATGGCCTACGCCCTCTGGTTATTCAACATGCTTTGCTGGGAAATCCCTTGCATTAGCAATATTAGTAACCACTATCGATTATGTGGATTATGATACTCAGATACTCTCAAGATACTCAGTAATCAAAAGTAATCAAACATGCTTTGCCTCAGTAAATCCATCCATTTACTTCCATGATTTTCCCAGGAAAAAAACACCTTCAGTTCGTTCGGGAAGTTCCCAGCTTGCCATGTTTCATCGCTGGGATGACCCTCTGGAATTCTGTCAAAATGGGGTACTTACCCACTGCTTGGTGGTGCGTTTTGTGCCCGTCTTGGAAGCCAATGGTGGTGAATGGTGGTTAATAATGGTTTATAATGGTTTATAGTGGTTTATAATGGTATTATAATGGTTAACTGCTTGGTGGTTTTGTTACCATCTTGAAAAATGATGGAGTGAAAGTCAATGGGAAGGATGATCAAACCCATGTATGAAATGGAAAATAATCCAAATGTTTGAAACCACCAACCAGCCCAAATCTATTCCTGTTACATGATGAGAAACATCTTGGAATTAACACGACGTTCTCAACCATAAAATGTGGAACTGGTCCTCTGATTTTCAGACAGACAGATCCATAATCCCAGATTCAACTTGGTGCCCAAAAAAGTTCGCTCAACTCAGTTGGTGAACAGAAAACTCCAATTTCACTAGGCTTTTATAGTAGATATCATTCTGGGGGTCAAAAACACCAAACTGGAACCGCACCACCTTTCAGGTGTTGAAAACATCAATCAACCCAGGGTGGTTTGAATTAGCTCAAGTAGGGATTTCCAAACATGGGGATCCATTTTTGGCTCTTTTTTTTTTTGTGGAAAATCACCAACTAAAAATGATGAAAAAAACTAGGGCTAGCCCCATTTTCCTATTAACATGGATCATCGTTTGCGCCATGAAATCGCTATAATCTTTTGGTGATTCACCCGTTTTTTCCAGACAACCTCCGTATTACAGTGGAAAATCATCAAACATTGCCAAGCTTAGATACCTGGCAAAAAAAAATCTTTGCTGGTGAACGTAGATATTCCCATTAATACCAAAAGACTAAAGGATTAGTTGGTATCCATGTAAGATTGACCTAGATACGATTATTGATTATTGAATAAATTATTGACTATTGATGATTGTTGATTACCATTATTATTGATCATTATTGGTTACAAATTGCTAAGCCCTTGAATATTTCCTACAATGTGAGGCCCCCCAGTGATGTTTGTTGGTTTATAAATCCCATTAACTATAGTTATATCTGCCATAAACCATAGTGAAATGGGAGTTATAAACCAACTTAGCTAACTATGGGGCACCACCTTGTATGAAGCCCTGGTGCAAGTAGTGGTGGATTTAGTTAATTAGCTATGAATTGAATGGGAGCCTTGAGGCGACATTATATGAAATACTAACCAAAGAAACCAACCCGTTTCAGTTGGTTGGGATGTTTCTGAATCACCATTGATCATTATTAATCACTATTGATCACTGGTAATCACTATCAATCACCATTAATCGCTAGTAATCACCATTAATCGCCCCAAATTACTTCGGACCAAGGAACTTCCCAACGAATGGGTCGATCCTGTTGCCAGGTCCCACGACGGGTAAATCCCTGGCGCCGAAAAGGTGCACAATGCTGGCTGGCTGGTTTCAGAAAGGATTAAGGTTTGGCTATTGAAAGGATTCAATGGGATTTTATAGTGATTCAATGGGATTTTATAGTGATTTAATGGGATTTTATAGTGAATGGGATTTTATAGTGATTTAATGGGATTTTATAGTGAATGGGATTTTATAGTGATTTAATGGGATTTTATAGTGATTCAATAGGATATTAATGGGATTTACCCTCTGGTAATTTAACATAGCTATTGAAAATTGCCCATAGAAATAGTTGATTTACCCATAAAAAAATAGTGATTTTCCATAGTTATGTTAGTTTAGCAGCTATTGAAGCCATGGCCCATCGCTATTGAAAATGGCCCATAGAAATAGTTGATTAATGGTGATTAATGGTGATTAATAGTGATCCATACTGGGAATATATATTAATATCTACTGATAGAATAGTGATTTTCCATGGTATCCCATGGGAAAGGATTTTCATCATCCAAACCAGAATAATCCCAACAGATTAACTAACTTTACCCACTGGTAATCTGTTACATAGCTATTGAAGCCATGGCCCATATAGAAATCGTTGATTTACCCAGCTAATAGCATGGTGATTTTCCGTAGTTATGTAAACGTTTACCAGAGGGTAAGGGAAAATCTCAAGCGGAAACCTCCATCTTTTTTGGGGAACCAACCCATTGATAGAAGGGTATGTGTAGTGCCTCAAGCAGGTTTTGGGCAAGGTGATGCACCTGCGACTTCGTTAACTAGGCATGAAATGTGGATACCATTGTAGTTATTGGGGGGTTACAAACCAACTTTTTTGTGGGGGGCCTCACCCTGTATTGATGTGTGTATACATAAAAATATATACATCCACTGTATATAGACACATATATATATAATATTATATCATACATACATGTAGATACGGATGTGACACGCAGCGCAGCACCTTGGCATTGGTGTAGACTCCGATTCCATGCCTCCGCCCCGACACCTCAGCGTTTCCATGCGTTTCCGAGTTTGGTTGTGGTGTTCTGAATGATCCATGCACTGGATCTGTTGAAATGATTGACACCAGATGCAAAACAAATGATGCACAACCATTGGATTTTGCATTGTTTTTTGCACAAAAAAATGAGTTCTTCAAATCCATACAGATAAAGAATTAAAAACACCTTTTTTGACATTTGATGATCAAACTTTTATCTGTTTTTTGAGGTCATGATAGCGAAAAGTCCACCACCAGTGGACTCTGCCATGGGTCAATCATGATACCTATCCCCAAATTGTATATTATTGGATATATTTCTAGGGATAGTTTATTTGGGGATTATTTACAATTTATCAATTTTGGGATAGTATAATATATATCATATTACATTATCATAATCAATCATATCTGTAGGTCTATGATTGGGTTCACTCAATTCGTTGGAAAGTTTGTGTGAAAATGTTGGATAGTCATGTACTGAAATCCACTAAGATAGAAGATGTTAAAGCCTCAAAACAAATAGAAGATGCAAATTGGGAACATATAAAAAGTGCAAGACAAATAGAATCGAAGATATCAATTTGCGGCCCATCTGATCCATTGTATCAAATTGTTGGATAGCCTCAACTGTGAGCTCTGCTGTCATCAAGTTCAAGTTCCACTGCCTGGTGATAACCTGAACCATGCCTCATCTTGGATACTCACCCACGCATGTTTTTTCGGTCATTTTGGGTAGTAAATGGCAAATATCTCATGGAACCACTGAAAAGTAGCTGCGTCTGAAAATTCATGAAACTAGTAACTACAATGTGAGGCCCCCCCAGTGAGGTTGGTTGGCTAACAAAAGCCACAGTAACTAGTTCGTTATGAATGCCATAAACCATAGTGAAATTGGACTTATGTGCACCAACTGAACGCTATCGTGGCCGGGGGCCTCACATTGTAGTAATTATAGAAATTACCCCTCTTTGTTTACTCCTTTAAAAGTCTGATTTATTACACATGCTCCCATTGAAATTGGTCTGAAAAACGGTTGAAAACTGGGCCCGCCGGCCCACTGTCCTTCATACCTCCGTCCATCCTGGGCATTTCTGGCATCATCTTCACCGTTGAATACCCCATCTGTTAATATCTTTTTTCGGGTTAAACATATATCCAATGTTCAAAGAAAGCCAACAAAAACAATCGTTATCATGGTTATCCCGTTACATTTATATCCTCATTAGGAATGCTGATAAATCCCAATGTTTCTTAGGGTTATCATATATAATTACCAATGTTTCACATAGCAACATTCAGTTTTTGGATCACATCCAAACTCCAGCTCCTTGGCTCCCTGTTGGAATATGGATACAAGGTGGTGCCCCATAGTTAGCTAAGTTGGTTTATAACTCCAATAACTATGGTTTATGGTACTATACTTATAACTATAGTTACTGGGGCTTATAAAGCAACTTACAACTGGGGGGGGCCACATTGTAGAAATAGTTGATTTAGCCAGCTATCAAATGGTGATTTTCCATAGTTATGTAAACGTTTACCAGGGGGTAGATCCCCCTAATCAATCCAAACGCTAAGCATAGTTAAGCATCGAGAAAATAGTTCGAACATGTGCAGCCATCAATTTGTGTATCATCATATCCCCATTCATATACCATTGGTAACGTCATTTTCCCAAGAAAAAACCTGATCCAAACAACAAACACCTTGCGAACTCCGCGCCAGGCGCCTGCCAAGAAAAGGTGCCATGCCCATGCTTTCGATCCTGGCGCCAGCTGCATCACATGCTTCGATGACCAATTCTTGGTTTATTTCACTAACATTTCTTTGGATTTATGATGTATATATATATATATGTATATATGTATGTATATATATATGTATATATGTATGTATATATATATGTATATATGTATGTATATATATATATATATATATGCCCCCGAAACCATGGATGGTCAGGTCCTTTGACTTGCAATTTACTCCTTGGTATATTTGCCTATATGACTTGGTGATGTTTGGTGCAAATGTTGGTCAATATTCCAAGCCATGTCCAGTGTCCAAAGGCTAGGCAAACAGTCTTGCAGTATTAGTTTTGGGTTAATCTTCCCTTTAAAATGAACATGATCATTAACCACTGGATAAATGAGGAATCATAGGTTTAAGCCAGGGTAAGCAAATCATTCATGAGCTGACTGCCAAAGGCTAGTCCTAAAATGAAGCTACGCCTCTGGCAACTCCATGGCTTGCTGGACAATTTACCAACTCCGCTGATTGTCCCAGCTCGAAACCCGCATTTATGTGATGTATACTAGTTTTCATTACTGGAGAGTAATGCCCGCATGTATTCCCATTAAGATGGTTTTTAAACTCCATTGGATAAATAGAAAAGTATATAATATAATATATATATAATGTATATATATATATATATTATATTTACAAATATCTTGACCCATACAACCTGCATATTGCTCCACTGCTTGTTGATTGAGACATTTTTCCCGCACATAGTCAACTGTGGTCCCAAATCATTCCAGCTACGAATAAAAAGAGATATGAATAAACATAGCTAGAATGCTAGATATCTGGTTGAAAGCAATAGAAAGCAAGGGAAAACCACTGGATGTGCTTCAAAATGGTGCATAAACCGAAATGGCAATCTGGTTGATGGTGCAATGTGCCCATCTTGAAAAATGTGAGTTCGTCAATGGAAAGGATGACATCCCATATATGAAATGGAAAATAAAACATGTTTGAAACCACCAACCAGCAGGTCTAATTCGGGAAACTGATTTTCTAAGCCGGTGGATTTGGAGGTACCGTTCATTCTGCGCGGCCAGTTGCGGGACTTGGTGTTCGCTGTATGGCATGCTGCTGTATTAAAAATACAAATTGTCGGTGAATAGAGGGGCCCGTGTTTTACAAAACCCAATCTTCCTTAGGATTTTTGATAAAGATATTGTGTGGTATGTTTGACTCATATCCAAGACATAACTCATCACTATTATAAACTTAGTACCACTGATCTTGGGGGGTGTACCATATATGTATATATATATAATCATCTACATCTAATGGAATTTTGTAAACCCACCAACCATGTGTTCCCCAATTGAGGGATGGAATATAAACATCAAACGCCCCATCCACAAATCAGTCCTTGGCGATTATCACACCTTGACATGATAAAGCAAACACAAAAAAATGAGAACACCAACCAGTCATAGTTTACATTGTTACATGTCATGTTTCCCCACCCCGACTGGCTTAACCCACATATTTTGGGGATCCAACTCGTCAAAGTTGGGCTTTATAGAAACTAAACAAAAAACTAGATAGGTTCAATTCATCAGTACTTTGCATCAGTATTTTGGAACACGGATTTCACTTACTCTCTGGTAATTTAACATAGCTATTGAAAATTGCCATTTATAGTTCATATACCCATTAAAAATGGTGATTTTCCATAGTTTTTTGTATGTTTACCAGAGGGTATCTTCACTTAGGGCTTGCACCTCGTGAATTTTCAGACTCGCGCCTCCTGATAGTGTCCCACATATCTGCGGCCATCTGGCCATTGCATGACCTGCAGAAGGCTGTCAGTGCAGGCCTTGAGAAACGTCATCGTAAACTGAAAGCTGGTTGGTGGTTTCAACCCTCTGCAAAATATGAAAGTCAGTCGGGATCATTATTCCCAATATATGGAAAAATAAAAAATGTTCCAAACCACCAACCAGGAAAACATCTCCCAAAATGTCCTTTGTAAAATTGCCAGATGGTCATGTACGCGCAAACAAAAGGAACGCTTTTACAAGATGAACATGCAACAAGTACATGTCTGTTTTGCAGAGTCCTACGACATAATAATAGCAGGTATGAAAACGAGATTCTGGAGGATGGTAGCCCATAGTTAGCAAAGTGTGTTTATAAAAACATATAACTACCGTAGATGTATACTGTTTATGGTAGACATATATTTTTACTTGATGATTTCTTTAAAGGAAAACCTTTGGGTACACCATATTGTATGTCCAAGAAACGTGCTTATCTTTTGAAGATTGCATGACAAACCGCAGATACCCTGCACAGACATGTTCAAAGCAGGAGTGGGATATAAGGTTTTACAACCTACGAGCACCATCACTAAATTGTAAGAGATACCACACATATGAAACCCTGGTGCAAGTAGTGGTGGACTTAGTTAATTAGCTATGAATTGAACGGGAGCCTTGAGGCGACTTTGTATGAAATAGTATGAAATACTGACCAAAGAAACCAACCCGTTTCAGTTGGTTGGGATGTTTATGAATCACCATTGATCATTATCAATCACTATTGATCACTGGTAATCACTATCAATCACCATTAATCGCTAGTAGTCACCATTAATCTGGGTAAATTATGACATTTCACTACCCTGAATTCAGGGCATTTGGGAATGATTTCCCTTGTTAACCATCATTCCAGTGAGGTCGCAGTGAGGTCGTTATAATTTACCCAGATATGTATATATATATATATATATATCTATATATATATGTGGTTATTAAAATTATATATATATATATGTGTGTTTATTAAAATTATCTATATATATATATATGTACATATTTAGAAATGTATATATATATATAAATATGATATATATATATATACTTATATACATAACCTTTCACAAAAGAAACCGAAGCTTTCCCAAGTTTGGGCGTCCACCGCAGCGCCGTGGAACTTGTTGTTGCCAAACCTCGGTTTTTCGTAACGGTTGATCCAAGCGGATGCGTTTTCCTATGGATCTCATGAGGATATCATGGGAGATGCTCTAGGTATTGGTGGTGCCCCATAGTGATGTTTGTTGGTTTATAAATCCCATGAACTATAGTTATATCTGCCATAAACCATAGTGAAATGGGAGTTATAAACCAACTTAGCTATCTAGGGGGCACCACTTTGTAGGTATTGGTATTTTTCGGGATAGGTTCCCCATGTTTATTTTTTTGAAGTGCCCCAATTCATAGGCTCGGGTTTACCTTGTCCGGGGTTGGCAATGAAGGTTGGATTTACCAAGAATATATGGCAAGTTCAACGATCATTATGATTCGCAATCAATATTTAAGGTACTAAACCATGTTTCAAAATAGTTACCCTCTGGTAAACTAACATAGCTATGGAACATCACCATCTTTAATAGGTAAATAAACTACAAATGGGCCATTTTCAATAGTTATGTTAAATTACCAGAGGGTATATTGGTATATTGCAAATCATTGTTCTGGGCAGGTTATAAGCACGTCACCGCAACGTCATCACTGGAAATGACGGTGGCTAGTAAGGGTAACTATCCCAAACATGACCAAACATTTCTGGTTGGTGAAGTAGTTAAAAATAACTATCCATAATGACCCAGACGCTCCATGTATGGAATATTTACCTACATTTACCCCAAAAATGGCACAAATGTAGGTAAATTTTCCATACATGGATCCTATGGGAATGATTTAAATCGTTCACTGACCATCCATACTATCTCCATCGCAACTATTATCAACTATCCATAATTATGACAATTAACGTTACTTTATGGAGACTGTTAGTGAGTATTTCCAGCCCTCCAACATCAAACAACCCCCAAACAAAAGCCTGGTGGAATAATCAGGATCTACTCGATACTCACTACTCAACTCACTTCTCTGCTCTACCGTACTCTGGGTTCTCAGCAGTAATACTGTCAACACCCATCAACATCATCAACACCTTCAATTTGTTTGTGAGTTCGTAGTGGTTTCAGCAGATCGACAAGAACGTAAATCATATCAGCACTGGCCATCTCAGGAACCAATTGATTGGAGGTACCTACCATATATAAGGCCTATTGTTCAGAGCTAAATTTCAGGGAATATCGCCACAAGATATAGCCTTATAAAATGGTACAGTACCTCCATTTTAGGATCCTGAAATTCCCATTGATACTGTGGATGGAAAAAAATCCTGCACCAGTTGGGAACTATTAGATACCAACGAAACTCTGTAAATAATGGGATGCTTATCGGATAAACCATCTTCAACTGGTGCAGGATTTCTTCCATCCACTGTATCATTAAAACCTTTGACTATGTATAAGTCGTGTCGCGTTACGAAAGTTTACAGTTGGTGGTCCCCGTGGTGAGCTAAGTTGGTGAACATAGCTCCAGTGACTGGCTGGTGTAGTAGTATATCAATGTATATCATGCTATATCTATACTTAATTTGTGGTTATAAAATGTTATAAACTTAAAATGTTATAAACTTAATCATGGTATATCTATATATGTATATACTTAAAATGTTACAAACCAACTTACACCGCGAGGGGTATAAACCTGGTATATCCCGCTGTATTCTGCCCATTCTTGTTCCAACTCTTGATGGGAGAATTCCAATAAAAGTTGCAAGCCCACATTCAGATCCAGTTAACATACTATTAATATTGGTTAATATACTATTAATAATGGTTAATATAGGGTTAGTATATGGTTAATATATGATATATATATATATGGTTAATGATGGTTAATATTAATCTGGTTGGTGGTTTCAACCTACCCCTCTGAAAAATATGAATTAGTCAGTTGGGATGATGACATGCCCAATATTAATGGAACAATAATCCAAATTTTCCAAACCACCAACCAGCCAGCATTCCTATCCAAGTTCCCTCTGGGCACTGAAGATATCTTAAGATATCTTCAGATCCCGAAGCGCAAAAGCATCATATCTCATCGGAGTTTTTCATGGAGAAAGATCATGTCAAGATCCAAGTTCTTAAGATCCAACATTTAAGATCCAAGTTATTAATTTCTATCAAATGGCTAGCCATTCAAACTACTATGTAGTTAGAAACACCTACTTATTATTATAGTTATGGCTGGATTATAAATATTAAATGCTTGTAACTGTTTTAGCCAACTATAATAAATTACATCAAACTATATCAAATTACATTAAACTACACTATTTTCAAACTACATAAATTACATTAATTGCTAACTATAATAAAGTTACAGTTACAACTATTATCATAGATATGGCCAACTATTTATTACGGTTACAACCATTATTACAGTAACTGTTGATTTAACTGGGGATATAACCCCCTATATCCCAATTATAATCCACTTACTAACTAGTTAACTAGCTCCATGGCCCATCTAAGTACAGTATTTTCAAACTACATCAAACTGGCTAACTGTAATACCCTCCGGTAAACTAACATAACCATGGGAAATCACCATTTCTAATGGGAAAATCCACGAACTAAATGGCCATTTTCAATAGCTTTTTGTTGGTTTACCAGAGGGTAAATCCCAATAATGTCCCACTAAATCAATATATAAATGTTTGTTACTGTTTTTAAATGGTTGTAACTTTTAATAACTGGTGATTTTCCATGTTATAGTTTATTAATGTTATACAGCAAAATGTTGATACATTGGGATGCTCAACATTAAAACACCAGTTTAGTTGTTCACCCAATGAAACTCTGTAAATTCCTCAACATTTATAGATGGTTTTCCCAGCTAGAAACCTCCATTTATAAGGCCCAGATGCTCCATGTATGGAATATTTACCTACATTTACCCCAAAAATGGCACACATGTAGGTAAATATTCCATACAAGGAGCATCTGGGAGTGATTTTCCATGGCTATGTTAGTCATAACCAGAGGGTAACGTCTGGTGATTTCATCGCCGATTCGGTGAAATCAGGTTCGCTGTGACGCCGAACCCGCCATCGTAGCGTCGACCATCGTCCCATTGCAGCACGCCCAACCTAAGGGTGAGACCATGAAACATATAGGACACATCATTCAATATATACATATATATATATTATATATAATGTGTATATATATATACATATATATATACACTGTATGTATATATGTATATATGTATATATGTATATATGTATATATGTATATATGTATATATGTATATTATATATATACTGTACAATATGAGGCCCCCCAGTGATGTGAACGTCGGTTAACAAAAGCCCCAGTAACTAACGTTCGTTATAAATGCCATAAACCATAGTGAAATGGGGACTTATAAACCAACTTAGCTATCTTGGGGGTCTCACATTGTAGAATATGGCAACAAAAATGAAATAATAGTGGACACATCATTCAATATATATATATATAGTCTGCCTGCATCAGGATATATATGTATTATATCATATTATACCATATTAAATCATATTATATTATATTATAATATAAAATAAAATAGTATAATATATATATATATATATTAAATGATATTATCTTATATCATATTATATTATATTATACCAGTAGTACCGCACAAGGCGGTGGCGGAAGTTTCAAAAATAGGAAACCTATAGGAGAGATTGGTTGTTGTGAATCAGGGATGGCAGAGCGAAGCCACTGATGGACCGAAAGGTGCTTGAGGTCTC